ATCAGATATTTGTCTCCAATTGGGCCAGTGCAATGAAAGCATGCTTCTGCAATAATCCTCTGTCAGTGGCCATGTAGCTTGCACCCCAGTGCCTGCTATAACAGGAACTTTTCCTTGTGCACAAATGAGATTGTACCAAGAATCCTGGTTGTCCTTTGGTCTTGCAAGATATTTATCTAAAGGGGTGCTTTTTGTAATGGTGGAACCAGTGCGTTCTAGAATTCTAGACCCTGTCATGTTAACGGATTGAAATGTGGACCTAACCAAAGCCAGAGAAAAGAAGTTTCGTGTTGTAAATTCAGATATTGGGTTGTTGTTGCGTGTTGGCCATGGGATACATATCCTTCCTTTAGAGATTGCAGTAACTGGGTCAGCTTTTTCACCAATCACATCTTGGACAATATTTTCAGCTTGCTGACGGATGTCAATGTTTGGATCAGGAAGAGGAACACTGGAATTAGTCTCGATGTTGGTCATAATTTCAGAATTGGTTTGTAGGGGAGCAGAGCCTTCATCATTTTGATGTTTTGTGAATTTATCATCAAATTCTACAGTATACTAAACAAAAAAAGAAAGGTAACACTACTTTATTCTGTGATTAATTAATTAACCCCTTCATAAATCCTTACCAATCATGTACGAATAAAGTAATTGATCAATTCTGATAAACAGCAGTCATGGTTCATTATAAAACTTTGCGTTCAGTTGATTTTATTCGACTGTAAAGGACGTTGGGGTCAATTTCAAAGGTAACACCATCAGTAACGGGTATGGCCACCGTTTGCGAAGTAAACAGCATTGCAGCGTCGTCGCATGGAACATATTTGTTCTCCCTCTTCTGAGGCTGATAAAAGGGGAATGGTTGTATTTAATGAATTTGCTGCTTTTTACTTAGTTTTGTCTTTCTTTGTTTCATGTGGGCTATGAGACAGATTTTTCTTTTTATTTGTTTGATGTGTTTTAGTTTTCAAATTTATATTAGGTGGTTTAGTAAGTGGCTGCTGCTTGTGGGATAATATTTCCATGTATTGTGGTGTAGTAGTATTTTCCTTTTTGGAATTGGAATTGCATTGTATTCATTCGATGGAAGCGTTTTTTTTTTTTTGCCAAGACTTCTAATTTGTTGGGGGGTTTTTTTGTGCGTCAAGAAAATTTGACTATTTGTCTGCATATTTTTTTTTTCAAAATACTAGCATAGGTTGTGGTTGGAGGTGCAGTGGGTGGTATTGGTTTATTTCTCTCAGGGCAATCACTGACATCCTTGCAGCTTTTTTTTTTTTTTTTTTCAGGTGATGTGATAAAAACTGAAAATGCTGGTTTTGAAGAAGGAGTGTAACTGTAGGTGTTCTTGTGTCTTCTTTGTTGGGATGAAATATTTGTTTGGTGTACGGAGTTCCTTGCAACCACACTACAATGCTACATTTTAGTAAAATACTGGCTGCTCTAATTCCACATGCAGTAGCCCATCCATTGCCTTTTATCATTCTATTCATGTATACAGTTGGGGGTGTGACTAATGCCATGGAGCAAATCTAAGAGGTTCACCCATTCTTGCCAGTTGTTATATATAAATTGGCAGATTGACCTTCTTAATTCATTACTACTCAAAAAGTTTCCATGTAGAAGCAAGCTGAGTGCATGAAGAAAACAATTGCCATCCCCTGGTACATCATGAATATTGAAAGTTTGAGCTTCAGTCTGTACTTGTCTTGAAAGAAAAGATTTAGACAGCTCGATCTCTTGTTTTAGAATGTGAACATGATATTCTTCCTGTAATTTTGGGATTTGAATTGAATAGGTATTATCCATTTCCTGTAATGCTTGGATTTGTTCGGCATATGTGTGATCCATTTTGAGAAGTTGTATTTGATTTGCTGTCAAAATGTGCAGATTTTTATGTAGACAGATATATTTTTGGTATTTATACTAACTGATTTTTTTCTTGACTCTTCCTTTACCTGCAAAGAATAGAAATAGAAAGAAGGAAAAATATGAGTGAAATTGAACAATCATGATCCTTGAAAAGTCCTTGTAATTTAAATGTGAATTGATACTAATGTGCTATCAGTGAATCATTGAAATAATTTGATTACCTTGACCTTTTAAGGATTCCTGTAGCATAACTTGATTGGAAACCAAATTTGGTACACATATCAACGAGTTTATACACAAGTTGAATATTTGGGGGGTTTTTTGAGGACAAAATTTAGCAAGTTTTGAAACTTTAAAAACATTGACTCTATCTTTCAAATAATTTTTGAAATTTTATTGTTGACTTTGAACATAATATATTGCTGTTTATCAATGCAGTCTTTAATTATATTGATAAGGTCAAAATCCATCCATATTTGCCAGAGCAACTTTGTTTTCAGAATGGTTAAACAAATATTTTTCCATTAAGTAACTACTACCATCAGATTTGAGCAAAATCAGATGTGAAATTACAAAATCCTTTCGATTGAATGTCTGGAGCATATTCTTTCTCAAACTTCTTATTTGGTTAACAAAAAAAAATAATGCACAATGTGTGATTTTTGCCTTTGCTTCATTTAATTTTTCAGTTTCGGAAGACTTAATGGCATGTGTTTGTTGTGTTGTATTGACAATTTTTTGTTAAAATTTGTAGACTTTTATCAAACTGACAGGATTTAGATGATTATTGTTATTATCCATATTTGTATTCACTGTGATGCGATAATCACTTGCATGTATACATAAAATTGCTGTATCATGGAGGAACTCTTCTTAATTTCTATACACACAAGGACCGAAAGGTATCAGAGAGATTCGACAACAAATGCAGTACTGTACTACTGTTTATTAAGGAAAAGCAATACAACACACAAGCATGAATTATATAAGGTATTATAGTGTACATATTTGATATTTTACGTGTGTACAGAGATCATTAACAATTTAAAGATAACATAAAGGATCATGTTTTTATTTAAAAATTGTTTCCCTCTTCAGTTGTGATAGAGTGTTCAAAAATAAAAAAAAAATGCATCATTCCAAACACCGGAGTTCGATTATTTGTTATTTGTACAGTCGGTATGATCCTTGTATGTACAATATGTTCGTACATTGAGGTCCAGGTTTTCATGTCGTGTTATAAGACAATTTGCCACTATGTCTTTCTTTTGGTTTTAGGCCTGGACAGGGCACAAGTTAAAAATTGTCCTCTTGTGTCAATTGTGTTTCAACAGTCAATATATCAGTGAATTATGACAATGCATCATATACCGTAATGTTGACTAATGGTTTTGGATTTGAATTGTCTGTCCTAAAGATGTGCCCTCATATCAGATGGCAGATGGAAAGCAACCATGGAAAAATAGGAAGATAGCATAGAGCAGAGAGGTTTCAGAATATCAATTACTTAGACTATAAAAGTGCCGTCTTGTCTTGAAGCAGATGAATGGAGAATGCAGAAAATTACTAGAAACTCTTAAGACTTTCCTGATAACATTCGGCTTATACAATGGTTCTTGCTTATTTTAGTTTGCTAGAATTAAGAAGAGTTGGCAGTGAACCGCGCCTCCAACTGCCAAATTATAGAAAATGTTGATTATTGTTAGTACACAGTGTTGTTGTGCTTCATTGTTCACTATCGAGTTACTATGGACATTACTGAAAGTAGTTTTTTGACCCGCCTTCCAAAAATACACCAATGAAAGGCATATATACTCAACTCATGTGTTACTTTTCAGGCATGGAATTGAAGGCATTGTCGTAAACATTTCACTTGAAAGGTTTGTCTTTAAGATCTGGTCTGCAAAATTTATAATTCAAATTATAAGACAGCTTTATATACAGTGTAAGGTAGATTAGATAGTAAACAACTCCACACATCAACAAATTTCTTACCAATTTGTATGTTCCAGGAATTGTTTCTGAAATTGCATTGAGTGTGGATTTGATGAAAACTTTGATTTTGGGGGAACTTATAGATTTTGAGAAATTACTAGATTAAAACGTTTTATAACTTGCTCTCTCCATCTGTTTTTAGTTTATGTCGGTTTTATTGAAACCATCTAGGCCTACTTTAAAATTTCATGTTCCTGCTCAGGAAGTTTTTCAGGATATCTTTTGGGAGCGGGGAAATGTCATATCATATTTGAAAACTTGATGGAATTTTTTAAAGAGATGAATCAACAAAACCTTGATTTCATGTTTTTCAATGCATCATGGATAAAGTTGATCATGAATATGTAGAACTGGCAGTTACATGTAGGATTTGGTGAAGTTCGCATCATAGATCTGTGTGAAGGCTTAAGTTTTAAAAAGTCGGCAATGCAAGATCAGCTGATTAGTGGAAGTAAGGTGGCAGAATACAATATTCAACAGCCTCTACTTGGAGAAGCTGTACATATATATATATGCAACAGGTACAGGTCAGAGTTTCATATGACTACGTTGGATTGCTTTGTAATAACGTTACTTACACTGTTGACTACGGAATCCAAGTAGTGCTGCTGTCGGTGTCGGAGCGCCGGGAGCAGACGACAAGTGAGCGTTCGCCACTTGCGGTTAAGCTGATTTCAGAAAAATGAAACTGCTCCATTTTAAGTGTTAACACTGCTAATGTAAATAAGAGATCATGTACTCGAGTAATTATAAGAAGGACATATTAAATCGGGTCTTCTTTGGGTTCTGAACCGGAAATTAGTTAATCCGGAATAAAGTGTGCTTTTATTATGAATGGTTAAAAGAAAAAACATTAAACAATTTTTTGAAAGTATGTATTTCAAATCGTTTACACATATATTTTTTAAAATTATATTAATTATTTGCGTCTTTTATTATTATTTTATTTCCACATGAATGCTTGAAAAGAGATTTTGTCGGTCAAAATAATTTTTAACCATTGAACGGGTCGGCAGTTCTCATTGCGTGCTGCGGTAAGTGTATTGTGGGAAATGAAGTTCCAGCCACACTTCCGTTTGAAGTTGATCGTATGGGCAAGTTGTTGGAGTTGAATAACCACACACAATACCATAAAGCGCTCGCTATTGTAATCATATGAATAAAGCGATACATTGACAAGTCTGATTTGGATATATTTGGCTTGTTTTTTAGATTATGAGGCTAACGTCAAGTGAAGCTGTGCATACTGATATATACAATAATATAACGTACATGTGTTACAAACATTGTAATTATAGACAACTACACGTGATTTCCATTTCGATGATAAGACTGACAATATTCACCTAGTGTTAGATCCTATGTGATGTATTACAGAGTCTTGGTGTTTACCAACCTGTGTGTAGTATCATATCATATAAAAGAATGTCGTATCTAAAATAAACTGGAGTGGCAAGGTCGGTTCCTTCCTTGGTAGGTGGTGTTTCATGGTGTTATAAGCTTCAGATAATTATAGTATGTAAATGAAAAACATAAACGTTCCTAATACACTGCTCAAGTCACATTAGGTCACTGGTCCTGGAGGGAAATCGGGTTATGTTGACGCATTGATAAGAAAGCAGATCTTCTAGGTACAACTCCTTTGATGATTTAGGCCAACTCATCCTGGATGGTAGCGTTGTTGATGACACTTTCTTTCAGAACTGTGATTCGGTGGCACGGCTTGCCGGCTTCCTTCAAATATTCCTGTAATAATTATATATCACATGTTATTTATCATAAACGATGATAGTGCGTTTTATTATCAACACAATCATCCATCGTTTTTTTATCAATACCAATGATATGTTCGTATTGAGTGCTGTATCTATAGAACCATGATACGTTTTTATCCTATAAATATCAAATATATTTCTGTTTTGTAATCAATGTATTTATAACCAATAGTGCTTTGTCTCTTGAGTATGATAACATCATCGCGATAATTTGATTAACCTCAGATTAAAACATTATGTCATCACTGGTTTTCAAATATGACTCACTGAAGCATAGTTCAAGCCGTTTTTCTTTTCTTTACTTGAAGCACCGGAGCCAATCCAGACAAAGCAGGTTTTCTTCACATGTACCAGATAGACATCCTAAAAAAAGACCTTGACAATCATTCATAAATTATTCTATTGCAATGTTCATACACATAACCTTGTTGAAGTAATTCAATACGTTTGAATTGTCATTGTGGCATTTATTGTCGTTGTAAATGACAAGAGTTTTGTAATCAAACATTACGCATTATGCGATTATAAATTGATTAATGTAAGGTGAACCATTGGTATTCCCATGTCTATTGATTATGACGTTGCACTGGTGGCGTGCCTAAAAGGTACAGCGTGACTAAATAATACGGGTAATAACGATAAAGTATCTCTTGATAGACTTTTTAAATCCTGTTTGCAAAGTCATTTTGTGATACCAGTATCTGCCATCCAGTAAACAGGGAATGACGAAACGTTATTACCTACTGTTAATATCGATTACGTCATTATGTTGTTACTAAGTCATTAAAGCATTAGGTCTGAATCGTAAGGAAATCAGGCTAGGCCTGAAAACGTTAGAGAATCAGGTTAGGTCTGAACCGTTAGAGGGAATCAGGCTAGGTCTGAATCGTTAGAGGGAATCAGGCTAGGTCTGAACCGTTAGAGGGAATCAGGCTAGGTCTTAATCGTTAGAGGGAATCAGGCTAGGTCTGAATCGTTAGGGAATCAGGCTAGGTCTGAACCGTTAGAGGGAATCAGGCTAGGTCTGAACCGTTAGAGGGAATCGGGCTAGGTCTGAACCGTGAGAGGGAATCAGGCTAGGTCTGAACCGTGAGAGGGAATCAGGCTAGGTCTGAATCGTTAGAGGGAATCAGGCTAGGTCTGAACCGTTAGAGGGAATCAGGCTAGGTCTGAATCGTTAGGGAATCAGGCTAGGTCTGAACCGTTAGAGGGAATCAGGCTAGGTCTGAATCGTTAGAGGGAATCAGGCTAGGTCTGAACCGTTAGAGGGAATCAGGCTAGGTCTGAACCGTTAGAGGGAATCGGGCTAGGTCTGAACCGTTAGAGGGAATCGGGCTAGGTCTGAACCGTGAGAGGGAATCAGGCTAGGTCTGAATCGTTAGGGAATCAGGCTAGGTCTGAACCGTTAGAGGGAATCAGGCTAGGTCTGAACCGTTAGAGGGAATCAGGCTAGGTCTGAATCGTTAGGGAATCAGGCTAGGTCTGAACCGTTAGAGGGAATCAGGCTAGGTCTGAACCGTTAGAGGGAATCAGGCTAGGTCTGAACCGTTAGAGGGAATCAGGCTAGGTCTGAAAACGTTAGAGGGAATCAGGCTAGGTCTGAACCGTTAGAGGGAATCAGGCTAGGTCTGAATCGTTAGAGGGAATCAGGCTAGGTCTGAACCGTTAGAGGGAATCAGACAGGGTCTGAACCGTTAGAGGGAATCTGGCTAGGTCTGAACCGTTAGAGGGAATCAGACAAAGTCTGAATCGTTAGAGGGAATCAGGCTAGGTCTGAATCGTTAGGGAATCAGGCTAGGTCTGAACCGTTAGAGGGAATCAGGCTAGGTCTGAACCGTTAGCGAACTTCAGTGTTTAATTGTATCTTAATTGTATTATTATTATTGTATATATTAATTGTAATTGTATTTACAAGAACTCTTATAATAATTAATATCATAGATGCATCATCATCTATCTGTTGTGTTTGAAGATTTATCCGGGGGAGGGATATATAACATCCTTCAATAACAACTTACCGTGTAGAAATCTTGACATGATATGGTCAAGTGGAGGCAACTCAATGTTACTTAACAAAAGATTGGAGTTCGTTCTATCCATTTATTATACAAGTCTTGAGAGGTTATAGAATACCTCTATGTCATGACACGTATATGCTACTGTTCACATCTTCAGAACTCGGTATACATGGTACTTACATTCGAGTCGAATTCACTCACAGATATATCCCCTTCCGTGATCTGTTCTTTTACATTGTCATCTGTGATCCTGTCAATAAAATTGTCTTACTGTTTAACTAGATCTGACATTAAATTGGAATTCAGCCTTTATTCATATATGTGTAGATGTCGTGGAAGTGTAATGGTTAGGGAGTTAAAGAATTTCTTCACATGGCGGTCTGGTGCCTTAAATCGTGAGTTCGAGACCAGGATACAGGGCACCACTCACATATTGTCATCTTTGGTCAGTTGTGTTACAATGTTCGAATATTTATAAATTAACACAATGCACCACATACAGTACTGTATGTTGTTCCGAGGGTTTCAGATTATAATTATCGGTCGTTATTGTATCCAAGTATGGTTTGTGCTCAGAACTCTTGAGATACTGCAAACCACCTTTTTAATAAGTGTGCTATTCTCTCTTATCTTAACTTAATAAAGAAAATTTTAAATCTTCAACGCCCTCTTCTAAAAACATAAGACCATTGGATGTTTATATGTTTATATTAATATATCCCATTCTAAACTGAAAGACAGCGTTTGTTCTATTGTAACGACAGCTTTCTTTTCAAGAAAGATGAACGGCGGTACCAACATACGCCTCTGAATTATACTGAAACGTGTATCGGGAAAAATTGGTCAAATCAAAGACGGAAGGTTCGACCTATTCGATGACATCAAAACTTCCCAACAGTCTTTTGGAATATCTATCAGATCTGGGGAACTACGCCCTTCTGTTGGCTGACTTGTTTTTGTTTTCATACGAAGCTTAATTTATCGAAGAGTTTATCAAAACAGGTCACAAACACTTCGCAAAGTCGTTTAACTTTACTTACAGATATACTGACGACATCTTGTCTTTAAATAACAATAAATGTATTTGACCACGCCCATCGTATATACCCTTCAAAACTGAAAATCAAAGACCCGATATACTCCTCTATATCATCCGCTTATCTCGATCTTTTCCCACAACAAAAGCAACATGGACAGCTTTCCACACGCTGTATTATAATGATTTCAATATCCCTGTTGTGAATTTTCCTTTTTTTGGACATAGTGATCTCACTCAGAAATATTCTATTTCTTTGTAGAATCTGGACGTGTGCGATTCTCGTTAGTTTGCCTGTTAATTTCGTTGTGGAATTCCTTGTTCTCATTTGAGAATCTGACATTACTTACTTGATTAACCATGGTGGAGTTGTCGATGAAGAAGAAGACGCTTACACTTCCGGAACACGTGGTCGTATTGAATTTGAGTGTATATATATATTGTTTTCAGTACAAATATTTAGAAGATAAAATAATCACCAGCATTATTCTTTATTCCCTTGTAATAAATGTTTTTGTTTCCCCTGTACTTAATATTTTGGTGTCCCTTGTATCAAAGGTAATGGGGATTTTCAGAAAAAAAAAGATATACTGACTTAAAGAGTTTAGGTTCATCCACGGGATCAAGGTCTACGTCAGCTGCGTCTTCTGGATCCTCGTCCGGTAGACCATCCTTACATCTCCCCTGTAAGCCAAGCATATTTCAGATCATACAAGGGTAAATGAACATGAGAATCAGGCTAGGTCATTGTCGAGTTTTAAAAGAACGAAACAGCTGTATGATGTAGCATCGCTGTCGAGTCCTAGAAGGACGAAACAACAGTATGATGTAGCATCGCTGTCGAGTCCTAGAAGGACGAAACAACTATATGATGTAGCATCGCTGTCATGTCCTACAAGGACGAAACAGCTGTATGATGTAGTATCGCTGTCGAGTCCTACAAGGATGAAACAGCTGTATGATGTAGCATCGCTGTCGAGTCCTAAACGGACGAAACAGCTGTATGATGTAGCATCGCTGTTGAGTCCTACAAGGACGAAACAGCTGTATGATGCAAATAAATTCATCATTTGGCGCTAGACTATTTAACTCTTAATTTCTTTTTAAAGGGTACTACTCCCTTGTATGTCTAAACAGAAAGCTTGTTGAATGACAGTGTATACTGACAGTGCATTCACAAATTTCGAATTTGAATAACAGCATTCCTCCTTTTTGGATATCCGATTTGATTTAATTAGCCATGTCAGAAAACTTGGAAAGCATTATACATTTAAACAGAGGGTATCATTCACCAACAAATACACACTCACATAGTCAGAATCTCCTTCGCGAGCTACAATTTTTTCTGCGCCATCTCGCTGACTTGAAATCTTGTTGAACACCACATTAGACTGAAATATCAATATGAAGATATATGTTCCAACATTATTCCAACAGTTATAGAGTGAGGAATTTTGATTTGTTTCTGTATTCTATACCAGTTATACTTGTAAACTTTGCTAAACCTTTGATGATATCTCACAAATAAACCATGAAATATAAAAAAAAATCCAGTGATAACCCAAAGCATGTTTCATAATTTCTTGGAAAACTGCACCCTGTCTGAATCAAACATCACGATACTTCATGTTGAAAATATAACACATAGTCGAAAATTGGACACAAAATGGCCTACGCTAAACGCTCTGCCGTTCCCTCATGCTTAAAGTGATTTTATATGTGTCCACGTCACACACGCCGTATTGTCCATGTCGTACGGCTGTTGTCAGGGCTACATGCCCCTGTTATACATGATTGTCCATATAATACATCTGTTGTCAGGGCTACATGCACCTGTTATACACGATCGTCCATGTTATACGTCTGTTGTCAGGGCTACATGCCCATGTTATACACGATTGTCCATATAATACGTCTGTTGTCAGGACTACATGCCCATGTTTTACACAATTGTCCATATAATATGTCTGTTGTCAGGGCTACATGCCCATGTTATACACGATTGTCCATATAATACATCTGTTGTCAGGGCTACCTGTCCCTGTTATACACGATTGTCCATGTTATACGTCTGTTGTCAGGGCTACATGCCCATGTTATACACGATTGTCCATATAATACGTCTGTTGTCAGGACTACATGTCCATGTTTTACACAATTGTCCATGTTATACGTCTGTTGTCAGGGATACATGCCCATGTTATACACAATTGTCCTTTTAATATGTCTGTTGTTAGGGAAACATGCCCATGTTAAACACGATTGTCCATGTCATGTTGTACGTCTGTTGTCAGGGATACATGCCCATGTTATACACGATTGTCCATATAATACGTCTGTTGTCAGGGCGACATGCCCATGTTTTACACAATTGTCCATGTTATACGTCTGATGTCAGGACTACATGCCCATGTTATACACAATTGTCCATATAATACGTCTGTTGTCAGGGATACATGCCTCTGTTATACACGATTGTCCATATAATACGTCTGTTGTCAGGGATACATGCCCATGTTATACACGATTGTCCATGTCATGTTGTACGTCTGTTGTCAGGGCTACATGCCCATGTTATACACGATTGTCCATATAATACGTCTGTTGTCAGGGATACATGCCCATGTTATACACGATTGTCCATGTCATGTTGTACGTCTGTTGTCAGGGATACATGCCCATGTTATACACGATTGTCCATATAATACGTCTGATGTCAGGGATACATGCCCATGTTATACACGATTGCCCATGTCATGTTGTACGTCTGTTGTCACGGATACATGCCCATGTTATACACGATTGTCCATGTTATGTTATAGGTCTGTTGTCAGGGCGACATGCCCATGTTTTACACAATTGTCCATGTTATACGTCTGTTGTCAGGGCTTCATGCCCATGTTATACACGATTGTTCATGTTATACGTCTGTTGTCAGGGCTACATGCCCATGTTTTACACAATTGTCCATGTTATACGTCTGTTTTTAGGGCTACATGCCCATGGTTTACATAATTGCCCATGTTATAGTCTATGGTCCATGTTATAGTCTATGGTCTTTGTTATAGTCTATGGTCCAAGTTATAGTCTATGGTCCATGTTATAGTCTATGGTCCATGTTATAGTCTATGGTCAATGTTGTAGTCTATGGTCCATATGTAGTCTATGGTCCATGTTATAGTCTATGGTCCATGTTATAGTCTATCGTCCAAGTTATAGTCTATGGCCCATGTTATAGTCTATGGTCCATGTTGTAGTCTATGGTCCATGTTATAGTCTATGGTCCATGTTGTAGTCTATGGTCCATGTTGTAGTCTATGGTCCATGTTATAGTCTATGGTCCATGTTATAGTCTATGGTCCATGTTGTAGTCTATGGTCCATGTTATAGTCTATGGTCTATGTTGTAGTCTATGGTCCATGTTATAGTCTATGGTCCATGCTGTAGTCTATGGTCCATGTTATAGTCTATGGTCTATGTTATAGTCTATGGTCCATGTTATAGTCTATGGTCCATGCTGTAGTCTATGGTCCATGTTATAGTCTATGGTCCATGTTATACACGATTTGTCTTTTTTCCATATATGATAACAATAACTTACTTGGTACACTTTTGTAGGATCTACGTCAGAACCGATCAGTTCTACGACTTTGCTGCTGCTGTCGAATATGAACACGCCGTCAGAAGTTATTGAGTTCTGTACGAATGATACCTGCAATCAAATTAAACGATTATTTCCAAAACATGCCATTGACGGCTCTTTTAGCTTGTAAACACTTATGTATGTACTTCCAATGTACACAGCTGTTACAATATATTACTGAGGGTAATTTGTTCCTACTAGATAGCAAGTGGTAGACACTGCAGGTAATTTGTTTCTACTAGATAGCAGGTGGTAGACACTACGGGTAATTTGTTTCTATTAGATAGCAGGTGGTAGACACTGCAGGTAATTTGTTTCTACTAGATAGCAGGTGGTAGACACTGCGGGTAATTTGTTTCTACTAGATAGCAGGTGGTAGACACTACGGGTAATTTGTTTCTACTAGATAGCAGGTGGTAGACACTGCGGGTAATTTGTTTCTACTAGATAGCAGGTGGTAGACACTGCGGGTAATTTGTTTCTACTAGATAGCAGGTGGTAGACACTGCGGGTAATTTGTTTCTACTAGATAGCAGGTGGTAGACACTGCGGGTAATTTGTTTCTACTAGATAGCAGGTGGTAGACACTACGGGTAATTTGTTTCTACTAGATAGCAGGTGGTAGACACTGCAGGTAATTTGTTTCTACTAGATAGCAGGTGGTAGACACTGCAGGTAATTTGTTCCTACTAGATAGCAGGTGGTAGACACTGCTGGTGGACATTTCGTCCCCGAGGTTTGTATGTGGTAGACACTGCTGGTGGACATTTCGTCCCCGAGGTTTGTATGTGGTAGACACTGCTGGTGGACATTTCGTCCCCGAGGTTTGTATGTGGTAGACACTGCTGGTGGACATTTCGTCCCCGAGGTTTGTATGTGGTAGACACTGCTGGTGGACATTTCGTCCCCGAGTTTTGTATGTGGTGGACACTGCTTGTGGACATTTAGTCCCCGAGGTTTGTATGTGGTAGACACTGCTGGTGGACATTAAGTCCCCGAGGTTTGTATGTGGTAGACACTGCTGGTGGACATTTCGTTCCCGAGGTTTGTATGTGGTAGACACTGCTGATGGACATTTAGTCCCCGAGGTTTGTATGTGGTAGACACTGCTGGTGGACATTTAGTCCCCGAGGTTTGTATGTGGTAGACACTGCTGGTGGACATTAAGTCCCCGAGGTTTGTATGTGGTAGACACTGCTGGTGGACATTTCGTTCCCGAGGTTTGTATGTGGTAGACACTGCTGATGGACATTTAGTCCCCGAGGTTTGTATGTGGTAGACACTGCTGGTGGACATTTAGTCCCCGAGGTTTGTATGTGGTAGACACTGCTGGTGGACATTTCGTTCCCGAGGTTTGTATGTGGTAGACACTGCTGGTGGACATTTCGTTCCCGAGGTTTGTATGTGGTAGACACTGCTGGTGGACATTTCGTTCCCGAGGTTTGTATGTGGTAGACACTGCTGGTGGACATTTAGTCGGTTTGTATGTGGTAGACACCTGAGGTTTGTATGTGGTAGACACTGCTGGTGGACATTTAGTCCCCGAGGTTTGTATGTGGTTTGTATGTTTGTATGTGGTAGACACTGCTGGTGGACATTTAGTCCCCGAGGTTTGTATGTGGTAGACACTGCTGGTGGACATTTAGTCCCCGAGGTTTGTATGTGGTAGACACTGCTGGTGGACATTAAGTCCCCGAGGTTTGTATGTGGTAGACACTGCTGATGGACATTAATTACTTGAGGTTTGCTGTAAACTGCTTGCCGCGTTTTACTTGGCGGTATTCTAAAGTTATTTGATGTATGGTAGTTAGGAAATTTATCTAATTATGAGATATCCATTGACAGCATGATTTACATGGCTGATGACGTCGATGAAGCAAAAGATGTTTACACTTCCGGTACACCTAATCTTATTCTCCTTGTACTGTTTTTAGGAGTATCGGTGTTAATCTCTCTTTTGATAATATTTTTTCTATTTTTCTTAGTTTGGATTATGATTCTTTTGACATGTTGGTATTTTCTTATTGTTTAACCAAGTGTTATATTAAAGTATTTGTCGAGTTGAATATGTATTCTCAGTATGACTTGGTCAGCAGTGTAAGACAAATTTGATTACTTAACTGATACCCTTACAAAATAACAGAAAACTCAAAACGTCATCACATTATAAACAAGTGAACTGGGGTGTCCTCACTGCCACGACAATCATGTGACGTAATTTCCTTGTGACGTCATTTCCCGGTGACGTTGCTTTAGTGCTATGTTGTTTGTGTCATGTTATATTCAAGAAATGAGCATAACATTTAAGAACAGACCATCTGTGAACATAACAATTACTGAACAGACCTGCTGTCAACATAACAATTACTGAACAGACCAGCTGTGAACACAAATATTATAGAACAGACCGGCTGTGAACATATAAATTATAGAAAAGACCGGCTGTGAACACAAGTATTAGAGAACAGACCAGCTGTGAACACAAATATTATAGAACAGACCGGCTGTGAACACAAATATTATAGAACAGACCGGCTGTGAACACTGGTATTATAGAACAGACCGGCTGTGAACACAAATATTATAGAACAGACCGGCTGTGAATACAAATATTATAGAACAGACCAGCTGTGAACACAAATATTATAGATCAGACCAGCTGTGAACACAGATATTATAGAACAGACCGGCTGTGAACACTGGTATTATAGAACAGACCGGCTGTGAACACTGGTATTATAGAACAGACCAGCTGTGAATACAAATATTATAGAACAGACCGGCTGTGAACACAAGTATTATAGAACAGACCGGCTGTGAATACAAATATTATAGAACAGACCAGCTGTGAACACAAATATAGATCAGACCGGCTGTGAACACAAGTATTTTAGAACAGACCAGCTGTAAACACAGATATTATAGATCAGAACAGCTGTGAACACAAATATTAGAAAACCAGCAAACAGTATAATTAAGTTTGTGGTCCAATAAAGATCATCCGGTCATATCATGCTTTGCTTACCTCGTAGGACATGACTTTGTCGTCTTCGAATTGGAGGCGAAGCAGGCGAGGCTGGTACTCTTGACTTTCCACGTGTCTAAAGCCTGAAGCATATCCGCCGGACAAACGCCTGAAAACAGAATCACAATTAACACCAAACCTTACAGGTTGATCGTAAATAACTTATCAACAGTGTCGTTCATGATTTCCTGTTACAAGCAGATGTGTAATGTTTCAGTGCATGAAGAAAGAAAGGACGAGAAAATCAAATGTGCTTTATTTCTTCTACATCCATCAATGCTTGCTATTAAGGTTTACCATGTATGAGATGATACCAAATGGAACATTTAAGTCGATCACATTTTAACTTTAGTCAGTCTAATTCAAGCGACTTGGTGTTTACTTCGGTCATTCACACACTAGGTACTAGCCATAACCATATTCTGAGTGATTCCTCACAGATAGATTGGGATCGTACAAAAAGTCACTATATAATCATGTATCGTCATCAGCTATCTACCCTGGTTATGACACCCACACCAATCACAAAACCTCCAATGGAGGCACAAGATTCATTCGGAAACAGAGTCGTTAGCCGCCTGTATTGAAAGACGAGGCTGAGCAGCCGTACAACAGAAGTACATAATTGACCTTCATCATTCTTTATTAGCCGATGATGTTGTCGCCTTGAATTGTCTTGGCTGGAAGAACATATGAATATGTTGGTGGTAAGGCGTTTTTCCTCCTTCAAACGGATTGCGATAGGTAATGCAATATCTGTTCTCTTCCGTGGCCGTGGCCGACTGTCGTTTAGCGTACATGAGGATTTTTATGAGTATGAAAAGGTGCTATTCAATTGTGTGTCTTTTATACAATCTTTAAGATAGCAGGTTGTAGACACTCCTTGCGGACTTTAAGTCCCGCCCGGAGGCTTGCCGTAACCTCCTTGCCACGTTTCACTCGAACAGTAGCACTGTTCAGAAAATACACATGCAAAAGTAGCTGATGTACGAAAATTAATAATTTAATCATGGGGCTGCTGCACCTCCCTGTCTAGAGTTTGACTTTTCTAAGTCGCCTCTTAGGCTTCCTTAAGGATCAATGACGAGTCCTTGAAAGACGAAACAGTTTAATTCGTCGTTTGGTTCTACTGTAGCTCACTCTAAATTATGAAAAGGTGCTATTCACTTTTGTACAATCCCTTAGTATTATGCTAGAGAAATGGATAGGAAAAGCACAGCAACATCTCAGATATACGTATGCTGTTCGTCTGGATGTCAAGCGCCTATTTGGCGTTGGATGGGTATAAGCAGTATCGACTCGAACACTCGGAGCCAATCTGAGGGTCCTGGCTCAGGGACACGATTGAAAGGTCGCTGATGAATTGTCTTTTAACAAGGTATAGCTTCAGAATAGTACAATGGTGTTCCGCAGTTGCTTGACCCTTTCTGGACGTTTATCTCTGTTCACGGATAGTGCTGGTGATCCGTGGAGATGTTTTAGTGCCTAATGTCCAGGGCACTGAGCATATGGGTATTGGCCAGAGAATTGGGGCATTCAGTGTATAGCTAAATTAATATTTTGGTACGATTTTCTGTGATTGGAAATATTGAACAACAAGATGTTTTCCTATAGATAATCAGTGAGTCGATTCAGTTATTAACAAGATTCTACAAATCCTTCATGAATCTCAGGAACTAGATAATGATGTTACTAACGTTCAATGTTTTGGTAAAAGCTGAGCACATTCCTGGTAAAGATTATGTGAAAAAATATTAAACCATAGTTAAATGGTTAGATATATAAGATGTCGAAATGAAATGTTATATATATATATTAATATATTTGTCAAATGTGAAGAAAACATAACAATTACTTGCTCTAGGATCATTCTTTGTTGTGGTTCGCGTTGTCAATTACTCCCTAGTGGCGCCATCTTCTGCTTACGGTAAAATACTAACCTTTGCCAACTAACGCTACGTATAAGGTAATTTGGTTTTTAAGTGTTCTATGAAATTTATGATTATTATCAAATGAAATGTTTTCCTGTGCCTGCATTGAAATGCATTTACATTAGCGCACCACGCAACATACAGATCCCCCAATGTTGATAAATATTGATGCAGATACAATAAAGAAGATGGTTTTATAAGCCTTCATGTAATAATGGTTAATACTTACACAAATTCAGGAAAGTACGACAAGAACCGATTAGACTCGACACCTTGAACTTCACGATGCTGGACGGCTCTATCGTCAAGGAATGTATCCAGCTCCACCGTTTTGTATGCTGCCGTGCCGTACTCATCCTAAAGCCAACAGATAGATTACGAGTCATTTATCACAAGACATAACATATAACACTGTTTAGGGTCATACCCAAGAAAAAACAAAACAAAAATACCAACATGTCAACATAATCATAACCCGAATTCAAAAACCGCTATAGTGAAATATTAACAAAAGAAATTTTTAAACGGAAACTCTTGAAAAAGTACAAGGAGAATAAGAATGTAGTAAGCATCATCTGCTTCATCGACGACATCCGCCATGTAAATCATGGTAAATCCAAGTAAGTAATATCACATTCTCAAATGAGAACAAGGTATACATCAAGGGGGAAGAAAGCAACGGAACCAACGAGCACCAAACACGTTCTACATCAAGATGTACCCTTCTTATATGTCTCGGCTGTGTAGGCGTTTTATAATTAGTTCCACTGGACATCCATATTATTACAAATTCAACTGAATTATCATTATTAAATGTTATAAAGTATGATGATGTGTTCCATCATCAATTTACCTCTGCATGACTATCATTCTAAGAGAGATTGAATCTTTATTATAAGCTAGATCCATTGACATTGTTATTATCAACCATGTTGGACTTATTCTTTTGAGTTATTTTCACTTTCTAACGTCTGGTAGGATAAAAAGAATAAGCGTGAGTTTACGTTAATTAGTGTTACCTGTGTACTGCTCTCCCCAATCCAAAAGTGGACATCGTACAGCAACTCGTCAGAATCGTCTTTGGTGTAAGTCTGTAAACATAACAAATGGAATTTTGTAAGTCATTTACAAAGCTAACCCGTTTAAAGAAATTCCTTACTATAGAAGCGGGCTGGAAATCAGTTACAAGGCTAAATCTGGTTTTTATGAATTCTATGGTATAGACTACTTGGAAGTAACTTACGAGGCTAAATCTGGTTTCAGAAATTCTTTAATACAGAAATGGGTTAGAAATCAGTTACAAAGCTAAATCTGGTTTAAGGACTTTTATGTTACAGAAATAGTTTGGAAGTAGGTTACAAGGCTACATCTGGTTTCAGAAATTGTTTGATACAAAAGGTGTTTGTAGTCATTCATTTATGAAACGTGTCTTATGTCTTGTATATGGTGCATTGTTTGTATAATTATTTTGGAGAAGTCTGTTGCAATAGAATGTCATGTATCATAGCTGAAATTTGTCCCAAATAGCCATATACGCGTGCTGAAAGTGGCAAATCGGGATTAAGTGAGGCCTGTAACATCTTCATTAGTAACAATTAGTACCAATCAATACTCACGTTCAGGACGATGTAAGAATCTCCTGTGTAAAATTCGCCATAATCTTCTTCCTCTACCGCTTCTACTTCGAATTTCTGCAAGCCAAAAACATTTATTGGAAACGCAAAACAAAAAAAAATTACAATTACCATGACACAAGTCATATCAGGTATGGAAAACAAACTACGACACAAGTCATATCAGGTATGGAAAACAAACTACGAGATCGAAAAAAACCTAGTTACAAAACGTTAATTCGATGTCTGAGATATATGGATGCCTTTATAAGCAATACACAAACATAGTTCAGTGCAATCATTGCAAACTCCGAACGGAACCGTTCATTTCCAAAATAAAACAAACAATACGCAATTGGTAATTATGCAAGAACATTGATTTTATCTTAATGTTGCTGAAATGAGGTAATCACAAGATTAAGATACAACATAGAGTGTCTACAATCATCATGTATGATAGAAAAACTAATGTCTAATTATCCAACAATAGGTTTATAAATTCCGGTGAAAAAACAGTCAGCGGACACATGTTACACTTGTCAATATGTAGTATCTAGGTTCTAAACAGAACTCATCTACCATATTATATCATACTGTTTATATGGTTACTGTGTTGAATTAAACACAAGGCTTTGGTCGTTATAAGATACAGTTATCAGTGCTGTTTATACAGTAAAAGACATCGACATGCAATGTGTTTATGGAATATGATGACGTATTTTGCAGACATACAAATGTAGTGTGCCCGTATTTGAAATGGGTATAAATATTGCCATCAAACCATGTTTGTTCTGTCGCGAGACATTTCACTCCAAGATCAGCTTCCCGCTAGCTCACTCAAGCTAATATTTGCACATGCTTTACGAATTCCACATGATAATGAGTAAAGATTTGATCGCTAAGATGTATCCATATTACATATTTCTTTTAAATAGCTTTATAAGATTGAATGCTACTCTTGTGTTTTATATCATCATTTAACAAGAATTACAAACACCTGATTCATATCATAGTACCATTTTCTCATGTAGAAGCAGTTGCTAATGTCCGATATTGGGACGGGTAATGAACAGTATTTAAAAAAAACAAAATTGGAAAGGAAATTCCAGGCAAATACAAAAATACTGAAAAATATCACGAACTATTGCATGTAGACCCGAGTTCATTATAGGGCCGGGACTACCATTGACAGCTAGAGAAAACATGGATATTGTCATAGTGTAAAACGTTTTCCTTTGCAGAGACCAAATGTAGATTACCGTTCAAGACAAAGACACTGACATTGTATTCTGTTAATCATGCAAAACAACGAAAATTGAGATATTATCTACGATTCAACAGTTTGTGTTAAAACTGGGTAGAACCTGACTTTACGCTATTTTTGGTCAGATGCTGAACAATTCCTGCACGCGTAATAATATTTAAATATCAACCTCTCTATCTGAGTCAAATATGTATGTGATTCGGAAAGTGTTTCCTGCGCATTATAGCATGTGCTATACCACAGCTGATATCACTGCCAAATACAACAAAAAGATATGCGGTAGATGTGTTCCTGCAATGGGCGCCCCATTTGCAGGATAAAATTATTGATGTACAATGTAGAAACTAGAATGAATCATGGGATCTGTCGATTGCAATATATACTTAATCACAGATACATCACATGACTTACATCCCTTTCACGGGTGGTTGAGACATTCTGAAATGGGAACCATCTTATCTAATAATATCTCCGTTTTAAACAAACAAAATCACTTCACAATCGAAGAAACCGATATATGTAATCAACAAACTACAGGCAGGTCTCATCAAAAGAAAATATTGTAATAACTTTATCGTATTGTTTTATTTGTGTTGCAGGATTACACGTTTTAGTTGTAATACATTACTAACATTGATTCTCCACACTTTCAGACCGACAGCCTGTCCTGCGCCTTCCCACGCTGGTTCGGTTTCTGCTGACTCCTCTGTATAAGGGTAAATGTTGGTTAATTAGTAATTACTAAGTATTTCATCAATTACGTTATCCCGAAATAGATGAATCTCTACTGTTATCAATTTAGATGATTTCTAATCTGAGTTTACAGTACTCTATAAGTTATTTACTTAAAAGTTATTTCGAGGCGCTCTATTTTCCTCATTTTCAGAATGAAAGAAAAAACATGAAAATAAAATTCAATAATTAATAAAAATCAATAGAGAAAATAGAAATTAGGCCATATAATCTTTTACAAATACATCCCTGTGTTATAAAGTTTGAAGCACAAGCGGATTTTCGGAATAGTTAAATAAATTCGCTTTACTACCGCCAGTTCTTATGTCTAAACCAGAAAGAATAGTATACTGCCTCAATTCAGTCCTTTTCTGTCTGCCTTATAAAGAACTTGTCGTTGTTATGTTTCTGGAGGTAATTGTGAGAGCTGACACAAGACTATAATACTGGCTTGCAGGGTAACGATGGACTCACTTTTGACTTGTCTGTCGGTGTCGGAACCAAACAATTCCACATTTGAGTCCTTCCAGTCGTAAGTCTTGGCTTTAACTAATCCTATAATAAAGAAAAGCAGATCAGGATTTTTTTTATGACATAAAAATTCGATTTTCATTATAACTGTCAATTTTAACTTGTTACTGGGATTATAAATGAGAGCATATCTATTTACATTACAATAACCTAAAATACCTTCAGTTTCTGATGGGTTCATCAATAGTTTATGGTCAATACATGGATGTAATGAAGATAAACATACCTGACATGTTGATGGTATCTTGAGATTCTGAAACAAAAATAAATTATCAATAACAGAACATCGGTACCCACATCGATGACGTAAACTCAAATATGATATCAATTATATACGAATGATCTAAAGACCCAGAATCATACATAGGCAATTTGTTTTGAAAATCAGTCCAGCGCACCTGTCCTTCTCATAAATTAAGTAACAAAGAGAGAAAAAACATACAACAGAAACAGGTGAGGTCAAGAAATATAATATGAATTTGTACTAACAGGTCTAGAGATGTAGTAAAGGTTTGTACTAACAGGTCTAGAGATGTAGTAATGGTTTGTACTAACAGGTCTAGAGATGTAGTAATGGTTTGTACTAACAGCAAAAAACAACACAATCTTCTGAGCCTGTTTACATTACATATAGTCAGTAACCCTTTGAATTTTGTCATATTAGGGTGAATAGTATAATAATTAGGTCTGAACTTTCTCCTATTAGTTTGTATTGCTGGATTTTCACACAAAAATAAATAATGATATTCATCACCTACGCCATTGTTACAAAGGGGACGTAACCTGTACTCTCTTCTGATACCTGTCCACCTACACAGTTTCTACTGGCAAGGGCATGTTGGAAACTCAATTTACGAAGTAATTTCCTATTTTTAGGACTCATTTTCAACAAATAGGTTTTACAACCGAAATTCATTTTGTATAAGAAATACACATTTCCCCTTGAAGCATTATTTATATCACTATACCACTTTTGAATGAATTGATTATGTAAATTCTGTTTCAGAATAACTTTCAGCTCTGGTAAACAAGGTAGATACTCTCTTTGTAAGGTCCATACATAACTTATGCCTGATTCATTATGTATATTCTGTATAAAAGAAATCCATTTAAATTTAACACTTTTTTCGTATAGTCTGAACATCAAGTTATACCATGTACTGGACAGTTTTTCATTACATGTTATCAATTTATGACAAAATAAAATTGTTCTGAGTTTTATATCACATAACACAGGGATTGATACGAAGAGATCTAGAGGTGGTAAAATAGCTACCGCAATATATCGTCGGCTAAGAGAACTTTTCCTTTACTCGATTGAGCTGAAAACTAGTACGGCCCGGGTTCGAATCCTAGCGGAGACATTAGAATAAGTAATCACCTTGTACTATCTAACAGGTCAATAGTTGTAAACACGGTTAGTATTGCTGAAATGCTAAAATTTACACTAAGTGTCTTCAGATGTTTATAGAATTATTGTTACCTGAACGTGGGAGTTTATTAAAATGTCACATCACCAGATACATAAGTATCAAAGTTTCAAGGTTTCTTTATTCACTCAGACACATGTACGTGTAACAAGAGGTTGTTACAATTCAATTTTACAAAATATAAGGAGCGATGATCGACATAATATATTGTATACAGTTCATTGGGTTAATGGACAATTGTTCCAAATCGATACAAAAAACTATTACAATCAATATTGGCTAATATACGAAGTATGCTTAATATTACTTAATTTTTACAGAACGAAATCATAGCAGGTTTGATAATTTTCGTACAAATAGGCTTACATTAATTAACAACTTTTTGTTAAATATTGTAAACATCCCATTCATTTTATAATAGTTTGGATTCGTATAGAAGTAGGACGGGATGAACTTACGTCTTAACTGTAGTACATTATCATTATTACAAAGAAACAAAAAATGGAATTTATCACCTATACCAGTGTCACATAATGGACAAATTCTGTTCTCTCGCTGGACTCCTGTCCATCTTCCTGTTTCAACAGGAAGTTTTATATTGGAAGTTCTGAATTTACATATTACTTTCCACTCTTTCTCATTTAGACGTTTTAAATAATCTTCAATTCCGAAATGATTTTTAAATATACTGTATGTTTGTCCTCATGTTGAAGTTTCCAACTGCTGAAACCAATTTTGAATAAACTGATCGTGTAATGTCTGTTTAACTTTATTCTTTAAATAGTTAACATTGGGTATGCATGATTTCTGATGTATCCAGACAAAACTAAGTCCGACACTGTCTAAAATATCTTTAACATAATTGATCCATTTGAACTGAATTTGTCCAGCTTCATAAAAAGAATACATTAGTCTGTACATATGACTAGATAACTTATTTTCATTTGTGATTAAATTATACCATAAATTTATCATTCTCAATTTTATATCAACTATAATAGGATATCTTCCTGTCTCTCCATATATCATAAAATTGGAGGTGTGTTGAACACACAACCGTATCAACAGGTAGCGTTATATGCCATTTTCTTAGTCATGATCATTTCATTATTTCCTCGTTGCTAGTTTATCTTGAGACAGCTGTTCTGTGGTGCAACAGGGACAGGTATGTGTTTACAATTTCCGGCAGAGATTGAGGAAAAGAGACGTTTGCTATACCCCATTAAAAAGAAAGCGATGGCTGACAAGTTGAAAACTAAGTTGGTTCGCAACAAACTGTATATTGAAGGCAAATTGTACGTTCCCGACGATCAACGCAGCGATGCGCGCACCGAACGCGACAATGACTCATTCAGTGACGTTGTAAGGGGGGGACTTCTCGCCTGTCTCTCATCCAAGGAATAAGCAGAGACGTCGATTCACATTTACTCCTCCTGGTGCTGCTAATAGGACCGAATCATCCCGTTTCTAGGGGTGTCAGGGGGAAAGACGCTCTCTTAAAATCACCTCGTGGAATGTAAACCGTGGATTAGAGCATAAATTGACTGAACCAGGTTTTATTGACGTAATTTCCGGTTCCGATATATTTTTTTTGTCAGAATGCTGGGTCAGTCATGATAGTGTTTTAGATTGTAATCTCCTCCCTGATAATTATGATATATCGTCATATCCTCGTGAAAAGGGTAAAGGCGGGGGCCTTGTTTTATTATACAATAAGCAATTTGACTTGTCAGTTGTTAAGTATACAGCATACACACTTCTTTGGGTTAAAATAAGACAATATACTGCTGCTGATATTTATATTTAATTTTCCTACATACCACACGATAATAATGTATATTATACTCTGTACGAAAACGATGTATTTGACGTCATTGCAAATGACGTAGGTTTTTACTCACTACTTGGTAACGTCATTGTTGCCGGTGATCTCAATAGTAGAATTGGCAATGTTGCTGATTACATAGAGTCTGATAATGTACCAAAACCTATTGCCCATACACTCTCTAATTTATTCGTATACAATAATGACACTGTTATGTCAAAACGTACATCTTCTGATGGAACTGTTAACACTTTTGGTAGTAAACTACTTCAACTCTGTAAAAGTACTGGTCTTCGTGTATGTAACGACAGATCACCTGGCGATAGGACCGGTAAACTTACTTTTTACAATCACTTAGGATCAAGTGTAATTGATTATGTACTCATACAAAAGGAGTCATTTGGTATTGTCACCAAATTTAATGTATGTGATTTTAATGAATGGTCTGACCATGTGCCAATTGATTTTGTATTTAATGTTACATTTCGTCCGTCTGAAAAACAAGCCGGTGTTGATAATAATGTCAAAAATGATTTATCATCAAATATGTAAGTGGGACACTGATGAAGAAGATCAAATGAAAAGTCATTTAGACAAGACATTGTTAATGATATGCAGTCATCAACAGTCTCAGTAGATCGTGGTATTGATCTTTTTTCGTCTGTTTTGAATGAAGTTTTTAGTCCTTGTTGTAAGTCATTTTCTTCTACGCCATCAAACAAGCAAACCAAACCTCGTAACGATAAACCATGGTTTGATGATAAATGTAGACGCCTATACCACTTGTATCGACGTAGCTTATTTTCTTTCAACTCCGATAGGAGTCCCACAAACAGACTGTCTCTTGTTGAAGCCAAACGTAAATATAAACGTTATGTAAGGTTAGTTAAACGTAGGTATTTCAGATCAGAAGGTGATCGTATAAGTATGTTACGAAGAAGAAACCCTAAACTTTTGTATCAATTTTTTAAGAAAAAGTCTGGCTCTCCAAGTAGCAGTTTGAATCTAGTAGACTTTTTTGATCATTTTAAATTAGTAAGTAGTGGTGATAATAGCAATGAAGTTCCATTGACTTTTTCAGACTATGATAACGCACCAGTGTATGACAAATTAGATGTTCCTATTACAGTTAATGAAGCATTGAAAGTTTTAAAAAGTGCCAGTTTAGGTAAATCGCCTGGAATTGATAATATTCTTAATGAATTTTTCGTCAAGCATCAGGATATATTTGCTCCTGTTCTTTCAAAGCTTTTTAATGTTATTTTTGATATGGGGATTTTTCCCTCTGTCTGGTCTAGGGGTATCATTTTCCCTCTGTTCAAAAAAGGTGACCCCAATGACACAAACAATTACCGAGGAATTACTTTGGTAAGTTGTCTATCTAAATTGTTTACTTGTGTTTTAAATAATAGGCTACTAGAATGGTCTAATGAGTATAACGTCGTCTCCGACGCCCAGTTCGGGTTTAAACCTGGTTTTGGTACTAATGATGTTATTTTTGCTTTACATGGTAAAATTCAGAAAATGTTGTCTAATAACCGGAAGCTATATTGCTGTTTTGTCGATTATCGTAAGGCCTTTGATAGCGTAAACAGAAACAAATTATTTTTGAAACTTTTTAATAGTGGTATTAGAGGTAAGCTATAATATATTCAATCATTATATAGTGGTCTTAAGTCCTGTGTAAGGTATAAGTCTGAACTGTCCGATTTTTTTTCATGCTCACAAGGCTTAATGCAAAGTGAGGGGTTATCTCCCTTTTTGTACTCAATGTATGTGAATGATTTCGAAAATGGACTTATTAATTCCTCGTGTGAGGCTTTATTCTCAAGAGACGTTTCTTTATTTCTATTAATGTACGCAGATGACACTGTTTTGTTTTCAGAGTCTGCTACTGGTTTACAAAATTTACTTGATTCTTTAGAACAGTACAGTAACAAATGGCAATTGACAGTTAATTCGGAGAAAACAAAAATTGTTATATTTCGAAATGGTGGGAGGTTACGTATTGGTGAAAAGTTTTATTTTAGTGGCAATGAAATATAAATTGTTGATAAATTTAAATATCTTGGAGTATTGCTCAACTTTAATGGTAAGTTTACTAAAACTCAAATTACAATTGCTGAACAAGGTCGTAAATGTATGTTTAATGTACTAAGAATTTGCAACAATTTGTCCCTTAATGTAGAATCTAAACTAAATGTTTTTGATGTATATGTTTCCTCTGTTCTTAATTATGGTTGTGAAACATGGGGTTTTAATTCTGCGGATGTAGTAGAAAAAGTACATATTGATTTTTTAAAAAGAATTTTGAATGTAAAAAAGAGTACTCCATCTTTTATAGTTTACTCAGAGTTAGGTCGCTTGCCTTTACATATTATCAGAAAATGTCGTATAATCAAATACTGGCTAAAACTTATTAAATGCGATAATTGTGTTCTTAAATCAATTTATGAAGAAATGAATTAATGTAATCATAGAAAATATAATTGGCGTTGTCAAGTTAAAAATGTGTTATTCTCTTCCGGTTTTGGAAATGTATGATTAACACATAATGTTGATAATGAAAAGTTATTTTTGCAGAGTCTTAAGCAACGCTTGACTGATAATTTTATTCAGGCAAGGAATGAATTTGTTGACCAGTCATCAAAATGTTACCTATATAAGTTTCTGATCGACAGTTTTACATTGCAATTTTATTTGACAAAGTCTATCCCTGATGTGTTTTTTAAACCCATCTCTAAATTACGGCTCTCATCGCACCATTTACCCGTAGAAGAGGGACGGTATCGTAATATTCCGAGGGCAAATCGGCTTTGCCGTCATTGTGATCAAAATCAGGTAGAGGACGAATTCCATTTTGTTTTGGTCTGTCCACAGTATGTAGATAATCGCAAAAAAATTTATAAAGAAGTGTTACTGGAACCGTCCATCGTCTTATAAACTAATTCAATTGCTTCTGTAAAAAATAGAAAAGAGCTGTGTAATTTAGGGAAGTTTTTGCAATTAAGTTTTTTTTAGCTAGGTCTAGATTCTACCATTAAATTACTACTGTTTCTATCTCTAGGTTTATATTCGTTATATTTACTGTTGTCGTCTATCTCCTGACTACACCACTTTGTAACTGTTATAATAAGCTTTATGCCCAAGCTTATGTAACGCTCAGATAATGCAACTTTGTCTTTGTCTTCTGTCGTCCGACTTCAGTTTGTTAGATCCATTATATTAATATATCGTATTCTCAGCATTCCATCTTCCATTAATTTGTATATCTTGTACATCAATATTAATTAACTGTATTTACATTAAATGCGTATATGCTGTACAAGAATGTTATATATGTACTCTGTATACTTATGAGCCGTAAGGCTTAAAGTGAATAAACAATACAATGCTATTGTTAAGGTAACGACACCGTTTTACCGCAGTGCGCCTTACCAACTTACCTGGCTGACATGCAAACAACATCACCGACATACAAGGGTATAGCACAGAAAACTTAATAGATCGGGTCTGACAGGCGAACAACTGTCACCGATCACTGATAATTACTCCCTCTCTCATATCAAACTTCCCTGTCACGAGCTCAGACAATATTGAAATATTGATATTAAACTAGTTATATATGCTTACGTAAACTTAAATACGTCACAGTTTTTTGAAAAATGACTCATGTAATTACATTATACTGGTAGGTATTGAGGTAACTTATATCGAGCGTGTATCATCTTTCTTATATGACGTTAATATTTACCTAATGTATAGCAGGAACACGTCACATCACCAGATACGTAAGTCTCTGATATATTACTGTACAGCTGTAAGTTTGGTATTCACTGACTATATTATAGATGCAATACATACCTGAGGGTCGGTAATGTGATAACAGGCGTCACTTGCTTGTATGTTTGAGGGTGTAGTCTTATCGTCACATTTACATGCGTGTGTCGTGTGTGGGAGGGAATGTCACTCGTGTACAGCGTGTATCAATGTGAATTTGTAATGTTATAAAGGATAACGTTGGAGAGATTTCAGAAATATTTGTGGTTGAGGACGGGTCATGAACTGGTCAATAAAGATAAAACCACTGGATTAAAAGGATATCCACGATACCCCCTTCCTTACTCTCCATCAGACGTCAACATACCGTTAGTTTTCAAAGTTGTAGCCACAGACAGTAAGGCTAACACATGAATGATTCAGTGTGTAATATTCCTGGGGTTCGGTCCGACATTGCTCACATACCGCACGGGTCACTGACTAAGTATGCATACATATATACATATCTTGACCTGAAGATACGTAATGATGATGAAATGACTTTAAAGTCTGTGTCTATATACTCTTCTACTACTAGACACACAGACAAACTTTATTTTACGAGTTTTAGCGTAATGCGTACATCCTGCTGTTACAGTCTGGTAGACGGATATATTGCTGGCAGTGCACTTTTAACACTAGAAACACTAGTGTAAGTATCGATTGAGATAGTGTGTGTATTCTGCTGTTATCTCTATGTTCGATACTGTACATGGGCGTTTCCCTTTTCACCTGCTGGTAGGCAATATATGTAAGCTAGGGTTGCATCTTACCTGTAACGTGTCAGAACTACATTTATATCTACTGTAAAATTAGTCAAACGTTACAAATACGCCATGTCAGGTACACAACAATAACTATATTCTATAACATTATACTGAAGGAAACATTCTTACCTGATCCGGAGTAAGTACGACTTGATGGTTCGGCTGACAGTCACGGTAATCATACGTATATGACCACTTCCGCCTCGTTGTCACGTTTCCTTATATGGACGTATATAACTTTCCAAAAATATCTATATCCGGGCAATTCGCTGGTGTTAATACGTGTTGCTAGGCAATGAACGCTGTTCTTTTCTGCATATAGTCATGTGATATATAGATGTAAAGCTTTTTCAGAATGATACATTTGATAAGCAATACTTTGCAATATATTTCATCACAGTACAGTGTAGCAGTCATGTTACACTTATTCTAGAAACAGCGGTTAATGGATTCAAGAATGGTGAGAACAATATTTTGATTTAATTCAATATTTTATCCCTACGGCAGTTTTGAATCGCCTTTGCGAACAAAATCGATATGGAAAATCAAATGGCATTATTTGAACCTGCAGTGAAAATGAATTTGGCGAGTAACTTCCCGCAGGAGTTACCAAGAGGTATAAGACGATGTCGTTGTCAGAATAAACAGGGAACAAATTCAACCGTCCTTGTCAAGACTCCCAGTCTTTAGTTTATTGCGATAATGACTCTATAAAAGGACATGAAAATTTTGTTAATAAATATTTTATGTTGTTATTTCCTGTAACCGATGAGTCAATTGATTTAAGGTAACAAAGAACCTGAACCCTACGTATTTAAACAAATGATCATTACAGTAAATGTGCAAACAAAGAAAGGAATTAATTTCTTAATCTGATATTGATAGAATGTCCCGACAGGAATCGAACCGGAGTCCTCGACTATCTTGGCGAAGTAATAGAAAATCTTTAACGATGTATAAAGCAACTCCGACCCGATCCTTTTCATCACCTGATGAAATAGACAGTAGACATAACTATCAAACGATAGTCAGATTATATTTATTGTCAATGTGAATGAAGTTTGGATGGCAGATGGATTATCATAGGGCCTTGACTTTCGTCATTTTCAAATTGCATGCATAGATACAATCTTACGATCGCTCAACGGTCAAATATATCATATTACTTTCCTACAACGAAACCATCATGGACGCTTTTCCATCAAGCAGTATGGCAGGCGTCATGATTTCGGTTTCCCTGTTGGTTTTCTATTTCTGGATGGCAATATTCTTGCATTCTCAACCTTTGGTGTTTACATATCGCAGTTCATTCAATATTCAACGACCTGTTCATTATTGTTACATTACAGTGACTGAGTGTGATACTGGGTAGATTTATCATTATTGTTACATTACAGTGACTGAGTGTGATACTGTGTGGAGTTGTCATTATTGTTACATTACAGTGACTGAGCCCCGTGTGATACTGTGTAGATTTGTCATTATTGTTACATTACAGTGACTGAGCCCCGTGTGATACTGTGTGGAGTTGTCATTATTGTTACATTACAGTGACTGAGCCCCGTGTGATACTGTGTAGAGTTGTCATTATTGTTACATTACAGTGACTGAGTGTGATACTGTGTAGAGTTGTCATTATTGTTACATTACAGTGACTGAGCCCCGTGTGATACTGTGTAGATTTGTCATTATTGTTACATTACAGTGACTGAGCCCCGTGTGATACTGTGTAGAATTGTCATTATTGTTACATTACAGTGACTGAGCCCCGTGTGATACTGTGTAGAGTTGTCAGTATTGTTACATTACAGTGACTGAGTGTGATACTGTGTAGATTTGTCATTATTGTTACATTACAGTGACTGAGCCCCGTGTGATACTGTGTAGAGTTGTCAGTATTGTTACATTACAGTGACTGAGCCCCGTGTGATACTGTGTAGAGTTGTCATTATTGTTACATTACAGTGACTGAGCCCCGTCTGATACTGTGTAGAGTTGTCAGTATTGTTACATTACAGTGACTGAGCCCCGTGTGATACTGTGTAGAGTTGTCATTATTGTTACATTACAGTGACTGAGCCCCGTGTGATACTGTGTAGAGTTGTCAGTATTGTTACATTACAGTGACTGAGCCCCGTCTGATACTGTGTAGAGTTGTCATTATTGTTACATTACAGTGAATGAGCCCCGTGTGATACTGTGTAGATTTGTCATTATTGTTACATTACAGTGACTGAGCCCCGTGTGATACTGTGTAGATTTGTCATTATTGTTACATTACAGTGACTGAGCCCCGTGTGATACTGTGTGGAGTTGTCATTATTGTTACATTACAGTGACTGAGCCCCGTGTGATACTGTGTAGAGTTGTCATTATTGTTACATTACAGTGACTGAGCCCCGTGTGATACTGTGTAGAGTTGTCATTATTGTTACATTACAGTGACTGAGTGTGATACTGTGTAGATTTGTCATTATTGCTACATTACAGTGACTGAGCCCCGTGTGATACTGTGTAGAGTTGTCATTATTGTTACATTACAGTGACTGAGCCCCGTGTGATACTGTGTAGAGTTGTCAGTATTGCTACATTACAGTGACTGAGCCCCGTGTGATACTGTGTAGAGTTGTCAGTATTGTTACATTACAGTGACTGAGCCCCGTGTGATACTGTGTAGAATTGTCATTATTGTTACATTACAGTGACTGAGCCCCGTGTGATACTGTGTAGAGTTGTCAGTATTGTTACATTACAGTGACTGAGCCCCGTGTGATACTGTGTAGAGTTGTCAGTATTGTTACATTACAGTGACTGAGCCCCGTGTGATACTGTGTAGAGTTGTCATTATTGTTACATTACAGTGACTGAGCCCCGTGTGATACTGTGTAGAGTTGTCATTATTGTTACATTACAGTGACTGAGCCCCGTGTGATACTGTGTAGAGTTGTCAGTATTGTTACATTACAGTGACTGAGCCCCGTGTGATACTGTGTAGATTTGTCATTATTGTTACATTACAGTGACTGAGCCCCGTGTGATACTGTGTAGAGTTGTCATTATTGTTACATTACAGTGACTGAGCCCCGTGTGATACTGTGTAGAGTTGTCATTATTGTTACATTACAGTGACTGAGCCCCGTGTGATACTTTGTAGATTTGTCATTATTGTTACATTACAGTGACTGAGCCCCGTGTGATACTGTGTAGAGTTGTCAGTATTGTTACATTACAGTGACTGAGCCCCGTGTGATACTGTGTAGAGTTGTCAGTATTGTTACATTACAGTGACTGAGCCCCGTGTGATACTGTGTAGAGTTGTCAGTATTGTTACATTACATTTTTTTCTTTTTGACTAAGATATATGTTGGATAAGAGAGGCTAGCGGTTTTTGTTAGAAAACCGGTACTTTTTTATTGTACTTTGAAAATCATAATAACAAAAAGGTTTCAAAATATCATATAATTTATTAATCGACATTGATAGATATGAAGTAGAGAACATCAACAAGTGAATTAACAAACAAAATAAAAAAGAATCAGGGTCCCAAAAACGTAGCTGTGCTTTGTCAATCATTTATTAGAATCAAATAGATGTTAACAACATTAAAATCTCCTAGAAAATCCGAACAAGTCGACTCTACAAATGTTCTTATAAAGATTTTAAATATTGGACTTCGTTCGAATACGAATTATGATACATTTTTAAAATGCTCAAAATATGTCGGAATTTATATTAGAGAAAACTTTCAACTCACTAACCTTTCCCCACAGGCAAATAGATTACTTTAATCGCGGAAAGGTAGATCATAGATATTGAATTAATAACATGGCTATTTTTACGTTACATTTTGTCATGACTTTGTGTAAGAATTTGGCATGGAATGTGAGACTTGGCTACGAAACTTAAAACGTCAGATTCCGTAATATTTTCGTCACCATCGTCTTTAAGATATTTGGGATTGGTCAGCGGAAAAAGGAGAGATCACACTCATAAAAATTGCGGAAGACGGCTAGTTTTAACAGTGTGAAATAGCACAGTAACTACATTGTCACAACTAGTAACTTTCTCGTCAAACTTCCTCAAACTTAAGACTTGTTTTTTTAAGTTAAATAAAACAAAGGGAAATAAATCAAACAAGAGGGTTTACTATTTTACGGAAGTGCGATAAATATATGTAAGTGTCATCCCATACTGTATATTGATCAACCTCACTCATTACAGTTGGTGAGTGCAGACCTGGAGTCCGATGACCAGGGGATAGATCCTAAAATGGACGGAGGCACAATATGAATCTAAGCGTCTAAGCTACTTTGTGACAGCCAAGCGTCTTACTGAATAGCACATTGTTCATCAGTGTCTTTTAAACACTCAAGCAGTCATGGCAAGTGACAGGTCAGCAGATTGTTGTCCCTCACGAACCACTGTGATAGGGAGATAGCACTGCTTTCTGTCATGCAAAAAGTTCTGGAAAAAATAAAAAAAATCTTAACGCAGATCTTTATACGCTGATTTAGTTTGTCAGTGAAAATCTCAACAAATAAGTGGTGTCTATGGAAATGTCGTGACTAGGAATCATATGTAAAGACCAAAATATAAAAAGCTGTTATCACAAATGTTCTTTTTTTTTTGCAAATTTCTTAATAAATCCTTTTGACAATGACCTACCTAGGTAGATAACCACGTTACCTGAGGGAGGTATATGCAATATGTTATTACTTCTGTAAATATTTGTTACTTACGTGAGCATATGTCATGCCATTCTTTTTCTCTTTTTCAGAAGTTGTTTTGCCAACCCATACAAATACGCCAAGACTTTTGTGAAGGAGCAAAAACACATCCTGTAAACAAGCAGAGGATCTGTTGTTATTGTTGTTGTTGCTGATGTTGCGTACATATCACAAATGATCACATTTCCTCTGTTAAAAGGCTGACGTAAGAATCTGTTTTAGTATTCGATACTCTTGCTTCCCGATATCAAAAGAACAGAGATGTTGATGTCGTATTCGAGAAATATGGTAAGAGAAACCTTGTCAAATGTAAACAGTGATGCTATAAATAGATACATGACGGGATAAGACCCTGGGAAAATCTCGTCGTATGTTGGAGTATAAAAGGTGATGTTAAAACCAGTCCTTAGGTCAAAAAACAATTAAATAGGAAAACAGTGCATTATCTTTCAGTAAACATTTTTGTCATCAAAGAAACGTGCATTTTTCCCTAGGCAAGAGACTTCGTCTCAAGGTTCTGGACAAATACTACATAGTTGTACCAAATATACAACACCATCATACTGTAGTGAGTACACCATCATACTGTAGTGAGTACCAAATATACAACACCATCATACTGTAGTGAGTACCAAATATACAACACCATCATACTGTAGTGAGTACACCATCATACTGTAGTGAGTACCAAATATACAACACCATCATACTGTAGTGAGTACACCATCATACTGTAGTGAGTACCAAATATACAACACCATCATACTGTAGTGAGTACCAAATTTACAACACCATCATACTGTAGTGAGTACCAAATTTACAACACCATCATACTGTAGTGAGTACCAAATTTACAACACCATCATACTGTAGTGAGTACCAAATATACAACACCATCATACTGTAGTGAGTACACCATCATACTGTAGTGAGTACACCATCATACTGTAGTGAGTACCAAATATACAACACCATCATACTGTAGTGAGTACCAAATTTACAACACCATCATACTGTAGTGAGTACCAAATATACAACACCGTCATACTGCGGTGAGTACCAAATTTACAACACCATCATACTGCGGTGAGTACCAAATTTACAACACCATCATACTGTAGTGAGTACCAAATTTACAACACCGTCATACTGCGGTGAGTACCAAATATACAACACCGTCATACTGCGGTGAGTACCAAATATACAACACCGTCATACTGCGGTGAGTACACCGTCATACTGCGGTGAGTACCAAATATACAACACCGTCATACTGCGGTGAGTACCAAATATACAACACCATCATACTGCGGTGAGTACCAAATAATGAATTTGGATCATATATATATATGTATATCTAGTAGACACTATAAGGATGTATGTATATCGTACATATAGAAGTCAGGTAAGAATCCAACTTGAAAAAACAAACAAACAAATACAAAACAGGATGTATGTACATCACGCTCTACCTATTTGAGTCAAGTAAGAATCAAACAAAAATTGTTTACCTCGGATTTTAAATCGCACGGCGTCACGTTTCCGGTTTTCACCTGACTCATGGCCAGTTTACCAGAAGAATCGGAAAGCCTGCAACAAAAGCAAATTATTTTTTCTTTGTTAATCGATGTTTGACAACATTACTTTTACATATATACACCCTCACACACCCTAACACACCCTCACATATCCCCTTACATACACCCTCACACACACCCTCACAAACCTCACATACACCATCACATACACCCTCACATACACCCTCACAAACTTCACATACTTCCTCACATACACCCTCATACACCCTCACATACACCTCACACACCCTCACATACACCTCACACATACCCTCACATACACCCTCACAAACTTCACATACATCCTAACATACACCCTCACAAACCCTAACACACCCTCACATATCCCCTTACATACACCCTCACACACACCCTCACAAACCTCACATACACCATCACATACACCCTCACATACACCCTCACAAACTTCACATACTTCCTCACATACACCCTCACACACCCTCACATACACCTCACACACCCTCACATACACCTCACACATACCCTCACATACACCCTCACAAACTTCACATACATCCTAACATACACCCTCACAAACCCTAACACACCCTCACATATCCCCTTACATACACCCTCACACACACCCTCACAAACCTCACATACACCATCACATACACCCTCACATACACCCTCACAAACTTCACATACTTCCTCACATACACCCTCACACACCCTCACATACACCTCACACACCCTCACATACACCTCACACATACCCTCACATACACCCTCACAAACTTCACATACATCCTAACATACACCCTCACAAACCCTAACACACCCTCACATATCCCCTTACATACACCCTCACACACACCCTCACAAACCTCACATACACCATCACATACACCCTCACATACACCCTCACAAACTTCACATACTTCCTCACATACACCCTCACACACCCTCACATACACCTCACACACCCTCACATACACCTCACACATACCCTCACATACACCCTCACAAACTTCACATACATCCTAACATACACCCTCACAAACCCTAACACACCCTCACATATCCCCTTACATACACCCTCACACACACCCTCACAAACCTCACATACACCATCACAAAGTTCACATACACCCTCACAAACCCTAACACACCTTCACATACACCCTCACATACCCTCACATACTTTCTCACATACATCCTCACACACCCTCACATACACCTCACACACCCTCACATACACCTCACACATACCCTCACATACACCCTTGTATACACCATCACATACCCTCATACACCCTCATACACACACTTACATACACCAGCACATACACCCTCACACATACCATCACATACACCCTCACACACCCTCACATACACCTCACACATACCCTCACATACACCCTTGTATACACCATCACATACCCTCATACACCCTCATACACACACTCACATACACCAGCACATACACCCTCACACATACCATCACATACACCCTCACACACCCTCACATACACCTCACACATACCCTCACATACACCTCACACATACCCTCACATACACCCTTGTATACACATCACATACCCTCACACACCCTCACACACACACTCACATACACCAGCACATACACCCTCACACATACCATCAAATACACCCTCTCACACCCTCACAAACACCCTCACATACCCCTCACACACCATCACATACACCCTAACACACCCTCACACACACACTCACATACACCAGCACATACACCCTCACACATACCATCACGTACACCCTCACACACCCTCACATACACCCTAACATACACCTCACACACCATCACATACACCCTCACACACCCTCACATACACCCTCACACACACTCACATACACCATCACACAATATCACTTGCACCATAACCTGCACTAATTCACACACATATATCCTGTTCATATATTACACTGTTTTTCTTACATTCACCACCATCAGTTTTTTACCTGCACACTCACCACCACCAGTTTTTCACCTGCACACTCACCACAATCTGTTTTTCACCTGCACACTCACCACAATCTGTTTTTACCTGTACACTCACCACAATCTGTTTTTCACCTGCACACTCACCACAATCTGTTTTTACCTGTATACTCACCACAATCTGTTTTTACCTGTACACTCACCACAATCTGTTTTTTACCTGCACACTCACCACCATCTGTTTTTCACCTGTACAATCACCACCATCAGTTTTTCACCTGTACACTCGCCACCATCAGTTTTTTACCTGTACACTCACCACCATCAGTTTTTTATCTGCACACTCACCACCATCAGTTTTTACCTGCACACTCACCACCATCAGTTTTTTACCTGCACACTCACCACCATCAGTTTTTTACCTGCACACTCACCACCATCAGTTTTTTACCTGCACACTCACCACCATCAGTTTTTTACCTGCACACTCACCACCACCAGTTTTTTACCTGCACACTCACCACCATCAGTTTTTTACCTGCACACTCACCACCATCAGTTTTTTACATGCACACTCACCACCATCAGTTTTTTACCTGCACACTCACCACAATCATGGTTATGCTAGACTGGGTTTTTTTTTATCTCAATGGTATATGAACTAAATAGGGTTGTCGACAGTATGAGAAGTAAATATGAACTTATTATCAAGATATATCTAATTTACCGACATAATGTTTGCAAAATACATCTTTAAATACAAAGAGATATAGTATTGGTTGTATGATGAATTGACTATTTCATCCTAACAGATTTCATATTTCAGATTTTATTGTACGCTCAGACACACAGATTGTGCTACAAGGGGCCACATATAAACAACAAATATTAAACATGGCGGAACACAATAATAACACAGTTTTGATACCTGTATACATATATACGTTGAGTTTTCATATATTCAAAGGTTTTTCAAGTTTTTCTAGAAATCTATTAATATGAATTAGCAAACGAACGTTACACAGAGAAAAAAGACCTTCCATTTTCGTACGACTAGGATATATACAGTAATATTTTGGAATATATAAATGTCGGATTTGACATACCAATTCATGTTCACAAATAAATAAATAATGATACTCACAGGAATCGTCAGTGATAATAATGTACTTAAGTATGTAAATCAATAGCTACCAGATTTTTCAGAACCTGTCAAGACCATCATGGTATCGTCTCATAACAGTTATATATATACTCTAAGACCTTAATTGACGACAACAAAAGAAAACGACATTTCCTCTTACGTTTTTAATCAGCATAAAACATATAGCACATATCGAAGTATCCCTTATGTAACCGTGAGTCAGAATAATTCCATGTTTACCTAATAAGTAATATAACACACGCTGTGACGACCACTTTACTTACTGGACAGACACTGTGACGACCACTTTACTTACTGGACAGACACTGTGACGACCACTTTACTTACTGGACAGACGCTGTGACGACCACTTTACTTACTGGACAGACGCTGTGACGACCACTTTACTTACTGGACAGACGCTGTGACGATCACTTTACTTACTGGTCAGACGCTGTGACGACCACTTTACTTACTGGACAGACGCTGTGACGACCACTTTACTTACTGGACAGACGCTGTGACGACCACTTTACTTACTGGACAGACGCTGTGACGATCACTTTACTTACTGGACAGACGCTGTGACGACCACTTTACTTACTGGACAGACACTGTGACGATCACTTTACTTACTGGTCAGACGCTGTGACGACCACTTTACCTACTGGACAGACGCTGTGACGACCACTTTACTTACTGGACAGACGCTGTGACGACCACTTTACTTACTGGACAGACACTGTGACGATCACTTTACTTACTGGACAGACGCTGTGACGACCACTTTACTTACTGGACAGACGCTGTGACGACCACTTTACTTACTGGACAGACACTGTGACGACCACTTTACTTACTGGACAGACGCTGTGACGATCACTTTACTTACTGGACAGACACTGTGACGATCACTTTACTTACTGGTCAGACGCTGTGACGACCACTCACGACGACCACTTTACTTACTGGACAGACACTGTGACGACCACTTTACTTACTGGACAGACGCTGTGACGACCACTTTACTTACTGGACAGACGCTGTGACGACCACTTTACTTACTGGACAGACGCTGTGACGACCACTTTACTTACTGGACAGACGCTGTGACGACCACTTTACTTACTGGACAGACGCTGTGACGACCACTTTACTTACTGGACAGACGCTGTGACGACCACTTTACTTACTGGACAGACGCTGTGACGACCACTTTACTTACTGGACAGACGCTGTGACGATCACTTTACTTACTGGACAGACGCTGTGACGATCACTTTACTTACTGGACAGACACTGTGACGATCACTTTACTTACTGGACAGACGCTGTGACGACCACTTTACTTACTGGACAGACGCTATAACGACCACTTTACTTACTGGACAGACGCTGTGACGACCACTTTACTTACTGGTCAGACGCTGTGACGACCACTTTACTTACTGGACAGACACTGTGACGATCACTTTACTTACTGGACAGACGCTGTGACGACCACTTTACTTACTGGACAGACGCTGTGACGACCACTTTACTTACTGGACAGACGCTGTGACGACTTCTTTACTTACTGGACAGACACTGTGACGATCACTTTACTTACTGGACAGACGCTGTGACGATCACTTTACTTACTGGACAGACGCTGTGACGATCACTTTACTTACTGGACAGACGCTGTGACGATCACTTTACTTACTGGACAGTCGCTGTGACGACTTCTTTACTTACTGGTCAGACGCTGTGACGACCACTTTACTTACTGGACAGACGCTGTGACGACCACTTTACTTACTGGACAGACGCTGTGACGACCACTTTACTTACTGGACAGACGCTGTGACGACCACTTTACTTACTGGACAGACGCTGTGACGACCACTTTACTTACTGGACAGACGCTATAACGACCACTTTACTTACTGGACAGACGCTGTGACGACCACTTTACTTACTGGACAGACGCTATAACGACCACTTTACTTACTGGTCAGACGCTGTGACGACCACTTTACTTACTGGACAGACGCTGTGACGACCACTTTACTTACTGGACAGACGCTGTGACGACCACTTTACTTACTGGTCAGACGCTGTGACGACCACTTTACTTACTGGACAGACACTGTGACGATCACTTTACTTACTGGACAGACGCTGTGACGACTTCTTTACTTACTGGTCAGACGCTGTGACGACCACTTTACTTACTGGACAGACGCTGTGACGACCACTTTACTTACTGGACAGACGCTGTGACGACCACTTTACTTACTGGACAGACGCTGTGACGATCACTTTACTTACTGGTAGAGTAACTTATCTTCGATGCTGTCTTCACCTGCTTCGTCGTCACTGTCCTCATCTTCAAGTTCGGTTTCTGGCAGGGCGGCATAGAACTTGTGCTACAAAGATGTAGATGTACTCTATAACCACGGTTTTGGTTTAAGATTTAAGGTCCTGTCAACAGCTATGGTCTTATTTAAGAACAGCTTCCATACGTATGCGGGGCGTGTGCACGTGTTGAGTGTGCTTTCGGAAAGGTTTTTAATAATAGTGTCTGCCACCTTGTGATAATGTGAACTGCACCTGACATTATGAAATATACTGCCAGCAGGACACTCTACCAGCCGTCATATCATAAAGATAATGGGCAAACCAATCGTTAATCTTCCGCATTGCTGATCGTTAAGAAGAGAGTGCTAACCCCTGTTTTTTAAAGATTCTGGTTTGACACGAAAGGAAGAAATGAAAACCTGGTTCTCATTCCGGAACGACAAACTACTTGCTCTGATCGAACAAAATTCACAACATGACGGGTGTTGTCGATGAAGCAGAAGACACTTACTTTTCCAGAAAACCGGGTCTTATTCTCCTTGTGTCTCCGTGTAAATCTTTCTGACTTTCCGATTTTGCCCTAGTTTTATTGAATTTTAGTTTGAATTAAGACTGTGTTGACGTGTCGGTATTTCTTAGTTTTTGAAAACTCCTTTAAGTACAGCTTGATCATTTTCCGTGGTACAAGTAAGATGGGGTAAAACATGTTTTGCCGGTACCATTTAAAACTTACCTCTGGGTGCAGCATGTCCTCCTCCAGAGTTTCAGACGTAGCTTTTCTTTCGATCTTCAGGTTGGACAGGAAAGACATTGCCTGTTAAGGGAAACTTTTATGTGATTATCACTTTTCGACAGATATATTTCAATATAGGTCATGTCTTTAAAGCTCACCCCTGAATATACCTTTACTTCTTAGTTATCTATCAAATATCAATTCTGTCTTGTACAAATCGTATCTTTACTCCATTACTCCCCCAGGTAGCATCCGTAGATTACCCCTTCCCAACAATATATGCATTTACCCCATATCCCAGAACACTACGTCCACCAGATCAAATCTTACACATTAAACACTACTGTCCTCCGTCGTTTTACGTACTCTGTCCCGTCCACCCATCACATATGTACTTGTTCTCGACTCCAGCTATCCTAAAATCTCACGTTCACTGTAACTACCCAAAATCTCACGTGCACTGTATCTATCCCAAAATCTCACGTGCACTGTAGCTACCCCCCAAAATATTATGCACTGTAGCTACCCCAAACAATCTCACGTGCACTGTAGCTACTCCAAAATATCACGTTCACTGTAGCTTCCCCAAAATCTCACGTGCACAGTAGCTACTCCAAAATCTCACGTGCACAGTAGCTACTCCAAAATATCACGTTCACTGTAGCTACCCCAAAATCTCACGTGCACTGTAGCTATCCCAAAATCTCACGTGCACTGTAGCTTCCCCAAAATCTCACGTGCACTGTAGCTACCCCCCAAAATCTCACGTGCACTGTAGCTACTCCAAAATATCACGTTCACTGTAGCTTCCCCAAAATCTCACGTGCACTGTAGCTACACCCAAAATCTCACGTGCACTGTAGCTACTCCAAAATCTCACGTTCACTGTAGCTTCCCCAAAATCTCACGTGCACTGTAGCTACTCCAAAATATCACGTTCACTGTAGCTTCCACAAAATCTCACATGCACTGTAGCTACACCCATCATCTCACGTGCACTGTTGCTACCCCAAAATCTCACGTGCACTGTAGCTATCCCAAAATCTCACGTGCACTGTAGCTTCCCCAAAATCTCACGTGCACTGTAGCTACCCCCCAAAATCTCACGTGCACTGTAGCTACACCCAAAATCTCACGTTCACTGTAGCTTCCCCAAAATCTCACGTGCACTGTAGCTACACCCAAAATCTCACGTGCACAGTAGCTACCCCAAAATCTCACGTGCACTATAGCTACCCCCCAAAATCTCACATGCACAGTAGCTACTCCAAGATCTCACGTTCACTATAGCTTCCCCAAAATCTCACGTGCACTGTAGCTACCCCCCAAAATCTCACGTGCACAGTAGCTACTCCAAAATCTCACGTTCACTATAGCTTCCCCAAAATCTCACGTGCACTGTAGCTACACTCAAAATATCACGTGCACTGTAGCTACCCCAAAATCTCACGTGCACAGTAGCTACTCCAAAATCTCACGTTCACTGTAGCTTCCCCAAAATCTCACGTGCACTGTAGCTACACCCAAAATCTCACGTGCACTGTAGCTACCCCAAAATCTCACGTGCACTGTAGCTACCCCCCCCAATCTCACGTGCACAGTAGCTACTAAAAAATCTCACGTTCACTGTAGCTTCCCCAAAATCTCACGTGCACTGTAGCTACACCCAAAATCTCATGTGCACTGAAGCTACCCCAAAATCTCACGTACACTGTAGCTACCCCCCAAAATCTCACGTGCACAGTAGCTACTCCAAAATCTCACATTCACTGTAGCTTCCCCAAAATCTCACGTGCACTGTAGCTACACCCAAAATCTCACGTGCACTGTAGCTACCCCAGTATCTCACGTGCACTATAGCTACCCCCCAAAATCTCACATGCACAGTAGCTACTCCAAGATCTCACGTTCACTATAGCTTCCCCAAAATCTCACGTGCACTGTAGCTACCCCCCAAAATCTCACGTGCACAGTAGCTACTCCAAAATCTCACGTTCACTATAGCTTCCCCAAAATCTCACGTGCACTGTAGCTACACTCAAAATATCACGTGCACTGTAGCTACCCCAAAATCTCACGTGCACAGTAGCTACTCCAAAATCTCACGTTCACTGTAGCTTCCCCAAAATCTCACGTGCACTGTAGCTACACCCAAAATCTCATGTGCACTGAAGCTACCCCAAAATCTCACATACACTGTAGCTACCCCCCAAAATCTCACGTGCACAGTAGCTACTCCAAAATCTCACATTCACTGTAGCTTCCCCAAAATCTCACGTGCACTGTAGCTACACCCAAAATCTCACGTGCACTGTAGCTACCCCAGTATCTCACGTGCACTGTAGCTACCCCAAAATCACTCTAGATACATGTTATCCGCGCACTAATCCGTATAAAACCTTGAAACGCTCGTCCTTGTTAGATCCACTTCCATTCCACTGATAGAGATCTCTTCCGAGGTCGAGGATGAAGACATCGTCAGTTTTAAGTGATCGTTTGCTGAACGCTACCTGAACAGAGGATAAACATTACACTGTAATTAACTAATTAATTAATTGATCACACGGTAAGGAATGTTGAAATACATAACTAAAATTAAGATCAACAAATCCAACAAAGATGTTCCATTATAACAATGATTGTTTTTCCTCTCCTTCTCTGACAAAGGAGTAACTGTACAGTTTTGCCCACAGGGGTCATTTGACTGTCACATAATAAATGATAACCGACTTATTATAAGTTTAATACAATGTTAACAATAAACAGTACATCTGAACTGATTATCCCCCATCCCCTTACCACCATTACAGTACATTGTGACCTTCCAAAACTTTTGTCCTACCTCCACGACCTCTACCCTGCTTCGAACTCCACTGAAATGCAGCAGCCTTGGCTTGTATTCTTCTGGGGCCACGTGACGGAAACCAGTCTCAGCTCCACCTTTTAAAATCCTACAAGATCACAATAATGCTATTTATTTCCTTTCATCTAAACATCACTTTATACAAAAACTCCATGATATAACCAATTACATTATTTTTAGGAAAGTGATAAACAGACTTGGACCTAATATCAATTACTTTACATGTACAGCCGAACTTCTTTATTTCGAAGTCGGCGGGGCAGTTGAAAAACTTCACGTGAGTAAGGCTGTTTGGTAAATAGTTTGGCCAACACAGACGAAATAATGTATTTCGTTGCTTAACGATTAATATTCACGTCCGACATCTACAAAGTCTTCGTGGTTAATTGTCTCAGATATAACACTCTCAAAAATGTAACTACATTACAACCGGTTTATTTAAAATGTAACTACATTACAACCTGTTTATTTAAAATGTAACTACATTACAACCTGTTTATTTAAAATGTAACTACATTACAACCTGTTTATTTAAAATGTAACTACATTACAACCTGTTTATTTAAAATGTAACTACATTACAACCTGTTTATTTAAAATGTAACTACATTACAACCTGTTTATTTAAAATGTAACTACATTACAACCTGTTTATTTAAAATGTAACTACATTACAACCTGTTTATTTAAAATGTAACTACATTACAACCTGTTTATTTAAAATGTAACTACATTACAACCTGTTTATTTAAAATGTAACTACATTACAACCTGTTTATTTAAAATGTAACTACATTACAACCTGTTTATTTAAAATGTAACTACATTACAACCTGTTTATTTAAAATGTAACTACATTACAACCTGTTTATTTAAAATGTAACTACATTACAACCTGTTTATTTAAAATGAAAATTGAAGAATATTATTTCATCTGCAAGTGTTGAAGAACATAACGCATGAACTATTAAACTTTAAAATGTCACGGGTATTTGCAAAAGGCGCAACTTACGATCGAACGATAACGCCCCATACAAGCTGTATATCAACTTCATTGAAAATTTTACTATTTTACTAAGTTTCAATTAATCCTCGTTAAATTCCAATATAACTTTCCAGGTGAAAGATTTTGATTGTTAAATACCAATATTGACTCACATGATAGAGTTGAAGTACGATTTGAAGAGTTCTGATTCGTGCCCTTGGACTTCGCGGTGCTGCACTGCTCTGTCGTCCAGTAGAGTGTCCAGCTCTACAGTCTTGTAGGCCGCCGTCCCGTACTCGTCCTGTAATTAGGACGTTTAAAAGGAGAGATTACGAAGCCATGTATAACAGATCTTAAATCGTCCACTTTCACGCTTTTTATACTACTGGCTTTTTATAGTACGGGATGAGGAATTAAAACAAATGCCAATAGGACTGAACATTAGGCATTTCCTGTCAAAGTCCACTCCGTACTGCTTTTTGCTGTAAGAAGATACGACGACAGATCTATCGTTTCCGGAGTCATTAAATAACTGGACGGCAATATCACACATGCTTTTGGGGTTATTTTATGACATTGGACGAAATTACGTTTCCGTGACGACCATAATATTCAATTTTTTGAAGTTAAAATTATAAAAAGAAGAATTGAGATACCTGTACTATTTGTGACTATTTTGGTGCGGACAAAATCCGCCATGTGTAGTTTCCATGGAATCCAGACTTCAAAAACAGACAGAATCAGTATCAACGCGGACTCCTCAAACTTATCAGTAGTGTATATGTTCCTAAGTATTCTAAACAACTCCAGCAGAGTTGATACTAGCGACTATCTAGACACCACTAATCTAATCACCACTAATCTAATCACCACTAATCTAATCACTGCTAATCTAGTCACCACTTATCTAGTCATCACTAATCTAATCACCACTAATCTAGTCACCACTAATCTAATCACCTCTAATCTAGTCACCACTAATCTAGTCACCACTAATCTAGTCACCACTAATCTAGTCACTACTAATCTAGTCACCGCTAATCTAATCACCACTAATCTAGTTCACCACAAACTAATTACCACTAATCTAGTCACCACTAATCTAGTCACCACTAATCTAGTCACCACTAATCTAGTCACCACTAATCTAGTCACCACTAATCTAGTCACCACTAATCTAATCACTGCTAATCTAGTCACCACTAATCTAGTCACCACTAATCTAGTCACCACTAATCTAGTCACCACTAATCTAGTCACCACTAATCTAGTCACCACTAATCTAGTCACCACTAATCTAATCACCACAAACTAGTCACCACTTATCTAGTCACCACTTATCTAGTCACCACTTATCTAGTCACCACTTATCTAGTCATCACTAATCTAATCACCACTAATCTAGTCACCACTAATCTAGTCACCACTAATCTAGTCACCACTAATCTAGTCACCACTTATCTAGTCATCACTAATCTGTTCACCACTAATCTAGTCACTGCTAATCTAGTTTTATATTGTAATTGACAACAGACTAAGGTAAACAAAACTGTTTACCTGGGAGCTGTACTTCCCGATCCAGAAATGCACGTGTAGGGCTAATTCACCACTTCCAGGCTCGTCAGTCGTCTGCCAAAGTAAAGAAAGAGTTCGGTTTGGAATATCGTATCATGTTTAGGGTATTTAGGGGTAACACGTCGGAACGGAAAAAAACAATTCACGCAATTATACAAATCATAAATTACTGTTGAAGCTATGATTAACTTACCTTTAAAACGATGTAAGAATCTCCATCATAGAACTGTCCGTATTGTTCTTTAGGCCAGTGAGTCACCTGGAATTTCTGAAGAAGACAAATTGCATTTGAAAACATAACATTTTATCCTGATTTGTCAATAAACGCAATATACAAATATCAGTATCCAGATATCCGGGGGAGATTCGGTTTTAAATTCATCTCTTATCTGGTCACTATTTATCCAATCGTCACTGATCTAGTCATCCCTTATCTAGTCACCACTAATCTAGTCATCGCTAATCTAATCACCACTAATCTACTCACCACTAATCTAGTCATCCCTAATCTAGTCACCACTAATCTATTCACCTCTAATCTTTTCACCGCTAATCTAGTCACTACTAATCTATTCGCCGCTAATCTAGTCACCACTAATCTAATCACCACTAATCTAGCCACCACTAATCTAGTAACCGCTAATCTAATCACCACTAATCTAGCCACCACTAATCTAGTAACCGCTAATCTAATCACCACTAATCTAATCATCACTAATCTATTCACCGCTAATTTATTCATCGCTAATCTATTTATCGGTAATCTAGTCACCGCTACCCTAGTCACCATTAATATAGTCACCACTAATCTAGTCACCACTAATCTAGTCACAAATAATCTATTCACCTCTAATCTAAATACCGCTAATCTATTTATCCCTAATCTAGTCACCACTTATCTATTCACCGCTAATCTAGTAACCACTGATTTATTCACCGCAAATCTTTTCACCGCTAATCTAGTCACCACTAATCTATTCGCCGCTAATCTAGTCACCACTAATCTATTCATCTCTAATCTAAATACCGCTAATCTATTTATCACTAATCTAATCAACACTTATCTAGTCACCACTAATCTAGTCGCCGCTAATCTAGTCACCACTAATCTAATCACCTCTGATCTAGTCATCACTAATCTAGTCACCACTAATCTAATCACCTCTGATCTAGTCATCACTAATCTAGTCACCACTAATCTATTCATCATTAATCTATTAATACTAAACGAGTCCCCATTGATCTGCTAAAGAAGGACACTCTGATAGCCCTAATCCAGTCACCACTAGCTTGTCGCCATTTATCAGCATTAAACACTTACTTTCGATCACACTTAACCACAAACTGTGCGCATTGAGTTGACATAGACAGAGACGTTTCATTGAATACACGCTAGCCACCTACCACGATCCTCCATATCTGTATGCCTGGAGCTTGACCAGCACCGTCCCAGGCCGGCTCCGTCTGGGCAGCAGACTCTGAAGGATAAATGACACTAGTACGTTGACATAAAATATTTGGTTTTATTGAAAATTTCCCCAACGCCCCGATCACAAAGGTATTGTAGATAATGTATATCCTCAACATGACCTTGTAAAAATAATATGATATATGACCACAAATTATAACATACTAAATTTCTTCTATGTTTAATTTTCGAAATGCGGTCTAATTCGCTCCAAACCTTAATCACATAATTCTTCAATAGAAAATGCTGTCTAAGATAAGGAATGTTCAATGAAATTATCCATATTTATTTGATGAAAAATCCCGGAAATTGTAGAAATATTGAACCTGTCTGCTAGTTATGAAATACCGTTGTAGAATGTTAATGAATTTTCCTTTTCCTCAGATTTAATGAAGCGAATGTTAGTTCTAAAGTATGTGAACCCCGTCTCTTTGATTTTATCACGTAACTCGGAAACTTTACATTTTGACAGGTTTTAAAGAAAACAATATCGAGGACAAAATCAATCGGAGGTAGCCATTTTGTTGCGCAATTTCAAATTCATTACTTAACGTCATAGTTCATGATGACGTCACAATAGATTAACTAGATAACAGGTCGACCATGTTATCAATATGTATATTTTTCTGGCGCCCTGTGTCAAGTTAAACACACACAAAACATTACTTTTGACTTCCTTCTCGACGTCGGAGCCGAACAGTGCCATGTTGGAATCCTTCCAGTTATACTTCTTTGCTTTTCTTAATCCTGAAAGAATCAGTACTAATGATTATCAAACATACTACATATTCAGCACTTTTTGTATCCATAAAGAATATTGCACTATCGATACTTCACAAGCATTTAACACCAATTTAAACATTATATCATTAAAAGGCGCAAAAAGGGATATTTGACAGAAAATATGTCGAGGTATTCGTAATGATTAGATCACAAACATTAACACAAATACGAGATTATGTTCATGCTATACCTACCCGCCATGGTTATGTTCCTTTCAGTAGCTCGTGACGATATTCAAACAAAAAACTGAAATGAAAAATGATCTTCACATAGGATGTTTGTTTCAAAATTAAAACAATAGACATTCATTCGACGAGTTCCTCTATAAAGAAACAAATTCGAAGCCATTTCGCATCAAATCTGTACTCGTCTTTCACATGTACGTGTGCTCCTAAATGTAAAATAAAAGATCAAAAAGAAAAACACTGGTGAGATATTGGAAAGTACTCAGCAACATAAACTTTTCACACATACTTTAGTTCGCATTTGTCAGCACGTGCATCCTTAACATGGATTCAAAATACTTTACTTCAAGGACACTTGAAATTCACGTTGTCAGCAAAGTTCATAAAAAGTGAAAAGACTCCCCGAGGAAGAGGAATTTGTTGAAGGGGAAAATGGCGGCAACTGTAAGCGGGAACAAAAAATGTAGATCTAGAGATCTAGTGTTGTACGTGGTGTCACGGTTATTTCAGAGTGATGACACTGTGATAGTGTCCTTTGATGTCTGTAACTGAGTGAGGTATCACGGTTATGATATTTCAGAGTGATGACACTGTGATAGTGTCCTTTGATGTCTGTAACTGAGTGAGGTATCACGGTTATGATATTTCAGAGTGATGACACTGTGATAGTGTCCTTTGATGTCTGTAACTGAGTGAGGTATCACGGTTATGATATTTCAGAGTGATGACACTGTGATAGTGTCCTTTGATGTCTGTAACTGAGTGAGGTATCACGGTTATGATATTTCAGAGTGATGACACTGTGATAGTGTCCTTTGATGTCTGTAACTGAGTGAGGTATCACGGTTATGATATTTCAGAGTGATGACACTGTGATAGTGTCCTTTGATGTCTGTAACTGAGTGAGGTATCACGGTTATGATATTTCAGAGTGATGACACTGTGATAGTGTCCTTTGATGTCTGTAACTGAGTGAGGTATCACGGTTATGATATTTCAGAGTGATGACACTGTGATAGTGTCCTTTGATGTCTGTAACTGAGTGAGGTATCACGGTTATGATATTTCAGAGTGATGACACTGTGATAGTGTCCTTTGATGTCTGTAACTGAGTGAGGTATCACGGTTATGATATTTCAGAGTGATGACACTGTGATAGTGTCCTTTGATGTCTGTAACTGAGTGAGGTATCACGGTTATGATATTTCAGAGTGATGACACTGTGATAGTGTCCTTTGATGTCTGTAACTGAGTGAGGTATCACGGTTATGATATTTCAGAGTGATGACACTGTGATAGTGTCCTTTGATGTCTGTAACTGAGTGAGGTATCACGGTTATGATATTTCAGAGTGATGACACTGTGATAGTGTCCTTTGATGTCTGTAACTGAGTGAGGTATCACGGTTATGATATTTCAGAGTGATGACACTGTGATAGTGTCCTTTGATGTCTGTAACTGAGTGAGGTATCACGGTTATGATATTTCAGAGTGATGACACTGTGATAGTGTCCTTTGATGTCTGTAACTGAGTGAGGTATCACGGTTATGATATTTCAGTGTGATGACACTGTGATAGTGTCCTTTGTTGGTCTCATCATCTGGCGAAACTGCATTGAATTGACTTTGACTGTTGTGAAGACGTAAACCCCAACACAAACAATGGTCTTGTATGAAGAATGAAGTACCCCTAACCCCTACCCTGAACTATCCCACTACTTGTTAAGGTTGGTATAACGAGACTCGTCACGTAGCTAATGAAAAAAGAAATTTTCAAAAGTTGCCATCAATGTTCCCCCTCTCAGTCATACAGTTAAAGCTTACAGCTGTCTCGACCATTGCTCCTCTACATCTGCCCTCCATACTTACGTGTAAAGAAACCCCTTATCGGTCCTGACTACGGATAAAACCAGTAATGTCAAAAATCATAAATACTGATCAGAACGGGTATATACGCAATAGATTTATTGGGTATAACATCAGGCTTATTCAAGATATTATTGATTATTCGGAAAAGTTCAACATTGATTCATGTATAATTTTTCTAGATTTTTCAAAGGCTTTCGATACAATTGAGTGGGATTTTATGTTTACTTGTTTAGAAAAATTCGGTTTGGGGAACTCATTTATTAAGTGGGTTAAGACTTTGTATACTGATATCAAAGGCTGTGTAAAGAACAATAACTGGTTAACCGGAAGCTACAAAATATCACGTGGAATAAGGCAAGGTTGTCCTCTTTCTTGTTTACTATTTGTCATAGCGGCAGAAATTTTGGCATGCAAACTACGTTCTGATACAAATATTAAAGGTGTAAAGTTAAATAATAAATATGTAAAGATATCCCAGTTAGCAGATGATACTACATTGTTCATGAGGTATAGTGAGGTTAAAAGGGCATTGAAATTAGTTGAGGAATTCGGAAAAATGTCAGGATTAAAATTGAATAAGGATAAGACAGAGGGTATTTTTGTTGGATCAAATAAAAATAAAGACAATTGTCATGCAGGTATCAAATGGGTGAAAACGGCAAAATCACTGGGTGTTCACTTTGGTATGAACAGTAAAGTATGCTCCAATCTTTGTTGGAAAGACAAAATTGTATCTATAGACCAATTAATGAAAAATTGGAAAAAAAGGAAGTTAACCTTGCTTGGAAAATCGATAATAATACAAAGTCTAGTTATTCCAATGATTACTTTTCTCGTTAGTGCAATTGGAATCGATAATGACACGATTAAGGTTTTAGAAAAGATGATTTACGCTTTTATTTGGGATGGGAAGCCTGATAGAGTAAAACGAAATACTATGATCTGTGATTTTGATAATGGCGGGCTAAAAATAAGAGACATCCAATGTCATATTAATGTCTTACGTATTTCTTGGATTAAGCGATTACTTAACCACACTGAAGCCAATTGGAAAATTTTGCCACGCTATTATTATGATAAATTTGGAGCAAATAATTTAATTTTTAAAATGAATACATGTTCAACTATACTCCTGCCAAAATATCAGGAATTACCGAAATTTTATTTTGACTTACTTAGTTCGTGGTTTACACTGCAGGAGGAAAATCGTAATATAAAAAGTTACAGGGAAATAAAACAACAGGTGATATGGGGCAACAAACATATAACATTGGGTGGAAAGGCTCTATGGTTTAAAACATGGATAGATTCTGGTTTGATTTACATAAACGATATTGTGGGAATTTATGGAAAAATAGATGATAATCTTATATATGATAAACTGCATTGTAAAAGTAACTGGTTAGTTGAAATTTTATCTGTAAAACAAGCAATACCACGATGTTGGATAGAAGAATTACATAGTGAAAAATCTAAATCGGTCGTTCAGATATTATGGAAGGATGTTTGTGTGTTTAATACAACAACATACAAAACAAAGTCATTGCAAAATATGTGTAACAAGGAAATGTATGATATTCTAAGGGGTAAAAAATCCCATACTACACATAGCTTCCAAGTTTGGAAAGAAAAACTTAATATCAAGGAAAACAGTAGAGGCGTGTTTACCAACTTTTTTGAATTTGTATTTAAGGTTGTAAGGGAGAACGACGAAAAAGTTTTTCGTTGGAAATTATTCAGTAATATTATTCCCAATGGCGTTTTATTAAAAAGATGGAATATTAAGTCACACGAGAATTGCGAAGTATGTAAAGTTAAAGATGACTATATTCACTATTTTATTGAGTGTATTTGTATAACTCCACTCTGGGATCACGTAAAAGAATCTCTTCGTAGAATAGGCTACACCATAAATATAAAATGTTTGAAATATATAGTTATTGGATATAAAATAACCTATTCTGCGTATGACTGGATTAATAGTTTGTTATCACTGGTTGGGTTTGTTATATATAAATGGTATCACCAAAGTGATTCAAGGACAAAGTACGTGGACATAGTAAAACTATTTAAGTATGAATTGAACAGAAAATTATGTTTAAAGTATTACCAAAAGATGACTTACTTGAAATTATGTTTGTAAAAATGATTACAGCAAACGTGACGAATCACTTTGAATAATCGTTCACGTAGTTACAATGCTATTAAAAAAAAAAAAGGAACACACTGTGATGAAAATGAAGCCAAAAGAATTTCAGCAAGCATGGTGACAGCGACATCGTTCTCTACACAAAAACAATAAATTGGTGATTTAAAATATATCTTAAAGTGAACCAAAATAATTCATTTCTTTTTTTATATATTTCTTTTTTATAACGTCCATACTATGTTAACAAATGTGTTATCTTTGATCTTCGATTTGTGTAGTTAAGAGAAAGAAACTGAGAGAGGGTGATTGAGAGATAGAGAGAGAGGGAAAAGGAAAGACAGAGAGGGGGAGAGAGAGGAGAGATAAGTTAAGAGAGAGGGAGGGAGAGATAGAGAAGGGGGAGATAGAGAGAAGTGAGAGTGAGAGAGGGAGAGTGAATAAGAGAGAGGGGGATGAGAGAAAAGGGATAGAGGAAAGAGAAAGGAGAAAAGATGCGAGACAGTAAAGGAAAGATTAAGAGGGAGTGAGAAAGAAGGAGGGGAGAGAGGGAAAGACAGAACTAAGAGTGACAGAGAGAGGGAGAGAGAGAGAGAGAAGGAGAGAGAGGGGAGAGAAAGAGATGAGAGAGAGATGGGGGAAGCAAGGAGAATGAGGAAACAATTTTTCAGAAAATATGTACAGCGATATTAACAAAACATGAAAAAGCATAAACTGAGTCGCTATGTAACTATGTGAGACCTGCTGATTTGCTATTTTCTGAGTGTAAAAAAAAAAAAAAAAAAAGAAAAAAAGAAACCCCTTTGAAGGACCTCAACCCATTACCCATCATCTTGGTACAGACAACCCCTTCGACGGCCTCGCCCAATTACCTATCATCTGTATGACGGGTCACATATGTATTATTCACTTACAAATTTTATATATCGTAAGGATTCTAACGTTGGGTCGAAATGACTAACTGTTACATTAACAGCTGGGCGAGTCGACTAGCGTGCCAGTTGAATGAATCATGGAGATGTGTGGTATGATACATGTAGTTTGGTACTTTATATCTAATTTTTTTTTATTACTGTTTTGCTCTTAGCTATTTTAGTTAGTGTTTTGACGGGATATGACAGAATTTTAAGACCTCTGCGAGTGTACAGGAACAAATATGTTTGAGACGTGAAGTGCACCGCTCAGATGGACCTCGTTATTCATATGGAGTTCATTTACTTGGTCGGTTTTACATGTATTCTAATGCTAAGACTGGCTTGGTTATAGTTCAAAGGCTTCCTTATTCACTTTATCACTTTCCACAGTGAAGTTATGCTAGTTAAAAGAAAAAAGATTGAACAAATCATTTGACGAAAAAAAAGAGAATAGTCTCCACAAGTTAAACGGCATTTATGATGTTTACATGACGCCATTACTCCATCAATATTGCTTGGCTTGTAACTGTACTTCAGCTCACCATTGTAAGATATAGAAAATTAAGGGGTATGAAATTGATCATTCATATTCGGACGCTGAAGATAGATCCTTGTTTCTTACGCAACATCGCAAACAAAACCTGGTTACCCATTGTATTTTTAACCCTGACGACTCGAAGGAGAACTTTTACAAAGGATGAGCATAACGAATCAGTGTAAATATAGGGGTAGAAAATAACATCTACCAGAAATCTTCTTTACAGTCTCAATTTGCCAGGTACCGCAGTGCACGCTGGGACAGATTCATGTTGCCATAGATACTAAGAATATGTCTGTATCTACAGAGGTCGCCCCTGGAATTCATCACAGAGACACATCAAGTTTTTGTCTGCTGGATACATGTCTGCAGATAAATGTTGGTTTATACATGTCAAACATCATCTGTTTCAAAACTAAAAAGAATTCAAAGCTATCACCATGTTACATGTCAAATTTAAAAACGCACTCTTCGACCTGCTTTGAAAACACAAGATCATGAGAAAGAGAGCTTAACATGCGATAGTACGCTAGACTCGGCTGTCGGCGGGCTAGAAATGTTTGCGTTGTCTGGTCTAAGTGGAGCTCTGTACAGTGATGCTGATCAAGGTTACAATCTGTTAGAAATCCTTGCCAAAAGCTTGTTAGGTTTGTTGTAGTTAGAAGTATGGAACTCCGCTGTTAGATGTACTGTATCTATCGACACATCTACATGTGTATTAACAAATCAGACATGATAGTCTTTCGCAAGGGAAAAAACATTTTATGATTTCACGTAGAAAATTGTCGATTCCAAAGAAAAAAACCCTGATAAACCCTCAAACATAGATCGCAATCAATCTGTTTTTTAATAAGAAAATTTACCTAAATGGTTTATATGTTAGAGGACAGTAATGATAGTTTCTCTTCAGGTTTTAACAGAACGCATCTGCTGCAAATCATCCTTCTTCGCTTATTGTAAGAATTTTAGCAGTTTCAGTATAACAAAAGCTTTGTTAGTGACTTTCTTTGTAAATATTTGGTAATCATTAACAATGAAGTGATAAAGACATCCTCTTAAGATATAAAAACAACCCGTGTGACCACAACGAACAGAAATAGATCAATTCGACATGTTTCGATAACTTTAATATTGTTTGTTTCCACAAAGAAAGAAAGATTTCTTCTTATCTGAAAACCAACGTTAACTCGATATACTGAAACATCACATAAATGGTTGGTGGGTCAATTTAGACAGACCATGTCGGAGCCAGAGAGGGGCAGAAGTAATAATTATATTTGTAACGGCTGAGGATGGAAATTATCCAGCGGCCGGTGATCAGTTCATGCTGTGGATCATTCAAACAGTAGCTCACGACCTTGTAATGGGGAAACAGAGGCCTTGTAATGATGGGAGGGAGAGAGAGGAGGGCTGGCGTTAGTCCAACACTGGTGGCATAACCATCGATACTAGACGAATACAAATAAACACACACGTGGAGGATACATTTTGTGTACTTAAACATATATCCGTACATCAGTGGTTAGTCTGAATATTACGACTCTCTTTAAAAGAGATGTATACACACCTTATCGAAATTCTCCAGTGTTCGGAGTGTAGGCTTTACAAACATTTCTGATTTAGAATCCACAAAATGACATATTCAGATCAAAGAGAGAGATCATTATTTCATATAGCTAACCTAAAAACAATCAACACGAGTTAAATATCACTGTTAACTAACACGAGTTAAACATCACTGTTAACTAACACGAGTTAAAAAAATCACTGTTAACTAACATGAGTTAAACATCACGCTTAACTAACACGAGTTAACAATCAAGGTTAACTAACACGAGTTAAAAATATCACTGTTAACTAACACGAGTTAACAATCAAGGTTAACTAACACGAGTTAAACATCATGGTTAACTAAAACGAGTTAAACATCACTGTTAACTAACACGAGTTAAAAAAAATCACTGTTAACTAACATGAGTTAACAATCAAGGTTAACTAACACGAGTTAACAATCAAGGTTAACTAACACGAGTTAAACATCATGGTTAACTAACACGAGTTAAACATCACGCTTAACTAACACGAGTTAAATATTACTGTTAACTAACACGAGTTTAAATATCACTGTTAACTAACACGAGTTAACAATCAAGGTTAACTAACACGAGTTAAACATCATGGTTAACTAAAACGAGTTAAACATCACACTTAACTAACACGAGTTAAATATTACTGTTACTGTTAACTAACACGAGTTTAAAACATCACTGTTAACTAACACGAGTTAAACATCACGGTTAACTAACACGAGTTAAACATCAATGTTAGTGATTTCACCGTGACAAAATAATTCATATTTACTCGGCTTAGCTTATCTCTTAACAATATCGATAGTTATACACAAACATAATGTACACAATGATATGAAAAAGTACAAAATATGAAAGATGTAGACATTTTGTACGTATAACTGGATTGGTAACATATGTGGTTCATCAACATTGTGAAGTAGAGTACTCAATATTAATTGCCATGTTGATAATAACATCACAAATGACATGACAGTGTACTCGCAGATAATGTCACTCACACTTCCGTGCACGTGTGTGTGTTATATTAGTCACAATATTTGTCTCTGTCTAGAAACTTACAAAACAGCTGCCCCTGTAGGACATTACCTGCCACAAACTATTTTTTTAAAATACGGCTGTAGATGTGACAAGATATAGTAAAATTATTTATGAATATATCTTTCCTCGGGTATGATGATTCTTTGAGGTTAATCTTTCGCGTTGATACGGTAACTTTAATTCCGATTTTCCCTCGTCAATTTGGCTGTCGCTGTTTCGTTTATCCGACCATCTCAATACTGAAATCCGGATTACCGAAATAACAATACTTAGCGTAGCATTCTTACTAATGACTCTTCGCCTTTTTCTACAAGACGCTCGTTCAATCACGCATGCCTCGTTCTTCCTCCCATACATTTTGTATCTCTTAATCAAACTTAGGAGCATGCGAAGACGCCCCCTGAGAAAAATAGCAGCGATATTTTAATTAAGACTGTTATCGAAATGCACAAACTAATACTTCATAAGATTCAGACTAAGGTCACGGGTCAAAGTAGCAGCTATAACGCTAATTGACTGTAACTGCAGATGGAGGTCTCGTTCAATGCTTGTGTGCTTTGATGTAAATAACACTTCTTACCAAAACATCAAGACCATGTTCAGCTCAAACTATTTTTAGAACTATCCGTCTCTCTAACGGTTTTAAGTTTGGATTACTGCCACGGAATTACTTATTAAAAAAACACAAGTTTCTATTTCAAATCTCCATAATAAACATTCATGAAATATATGTATTTAATATTATCATTCCAATTAACATAAGTATCTATTAATTACACAAGTTAATTACATTCCTCATTCGACAAATTCAACTTAGAATTATGACTACAAGATCTCATTTTCAGACATGTTATCTGCTTTTTTTTTATTTTAATTTTTCCAAATAATTTATAGAAGTTCTGTAAGGCGATATCATGCCAGACCTGGGCGTGGCATATCTATTTGCACATGAACAAGTATATTATATCAAACTTATAGGAAATATAATTGGTACTTTAACTCTAAAAAATAAACAAACATGAACAAGATCGATATATTGTGCATTCAAAACCCTAATTTGTTTGAATTACTTACCGTCTCTGTTTTCCTTCTTTCTGTGTTAAACCCCAGCCAAGACTGTTTGTGAAACTTTCGCTTATTATCTCACTTCCGCCTTCTGTGCCAAATTTGGAGGTTCGCAAGCAAAAACAGAATCATCCGGGTCTCGGCCCAGATATTGCTGTCTGAAGCTGTTTTAAAACATTCGCGCACATGCACCCAATAGTGTAACGGAAGTTACTCATTTTCTTAAATTCTATATAATGCAATAAGGCCGAGGAATGCAGTTCTACTCCTATAGACTAGACTTTAGATTTATTTGTGTGGTTTTGTTGTTATGTTGAGGATATGTTACACGAACGAAACATGCAGTTTCCCAACTATCGCGATTTAGTGGAGAGAAAGATCACGCGTAGAATCCCAAAACGCTTTCGTTTCTTCATCAATCCTTCATTTTAAGGTCGTGTCCTTCAGTGTATGCACACCCTTATACCAAGAATTATTAAAATTATCAGTCTGTTTTCATGTGAATACGATTATTTACCAACCTAATACTCGCCGGAAGACAGGTTGATAACTATTTTCTTAAATCACCCCATTATCTCCACATCACAAAATGATCATTTCCTGTAATTGGATAGCGCAGATAGAAGGACATTTTAGTGATCGACAGGAGAAGAGAAAAAGGTTAAAAATCGCAATAAAGACAAAACAGTATGAATTCAAATTTAATGAAAAATCTAATTAAACAACATTAATGTGTAAATACATTTCGAAAGGTAATAAATCAATTTGAACAGGATGATAGTGTTGTCTAGTTATTCAACAAAAGATATGGGGAAGTCCCTTGTTACTATATTCGGATACGATCTAGTGATATTGGATTGTTAAATCAACCCTAAGAGAGAATGAAGGGAAAAAACAGTCACGTGGTAAATTATATTGTATGTACGAGTCGCCCATCATATCTTATAACTTTGGGATTTTTATTAATTTTCTAAAAGTTTCATAACGAGGCAATACGCTCGTACAGAGCGCTCTCTCTCTCTCTCTCTCTCTCTCTCTCTCTCTCTCTCTCTCTCTCTCTCTCTCTCTCTCTCCCTCCCCTCTCTCTTCCCCTCTCTCTCTCCCTCTCTCTCCCCCCTCTCTCCCCCCTCTCTCCCCCCTCTCTCGCTTAAAGAGGGTCATTTGATTGCTATCCAGGTCGAAACTCGTTGTTATTGTTATATATCCGTCTAATAACCGAAAAACTGTGGCTGTTTCCCTCGCTCTCCCTCTCTCTCTCACTCCCTCTCTCACTCCCCTCTCTCTCTCTCTCCTCTCTCTCTCTCCCCTCTCTCTCTCCTCTCTCTCCTCTCTCTCCCCCTCTCTCTCCCCCTCTCTCTCCTCTCTCTCTCCCCTGTCTCTCCCTCTCTCCCCCCTCTCTCGCTTACACAGAAAAAAATTCGTTGAATTCCTACTAAAACACATCACGTATTTACTTTATACAAGTGAAAGTGTTCCCATAAAGAAGGTCATTTGATTGGTATCCAGGTCGAAACTCGTTAGATATCCGTCTAATAACCGAAAAACTGTGGCTGTTTGAAAATGTGAAAATGTTTCGATTTTATACAATTTAAAAGTTAGCCAAAACAAGAAAAAATCCGAATGCTTCTTAGATATAAAAAACAGATCAATGCACTCATTGAAATATTTATGTCTATTCTTATACACATTGCTATGAGGTTATTCAGAGACTATGAAACGAATCGTTCGGTTCATTTGTGGTTACTTACACACAGCACGGAATCCCAAACTGTACTTCAGCACCTCCGTAACCAATTATACTCATGTCTTTGTTTAGATGAGTGTGGAAATGATCAGATAACTACTGGTATATCCGTCACTAACATCCTCAGTTACTGGAGTATTACAATAATACCATTTACTTTATCACGGATGTAAATACTTGTAGACTTTATACAGTGTATATGATACAAGAAAACAACGTACAGACTACAGGGGGTTAACGTCATGAAAATGTCTTCTTATCAAATATTTTGTAGAATTTGAAGTGGCCACCAAAGTCGTATGGGGTGAGATTTTTTTTCAGAAAATATTAATTAGAAAAAGTGTAGTATGAATAATAGACCCCTGTGAGACAGACTACCACATAATTATGTACAGTACACATGACGTTTACGCACGTGTCTGACGAAGTATATTCTTATCTATTGTCGGGGTTGTATTTTGTCATTCAATCTCAAGATGGACGGGATAAAGTCATGAAGATGAATGAAGTCTCCGAGACAGATATTGATGCCCCGGGAGCCGGGCTCTTTATTCGCCACCCACTCAAGAAAAGCCCGTGTTGCCCGGGGTGCAATGCTATCCTTTAGACTTCCACATAGGTGGGCCAGGATGGTGCTAGCCCCAGGGGTGAGGACTCCTTGCCACACATAGAAGTTTCCGTCGCTGTTACGGTGATTCCCCGTGTAATTTCTCTCCAGGAAGTCTATAAGAACTCGGGAGTCACTTGTATTAGGCCAAGGTGACGGAATGGCATAATTTGGCCAGAATTCTTTCATATCTGCACTAGATTTGTCGCTGTAAAATATGATGACGCGCATCCGAGTTTTCCAGATATTTTCCAAGGTCATCTGCCAAGGTGACATGTGCTTATTGACAGGCACAATTAAGGCACCAAACAAACGTTTAAGATCTGACAACAACTGTTTATGGCTGATGTCATCCATATTATGAAAATGGTTAAAATCTAGTATTACAAACTCTTTGGGGTTTCGGACCAAGAATTCTATGACCTCATGTAATGCAGTTATGACCTTTGAACCATACAGTCCGTGCAGAAAATGGGCATCGGCGGTGTCCGGTTTGATACATACACGAAGGTCAAGATATCGGATCCCGGCCTCAAGCTGCTGTCCGAGGGAAAGATCTTGGGTTACTGACCATCGACTAATGACTGAGAGCCCGCCCCCACAACACAATGATCCCAGAACACTAACCGATTTTGGTTCGTCTATAGATACCCCGGCTGACTTGTCAAGTCCGTAGGCACCCGAGTCATGGCTTCCTGAAAGCAAACCTTACGTAATAAACGTTCCCTCGATATTTAACACTTATGATATTATCTCATTATGTAAAGATTATAAAAAACACCCTGATTATTTAGTGTACCTAGAAAGACATCCGATAACGACTACATTCATACTGGAAAAGTTCTCTTTTAAGTCTTTGTGAGAGGGAACACATCGCACGAAACAAAACAGGAGAGAGTGGAGCCTGTGTGAGGGTAATACAGTCCCGATGTGGATTAACGAGAAAGTGTCCAGGTACGTACAAGGGCAAGGAGAGATACATATACAACACTTACTTAAAACAGCCAAACACGGAAGTGGTACCAGAGAGAGAACGGGGAAATAATACCTACCTTAACTAGCCAAACACGGAAGTGGTACCAGAGAGAACGGGGAAATAATACCTACCTTAACTAGCCAAACACGGAAGTGGTACCAGAGAGAACGGGGAAATAATACCTACCTTAACAAGCCAAACACGGAAGTGGTACCAGAGAGAACGGGGAAATAATACCTACCCGCCAAACACGGAAGTGGTACCAGAGAGAGAACGAGGAAATAATACCTACCCGCCAAACACGGAAGTGGTACCAGAGACAGAACGGGGAAATAATACCTACCCGCCAAACACGGAAGTGGTACCAGAGAGAGAACGAGGAAATAATACCTACCCGCCAAACACGGAAGTGGTACCAGAGACAGAACGGGGAAATAATACCTACCCGCCAAACACGGAAGTGGTACCAGAGAGAGAACGAGGAAATAATACCTACCTTAACTAGCCAAATATGAAAGTGGTACCAGAGAGAACGGGGAAATAATACCTACCTTAACTAGCCAAACACGGAAGTGGTACCAGAGAGAGAACGGGGAAATAATACCTACCTTAACTAGCCAAACACGGAAGTGGTACCAGAGAGAGAACGGGGAAATAATACCTACCTTAACTAGCCAAACACGGAAGTGGTACCAGAGAGAGAACGGGGAAATAATACCTACCCGCCAAACACGGAAGTGGTACCAGAGACAGAACGGGGAAATAATACCTACCCGCCAAACACGGAAGTGGTACCAGAGAGAACGGGGAAATAATACCTACCTTAACTAGCCAAACACGGAAGTGGTACCAGAGAGAACGGGGAAATAATACCTACCTTAACTAGCCAAACACGGAAGTGGTACCAGAGAGAGAACGAGGAAATAATACCTACCTTAACTAGCCAAATATGAAAGTGGTACCAGAGAGAACGGGGAAATAATACCTACCTTAACAAGCCAAACACGGAAGTGGTACCAGAGAGAGAACGGGGAAATAATACCTACCTTAACTAGCCAAATATGAAAGTGGTACCAGAGAGAACGGGGAAATAATACCTACCCGCCAAACACGGAAGTGGTACCAGAGAGAACGGGGAAATAATACCTACCTTAACTAGCCAAACACGGAAGTGGTACCAGAGAGAGAACGGGGAAATAATACCTACCTTAACTAGCCAAATATGAAAGTGGTACATGAATACTGAACTCGATATTGCGACTTCCTGGGATGGTCAGATCAGTAACAATGTTATCAGACTTTTCAGAGGATGAGATTAACGACCAAATACCACTTACCTGGGATAGCCAGACATGACAGCGGCACCTGTGTGAGGGGTCGAGGCAGGTCCCCCATCCAACACCGGTACCTTGAATTTTCGACCAGGTCTCTTGCATTCATAGTGATTCTCTATATTGGTTAAACATCAAAATCACCTCGGCTTTACCAAACACGGAGCACCTGATGAAAAACTGGCGAAACCCTTTGGTTTGTTGTGGCCATGTTCGGGCTGAAGGGTTTCTATTTTTAGAATGTGATCTAAACAGGTCAGATAACGTTTTCGAGTATCTGGGTCAATTCTTTTATCAATAAATGGTGAGTTATGAATATCATCGACGGTATCAAATAAAACTTGATACAATAATATTATGTTAAAGGAAAGACAACTGGTGTGGTAGCACACACACCTAAACACACTCACACACACCAACTACCACCACCACCACCACTACCACCACACACACAGACCACCCCCCCCCCCAACCCCCCCCCCCCCCACCCCCCACACACACACACACAAACACACACATACACACACCAAACCAATGCCATTCCAGATTGTGCAATAAAAGCACCTTGTTCCGGGAACTACTTTGCTTTCTGTCTGAATCCGTAGTAGATAGCTTATCAGTCTCAATCAGATTAATAACAGTGATTCAGCATGTATGTGTGTTATTTATCGAAATAGAGTGAAAGTGATAGCATATCATGTTCTTACCGAACCTGCTCACTATCACGCGCAATGAAGGTAAACAGGTGATACTTAGCAATAACATCGACATTAGCCATGTTAATACAGGTTTTATCTCTGTTAAAAAACCATATCTACATTTGTTTTTTTATTATCCTTACATCTACACTACACAGTATCCTTACATCTACACTACACAGTATCCTTACACTTACACTACACAGTATCCACGTACATCTACACTACACAGTATCCTCTTACATCTACACTACACAGTATCCACGTACATCTACACTACACAGTATCCTTACATCTACACTACACAGTATCATTACATATACACTACACAGTATCCTCTTACATCTACACTACACAGTATCCTCTTACATCTACACTACACAGTATCCACGTACATCTACACTACACAGTATCCACGTACATCTACACTACACAGTATCCTTACATCTACACTACACAGTATCATTACATATACACTACACAGTATCCTTACATCTACACTACACAGTATCCTCTTACATCTACACTACACAGTATCCTTACACTTACACTACACAGTATCCTTACATCTACACTACACAGTATCCTTACATCTACACTACACAGTATCCTTACATCTACACTACACAGTATCCTTACATCTACACTACACAGTATCCTTAGATCTACACTACACAGTATCATTACATATACACTACACAGTATCCTTACATCTACACTACACAGTATCCTCTTACATCTACACTACACAGTATCCACGTACACTACACAGTATCCACGTACATCTACACTACACAGTATCCTTACATCTACACTACACAGTATCCTTACATCTACACTACACAGTATCCTTACATCTACACTACACAGTATCCTTACATCTACACTACACAGTATCCTTACATCTACACTACACAGTATCCACGTACATCTACACTACACAGTATTCTTACATCTACACTACACAATATCCTTACATCTACATTACACAGTATCCTTACATCTGCACTACACAGTATCATTACATCTACACTACACAGTATCCTTACATCTACACTACACAGTATCCTTACATCTACACTACACAGTATCATTACATATACACTACACAGTATCCTTACACTTACACTACACAGTATCCTTACATCTACACTACACAGTATCCTTACATCTACACTACACAGTATCCTTACATCTACACTACACAGTATCCTTACATCTACACTACACAGTATCCTTACATCTACACTACACAGTATCCTTACATCTACACTACACAGTATCCTTACACTTACACTACACAGTATCCTTACATCTACACTACACAGTATCCTTACATCTACACTACACAGTATCCTTACATCTACACTACACAGTATCATTACATATACACTACACAGTATCCTTACATCTACACTACACAGTATCCTTACATCTACACTACACAGTATCCTTACACTTACACTACACAGTATCCTTACATCTACACTACATAGTATCCTTACATCTACACTACACAGTATCCTTACATATACACTACACAGTTTCCTTACATCTACACTACACAGTATCCACGTACACTACACAGTATCCTTACATCTACACTACACAGTATCCTTACATCTACACTACACAGTATCCTTACACTTACACTACACAGTATCCTTACATCTACACTACATAGTATCCTTACATCTACACTACACAGTATCCTTACATCTACACTACACAGTATACTTACATCTACACTACATAGTATCCTTACATCTACACTACACAGTATCCTTACATCTACACTACATAGTATCCTTACACTTACACTACACAGTATCCTTACATCTACACTACATAGTATCCTCTGACATCAACATTACAGTCAGAGGAGTTGTATACTTATAAGTACAACTGTGCACTTTACGATTGCAAGAATTTGGTCGTAATTGTGAGGTCAATTATCGTTAATTAATGGTCGTTGGGACTGTAAGAAGTGGTCGTAATACGGAATAGCGGGGTGGTCGTAATACTGAAGCGACCAATACAAGGATATATAGTGGAAAAAAACGGGACTGAAAAAAGTGTCCCTAACAGCGAGGTGGTCGTAATTTTGAAGTGGTCGTTAGGTGAGGTTTCACTGTAAAGGAATGTGAAAACAAACAAAATGATCCCCTGAAATCTCATCTAGATATCAAAATGTCATATTTTTAACAATAAAAGTCTGAAGGACAATTATTTAATGAACAATTTCTTAACACAGAACATGGAAACCCTAATCTTTTTGTCAATAAAATCCACATCCGTATATTGCCTCAGCAACGCATAATCAGTTCTTGTCGTAATAAACCGTGTTCATAAGCATTTTAGTTTGCGTTCCTATTCGAGAAAAGTACCAACATGACATGCGAGTGTAATATAAAGCTGAAAACATTCAAAACAGCACCTCTGTCAGGCTCCCATGAATTACAAATTTACTAGTTTACAGTGTCGTCCCCATGAATTACAAATTTACTAGTTTAAAGTGTCGCCCCCATGAATTACAAATTTATTAGTTTAAAGTGTCGCCCCCATGAATTACAAATTTATTAGTTTAAAGTGTCGCCCCCATGAATTACAAATTTATTAGTTTAAAGTGTCGCCCCCATGAATTACAAATTTATTAGTTTAAAGTGTCGTCCCCATGAATTACAAATTTACTAGTTTACAGTGTCGCCCCCCATGAATTACAAATTCATTAGTTTACAGTGTAGCCCCCATGAATTACAAATTTATTAGTTTAAAGTGTCGCCCCCATGAATTACAAATTTATTAGTTTACAGTGTCGTCTCCATGAATTACAAATTTATTAGTTTACAGTGTCGCCCCCATGAATTACAAATTTATTAGTTTAAAGTGTCGCCCCCATGAATTACAAATTTATTAGTTTAAAGTGTCGCCCCCATGAATTACAAATTTATTAGTTTAAAGTGTCGCCCCCATGAATTACAAATTTATTAGTTTAAAGTGTCGCCCCCATGAATTACAAATTTATGACTATGCAATGCCTTCTACACCAACCGCTTACCCCGGCGTTTACTTACAACGAAACCATCAACAAGGACACCTTTCTTTTAATCGGTATAATAAGCAGGATGATTATAAATTCTATGTTATTTCCCTTTCTACATAGTAATCACCCATGCTTCTCCAACCTATCACGTCTGCCTGTGACTGTTAACTGTTGACAATATGAATTCCGTGATGGATGTTGACTACTAACGGGAAAGTATGACCGATACAGGCTGTAAACACTAGTGTGAATGGTCACAAAGATCTCGTTTTGGAATATGTTGTAATAAAAACACATCCTTGATTTGGCCTTGATTTACTGAATGGCGGGTACGGTCGAAGAAACAGAAAACGCGTACCCTTCCGGAGCCTTTTTGTATTCTCCATCTCAATTTATCCTTTGTTCATACGTTCCACTGATTTTAACGATTTCGAAGCAAACATAACAGTCTCCTTGACACACTGGTCGTTTTATTAATAGCACATCTCGGTCCAATCACTCATATTGTTTTTATTCCGACTGTTCAGACGTGTATCAGTCCAGATCTTCACTGCACCAGAAGTTCCACATTTCCGATATGTCCGGAAGAAATATCCTCCGCGACAAAACATCCAACACTGTTTTCAAGATATCAATAACTTTATATCGACCAGACGGACAAGAAGTGCTGCACCAGTCATGGAAGGTTTTTATTATTTCAGTATTTATTTCAGTATATTCTTACTCTTTGGATATATTTCAAAGTTTCTCTCAAAACTTGCCGTTTTATGGTTTAAGCTTCCCACTCATCCTTACTTTCATATCCATAACTTTACATTTATTTGTCGATAATACTTTATTTATCACAACTTCTGTTTGTTTTTATATTTTTATTCCCTTTTTTCGCAATGATGACTCCGAGTCAACATTTTCTATTGTTGCAGAGACCCCAGCTCTCCGTAAACACAAGAAGTATGATTGGAAGGATTCGAACCTGGCCTTGTTTGGTTCCAAACTAGAACACGACTTGAAAAGTACGTAAGCTACGTCCAGAAAATAAATTTCTTGATATTATCCGCTGGAAATAATGACTGTGGTGGATATAGACATAACGTGAATAATCATACCTGGTAATTATGTTCCGAAAATGGACTCGAGAAAATTGTCTTTGTTTGCAAAGTAATTTAACGCATTACACTTCACGTTTTCATGACAATACAAATATATTGTTATAACATAGTATATATTATACATATGTAAATATTTTTGTGTTACATATTAACTACTTTAAATGCCACATGTATATACTATGAGTTACACTTAACAGAAGAATCAGCGGAACATGAACCAGCTTGGGAGAATGCAGGTAAAGAAGTGGGGTTAAAAATCTGGCGGATTGTGGTAAGTAATCACTTAAATTAACAGAATAAAAATGATTCAAGAATACAAGAAAATAAAGGTTTTTTTATGGAAAATAGTTTTTTTAAGTTCTACCTCTATGATATACCATACAGCTGATAATTTTTTTCAAGGGTCATTTTTTTCAGTTTTCTTTCAAAACGATCGAATAATATTTTCAACGAATCAAATTTTTGCAATCTGGATGTGAAAAGACATCTAAAACACACGCGCCTCTCATTATTTCGAACTAAATTGTCGCGATCACGTAAATGTACCGCAGAAAACATCTCGAAAATAACAGGCCATAGGGGATTGTCATTTCCATTGTGTATAAACAATTAATATTGTTTGTAAATATATCCCGGTTATACCTTGTGGATAATGAAGTATCATAAGTATGCCCAAGGTATACCATCAGTTTAAATATTAAAAGCTACAGACAGAACCACCTTAAGGCATTGTTTTAAAAAGATCTGTTTTAATCTCGATTCCATCACCTTAAACTGATGTAGTCTATATATAGATATAACACTCCCAGTAAATAAATGATATACACAACGATTACAACATTTACAGGTTTTCATTTTTTTTTTCACACACTGAAAAGCTTTCGCTAACATGTGATAATATTTCTATCGACAGAATTTCCAAGTGACAGACTGGCCGGAAGTGGATTATGGGAAATTTTACGAGGGCGACTCCTACATAATTCTCGATGTATGTAAAGTTTTTCCACCGCTATACCAGTTATTCTTTACTTTTGTTCATCACAATAGCTCTACTAATAATCACTAGTGGTCTTAATGAAGTCACTGACATAGAGAAGATTATCAGCTGTATTTTTTCGGGTCACTTGATAATTGGTGTTAATCAAATAAAGCGACCGCTAAGCGACATCATGTTCACCTGTTAAAGAAACAAATATTTGTACATGTAGTCTCGCAAATTTTGAGGCTGTACCTCTGGGCTTACTTTTATTCGATAAAGTAATATTCTGTTCCAGACTTACAAGAAATCCGGAAGCGAAGCACTCTACTACGATATTCATTTTTGGATCGGACAATACAGCACTCAGGTAAGGTATCTTCACGCAGCTGGCGGAACCGGAAGATGTTGTGATGAATAATTTAAAAAAAAAAAACGGTTTGTCGTGTATCGAATGACCTATTTTGATCACTAAGTTATTTAGGATGTTTAATAACGTCTTTAAAATCAAAGTAAGAAGATATTTCTATTTCTGTTCGACTTGTTAAAAGGTCATAACTATATCCATTTTCCATGTAAATTATCCGTACTTTTCACGTCGAAATTTAAGTTCCGTGAAGTTCTTGATTAAAGGAATTTAAAAGATCTTGAAATGAGACAAGAAGGGGAAACTGTTATGAAATAGTGTTAAATAATTAATTTTAGCACATTTAGAATCTATCGTGGTCACGGAAGAAGCTCGATTTTATCGTGATCAAGGAAGAAGCACGATTTCAGTGATGAAAAAGCTCGATTTTATCGTGGTCAAGGTAAAAGCTTGATTTGATCAAGGTCAAGGAATATGCGGAAACATAAACATATAGGAAAGACATAGTGAATTAAAATATTGACACTTCCTTGAAGTTTATACCACTGTTTCTGCGTTGTGAAACCAATGGGCAAAACACTTAGCATGTATCTCGTATAAAACAGTTTTATTTTAACTGTTATTAATAATTACAGGACGAGTACGGCACGGCAGCCTACAAGACAGTGGAGTTAGCTACATATCTGGGAGGTACACCCATCCAACATAGGGAGATCCAAGAACACGAGTCGAAACAGTTCCGCAAGTACTTCGTATCTATCACGTGCGTGCTTGTTTGATACCATCAATAACCTAAAATTCTGTGTGATTAATGTTCATCCTTAACACACACCTCAATAACCTAGAATTCTTTGTGATTAATGTGTGTTTCCTTAACACACATCTCAACAACCTAGAATTCTGTGTGATTAATGTTCATCCTTAACACACCCCTCAATAACCTAGAATTCTGTGTGATTAATGTTCATCCTTAACACACACCTCAATAACCTAGAATTCTGTGTGATTAATGTGTGTTTCCTCAACACACATCTCAACAACCTAGAATTCTGTGTGATTAATGTTCATCCTTAACACACCCCTCAACAACCTAGAATTCTGTGTGATTAATGTTCATCCTTAACACACCCCTCAATAACCTAGAATTCTGTGTGATTAATGTTCATCCTAAACACACATCTCAACAACCTAGAATTCTGTGTGATTAATGTTCATCCTTAACACACCCCTCAATAACCTATAATTCTGTGTGATTAATGTTCATCCTAAACACACATCTCAATAACCTAGAATTCTGTGTGATTCATGTGTGTATCCTTAACACACACCTCAATAACCTAGAATTCTGTGTGATTCATGTGTGTATCCTTAACACACACCTCAATAACCTAGAATTCTGTGTGATTAATGTTCATCCTTAACACACACCTCAATAACCTAGAATTCTGTGTGATTAATGTTCATCCTAAACACACATCTCAATAACCTAGAATTCTGTGTGATTCATGTGTGTATCCTTAACACACACCTCAATAACCTATAATTCTGTGTGATTAATGTTCATCCTTAACACACCCCTCAATAACCTATAATTCTGTGTGATTAATGTTCATCCTTAACACACCCCTCAATAACCTAGAATTCTGTGTGATTAATGTTCATCCTAAACACACATCTCAATAACCTAGAATTCTGTGTGATTCATGTGTGTATCCTTAACACACACCTCAATAACCTAGAATTCTGTGTGATTAATGTTCATCCTTAACACACCCCTCAATAACCTAGAATTCTGTGTGATTAATGTTCATCCTTAACACACACCTCAATAACCTAGAATTCTGTGTGATTAATGTTCATCCTTAACACACATCTCAACAACCTAGAATTCTGTGTGATTAATGTTCATCCTTAACACACCCCTCAATAACCTAGAATTCTGTGTGATTAATGTTCATCCTAAACACACATCTCAATAACCTAGAATTCTGTGTGATTCATGTGTGTATCCTTAACACACACCTCAATAACCTAGAATTCTGTGTGATTAATGTTCATCCTTAACACACCCCTCAATAACCTAGAATTCTGTGTGATTAATGTTCATCCTTAACACACACCTCAATAACCTAGAATTCTGTGTGATTAATGTTCCTCCTTAACACACATCTCAATAACCTAGAATTCTGTGTGATTCATGTGTGTATCCTTAACACACACCTCAATAACCTAGAATTCTGTGTGATTAATGTTCATCCTTAACACACCCCTCAGTAACCTAGAATTCTGTGTGATTAATGTTCATCCTTAACACACACCTCAATAACCTAGAATTCTGTGTGATTAATGTTCATCCTTAACACACATCTCAACAACCTAGAATTCTGTGTGATTAATGTTCATCCTTAACACACCCCTCAATAACCTATAATTCTGTGTGATTAATGTTCATCCTAAACACACATCTCAATAACCTAGAATTCTGCGTGATTCATGTGTGTATCCTTAACACACACCTCAATAACCTAGAATTCTGTGTGATTAATGTTCATCCTAAAGACACATCTCAATAACCTAGAATTCTGTGTGATTCATGTGTGTATCCTTAACACACACCTCAATAACCTAGAATTCTGTGTGATTAATGTTCATCCTTAACACACCCCTCAATAACCTAGAATTCTGTGTGATTAATGTTCATCCTTAACACACACCTCAATAACCTAGAATTCTGTGTGATTAATGTTCATCCTTAACACACATCTCAACAACCTAGAATTCTGTGTGATTAATGTTCATCCTTAACACACCCCTCAATAACCTATAATTCTGTGTGATTAATGTTCATCCTTAACACACATCTCAATAACCTAGAATTTTGTGTGATTCATGTGTGTATCCTTAACACACACCTCAATAACCTAGAATTCTGTGTGATTAATGTTCATCCTTAACACACCCCTCAATAACCTATAATTCTGTGTGATTAATGTTCATCCTTAACACACACCTCAATAACCTAGAATTCTGTGTTATTAATGTTCATCCTTAACACACCCCTCAATAACCTAGAATTCTGTGTGATTAATGTTCATCCTTAACACACCCCTCAATAACCTAGAATTCTGTGTGATTAATGTTCATCCTTAACACACCCCTCAATAACCTATAATTCTGTGTGATTGATGTTCCTCCTTAACACACACCTCAATAACCTAGAATTCTGTGTGATTAATAATTTATTTTGCATTTTCACCTATCCTTCATTTCAACACGACGCAGGGAACCTTTTAAAAATAGCTGAAGAAAAGAGAGAGAAAAATCCAGCTTAATTGCTTATTTGGTCATACTATTTGTTTGTGTATCTTTTGTACAATCTTTGTGTCACTATACAGGTACCTGAAAGGCGGTGCTGATAGCGGTTTCCGGACTGTAAAGGCAGATGAATACACTCCCCGTCTTCTTCACTTCCACGGAGATAGACGCGGCGTCACGGTGAAAGAGGTATCCATGACATACTATGTGATTAAGGAACAATTTGTACAAGTTACCTTGTTTTGCGGTATAAGTAAGGAAATCACGGTAGCTACAAACATCATCAAGTAGTGAATTAAACGCCACTCCATATTCGGGGGCATAGCAAGGAGAAAAAAACAAAACTCGTGAACAAAGATCTATGGACTTAATTGGTGTTTAATCGTATACTGAAGGTTGTTCAGTGCCATCAAAACATGGAATATATCAAATATATTTACACCTTTTGGGCAATTATTTAAAATTTCAGTAAAACCAATTTCTAAGTTGAATATAGTTTTAATGGCAAACTATGTCTTAACACATCAGGAAAAGCAAATATTATAACACAAAGCCCATCATCTTATGTCTTCCCAGACTCTCGTCGTTGTATAAAATATTACAGTATCTCTGATACCATTACACTAGAAAACAAGATAGTAACAAAGTTAGAACTATTGTTAGACTGTTAATACGTTATACACACATTCAAGAAATTTGTTTTGGCCGATCGCCTTGTGCTGTTTATATAAACCTGATTCTCATTTAATAACATAACACTGATTTACATACCACATATCCTTTACGAGTCTTCAGGAGTCCTTGTATATATCCCCTTCGATCAAATTATGTCCTCGTTTCACCAAGACTTCGGGAACAACGACCATAATAACCTACCAGAAGTAATATTTGATTTATTTTCAGATTCCCAGGGACAAAAATAAGTTGGATTCGACAGATGTTCATATACTGGACCTCGGGTTAGAGCTGTACCAATGGAACGGCAAGAGTAGCAACAAGGACGAGCGAGTCAAGGTAGGTTAATGGTGAGGATGTGACACAGAGTAGCAACAAGGACGAGCGAGTCAAGGTGGGTTAATAGTGAGGATGTGACACAGAGTAGCAACAATGACGAGCGAGTCAAGGTAGGTTAATGGTGAGGATGTGACACAGAGTAGCAACAATGACGACAGAGTCAATGTGAGTTAATGGTGAGGTAGAGACACAGAGTAGCAACAATGACGAGCGAGTCAAGGTGGGTTAATGGTGAGGATGTGACACAGAGTAGCAACAATGACGACAGAGTCAATGTGAGTTAATGGTGAGGTAGAGAAACAGAGTAGCAACAATGACGAGCGAGTCAAGGTGGGTTAATGGTAAAGTAGAGACACAGGATAGCAACAATGACGAGCGAGTCAAGGTGGGTTAATGGTAAAGTAGAGACACAGGATAGCAACAATGACGAGCGAGTCAATGTGAGTTAATGGTAAAGTAGAGACACAGGATAGCAACAATGATGAGCGAGTCAAGGTAGGTTAATGGTGAGGATGTGACACAGAGTAGCAACAATGACGAGCGAGTCAAGGTGGGTTAATGGTAAAGTAGAGATACAGGATAGCAACAATGACGAGCGAGTCAAGGTGGGTTAATGGTAAAGTAGAGACACAGGATAGCAACAATGACGAGCGACTCAAGGTGGGTTAATGGTAAAGTAGAGACACAGGATAGCAACAATGATGAGCGAGTCAAGGTGGGTTAATGGTAAAGTAGAGACACAGGATAGCAACAATGACGAGCGAGCCAAGGTGGGTTAATGGTGAAGTAGAGACACAGGGTAGCAAAAAAGGAGGAGCGAGCCAAGGTGGGTTAATGGTGAAGTAGAGACACAGGGTAGCAACAAGGAGGAGCGAGCCAAGGTAGGTTAATGGTGAAGTAGAGACACAGGGTAGCAACAAGGACGAGCGAGTCAAGGTGGGTTAATGGTGACTAAGGATGTTCGACTCTAATAATATCACTAATACAACAAGGATACTGGACCCTAATGATATCACTAATACAACAAGGATAATGGACCCTAATAATGTCACTAATACAACAAGGGTAATGGACCCTAATAATGTCACTAATACAACAAGGATACTGGACCCTAATAATGTCACTAATACAACAAGGATAATGGACCCTAATAATGTCACTAATACAACAAGGGTAATGGACCCTAATAATGTCACTAATACAACAAGGACAATGGACCCTAATAATGTCACTAATACAACAAGGATACTGGACCCTAATAATGTCACTAATACAACAAGGACAATGGACCCTAATAATGTCACTAATACAACAAGGATACTGGACCCTAATAATATCACTAATACAACAAGGATAATGGACCCTAATAATGTCACTAATACAACAAGGACAATGGACCCTAATAATGTCACTAATACAACAAGGATACTGGACCCTAATAATATCACTAATACAACAAGGATACTGGACCCTAATAATGTCACTAATACAACAAGGACAATGGACCCTAATAATGTCACTAATACAACAAGGATACTGGACCCTAATAATATCACTAATACAACAAGGATACTGGACCCTAATAATGTCCCTAATACAACAAGGATACTGGACCCTAATAATGTCACTAATACAACAAGGATACTGGACCCTAATAATGTCACTAATACAACAAGGACAATGGACCCTAATAATGTCACTAATACAACAAGGATACTGGACCCTAATAATGTCACTAATACAACAAGGACAATGGACCCTAATAATGTCACTAATACAACAAGGATACTGGACCCTAATAATGTCACTAATACAACAAGGATAATGGACCCTAATAATGTCACTAATACAACAAGGATACTGGACCCTAATAATGTCACTTATACAACAAGGATAATGGACTCTAATGATATCACTTATACAACAAGGGTGTTAGATGTGATAAGTAACTGATCAGAAAGCAAATAAAACAAGCTGATGGTTGTGGATAGCAGTAAGTATGAAGTTGTACAAGAAAGTGAAAACTGAGGTAAGTTTGCACCTATTATTATGGATAAATTGACATTATAAACAAATGTGAGAACCGTACAACCCTTGAATATGAAGTCGATATATGAGATATATGTGTTTGTTTTAGTCTCCATTCCCTTCCGGTAAAGTCCAGGTATGTGTGACGTTTCGAGAATATGTAAGATAAGTCGATATATGAGATATGTGTGTTTGTTTTAGTCTCCATTCCCTTCCGGTAAAGTCCAGGTATGTGTGACGTTTCGAGAAGATAATTATTACTTGTACTCACTGGTCTACTTTTTCAGGCGATGCAGTATATAGTGGATTTAAAAGAACAGCGTTGTGGGAAGGCTGTGTCGGAAGTTCTGGACGAGGAATTCACCGAGCCGTCAGTAAGTTTGGTTAGAGAGTTGCTGAGGAATTTGTTAGCAACGAAACTAGGAGGACATGTGGTCCAAGAAATAAGGCAGTAAATAAAAGCAATATGATCATGCTGAAAGTGTTTAACAGAGTCAACTGTTCATAAGGTCTAATTAGAGGAAAGTGTTTAACAGAGCCAACTGTTCATAAGGTCTAATTAGAGGAAAGTGTTTAACAGAGCCAACTGTTCATAAGGTCTAATTAGAGGAAAGTGTTTAACAGAGTCAACTGTTCATAAGGTCTAATTAGAGGAAAGTGTTTAACAGAGCCAACTGTTCATAAGGTCTAATTAGAGGAAAGTGTTTAACAGAGCCAACTGTTCATAAGGTCTAATTAGAGGAAAGTGTTAAACAGAGTCAACTGTTCATAAGGTCTAATTAGAGGAAAGTGTTTAACAGAGACAACTGTTCTTAAGGTATAATTAGAGGAAAGTGTTTAACAGAGACAACTGTTCATAAGGTCTAATTAGAGGAAAGTGTTTAACAGAGCCAACTGTTCATAAGGTCTAATTAGAGGAAAGTGTTTAACAGAGACAACAAGGTCTAATTAGAGGAAAGTGTTAAACAGAGTCAACTGTTCATAATGTCTAATTAGAGGACAGTGTTTAATAGAGCCAACTGTTCATAAGGTCTAATTAGAGGAAAGTGTTTAACAGAGCCAACTGTTCATAAGGTCTAATTAGAGGAAAGTGTTTAACAGAGACAACAAGGTCGAATTAGAGGAAAGTGTTAAACAGAGTCAACTGTTCATAATGTCTAATTAGAGGACAGTGTTTAACAGAGCCAACTGTTCATAAGGTCTAATTAGAGGAAAGTGTTTAACAGAGTCAACAAGGTCTAATTAGAGGAAAGTGTTAAACAGAGTCAACTGTTCATAATGTCTAATTAGAGGAAAGTGTTTAACAGAGACAACAAGGTCTAATTAGAGGAAAGTGTTTAACAGAGTCAACTGTTCATAAGGTCTAATTAGAGGAAAGTGTTTAACAGAGACAACTGTTCATAAGGTCTAATTAGAGGAAAGTGTTTAACAGAGTCAACTGTTCATAAGGTCTAATTAGAGGAAAGTGTTTAACAGAGACAACTGTTCATAAGGTCTAATTAGAGGAAAGTCAACACCCGTAACAATACACAAAGCAACTGGTAGAACCGACGGATGCTTCCCAAATAAACACTAAGTATATCATGTTGGTACCTCTTATAGTTATTGTGTCATGCTTATGGACAAAATGGCAGTATAAAAATACCAAATGGCTATAACTCCTAAATTATGCAAAAGAGAGGTTCTTGTACACGGTACTTCTTCCTTATCGAGATACATCTGCCTATTTAAGTTACATGTTGATACCTCTCATATATTTTGTGGTATGCCCCGGACAAAATTATGACCGATGGATACACGGACGGACAAAGCAACGACTATAACATCTTCCTTCGGGGCATAAATACAGGAAATGTCGGCAGTAAAATGTAAGCGGGGGGTGGGGGGGGGATTACACAATTTGTATGAATGTTAAGTCTATAAATGTGGTGAGAGTATTGCGGAAGGAGATCATAGAGTTTGGAGAAGGTATTGAACTAGAGGCGGTTGCTAACATACGCAGCCCAAATTTCACAGCAGGACAGATTTTACTTTTTAAGTTGTGTATGTATACTTCTATATGATACCTTTTTTATCATCAGCATAAGTTCTTCACGTACCTTGATCAGGTAGCTGAAGATGACGATGACCAGTCCTATGATCCAAAGGATACCATTAACGAACTATACAGGTGTGTTATGTCTACGATTAACGCAATTCTGTTTTAATTGGAATGCAATGTGTTACCATTGGCTGCCGGGCGTAGTTGGCTTTGGTGGTGCTAGAGCAGACATACATACAATAAGCAATCAAACATCACAGATTCTCTTTATCATGACTCAGAACTTCGAAGACTGTGAGTCATTAAAGCAAATAACGATTTTTTTTTTCCTTCAAATTGATGTGTATAAGCTAATTCTAACGTAAAGCATCCAGGCATTTACCTTAGGATGGTTGGTTGATTTCCGTGCAGTTATATGAAAACAGCAAATGTCATGTGGTGAGATTTCTTCAGAAATCATTTTAGTTTAACAATATCATTCTTTAAAAAATATTTTTCTCGTCTCAGTTTTAAATAAAATGATCACATCCATACTTTAAATACAAGGTTACCACTTAAAACAATGTTTCTACTGAAACACGTCTGCTGTTTTAATCATATTCGCGATAACCGCCAAAATATTAACCTTGTAAAAAGTACTACTGAAAATAGTATGACCAATAAGAACAAATGTAACATCCACAGAGGTTATGTAATGACTTTCTGGTAAAACGATAGATCTTCTACAGATGATAGCTGTAAAACAACTTTGACTCTGAAATAATATGATACTAAATCAAATTCTGAAAACACTGCTATAAAACTTTTTGAAATTGATTTTGAATTATGATGTTATATAATGAGTATTTTTGTCTATCGTGAGAAAATTTTCATGATACCATAGGTATCCGGATTATTTCTATAAAAAGGTGCAAGCTTATACATGTATAACTTTTATTTAAGAAGAATGTGGGTGGCAGTGATATTTCTATCGTTGTAGGTTATCTGACGAGAGCGGTTCGATGTTCTTCAGCCTAGAGAAGACGGGGTCAGTCACACTGAAGGATTTTGATGGAAAGGTGAGAACAGCGCGAGACTATTCCGTCATTACGTCTCTATGTTAACGCATGCAGTTATAATTGAAGTAGAATTAGATATTTTATGTTCTATTTTCTAAATTGTATTCAATATTTTGAACAATATATATAATGTATAATAAAACAATCTTTAGCAACGATTTTTGATTTTTCCACTTCTAGTTGGTAATATTCATGCTTCCCTAACGAATGATATTTCACTATTGACGCCGTTGATTAAGATGTCAAGAACCTGTCTCAATATCACGGTGTTCCTTCAAATTGTCGACATGAAGTTAAATGTATTCCAGAGATGAATGCTGATGGTAACATTGAAGTTATTTATAGTAAACAACTAGGTCTCATTTGGGATTTACGTTTCCTTGTGCGACATGAAGTTAAATATTTCCAATGCTCGTAAGTAAGGCAGGTGGTTTCGTAGTTAATGTTATTTGAGAACGCGGTATTACTGACCAGAATTTATCAACATTATGGCAAATGTGAACTTTATTTACTTTGAGAAACTTTGAAAACGTACAGGGGTAAAAGAGTACCAAAGGAAAGATAAGCGTATTCTGCTGTTTCAACGACGATAAAATCAACGCAAGAAATGTCACGTTCTCAAAACTGTTACCACGTCAAGAGCAACCAGACCAAAAGACACACACATGGTCACCTCGCACTTAATACCACACATGAAACTATGATTACCCCTAATGAGGTCGTGACGACAAAGAGTTATTCCAATAGTCTTAGTCAACCTGCATCTCGGGAAACGCTGTTAATATTGAATTAACAGTGACGTGTAAATAGTTCACACGTTAGAGAAGAATACAGTGGTTACTACAAAGGAATGGATCACAAGAACACAGGAAATTTTCAGGCTAACCACAACACATTAAAGAAAAGTTGCGTTGTCGTTTATAAGCGACTTTTCCAGGATGGTCCTTTGTACCCTAAACTTCAAGTTTTCTAGGATTTATCGGATCGACAAATAAAAAAAAAATACTTAGAGACCATCTAAAAGTGAAATTGAAGGACTTGATAAGAAGACATTTAGCCTGTCGGAAGATCTTTCCAACAAACTGGACCAAAAAAATCAACTAAAAATCCCATCATTCTCACGATTTAATATCAGTTTTGTATGACTTAGTATTAATGACAGCACATCAATGCTCGTTGTCCTAGAGTTTCATCAGGTTTAATTAAATAGTATTTGTTGTCTATCAAATGTATATCTTTTACAGGACGTGTTTATATTTGATACAAAAACGGAAGTGTTTGTGTTCATTGGAAAAGATACGTCTGCTGATGAAAGCAAGTTTGCCATGACGTATGCACATGTAAGTAAAACCGTTTACATTGCCTCGCCACATACATATTCCTGAAAAGTCAAAGACTCATATTCTGCCACCAGAACGTATTTTAAATCTTGTCTTATTTTTTTTTTCACAGACGTACCTGATGAAAACTGACCATCCTCTCGTCCCTATAAGCTGTATCTTGGAGCAAGCTGTCGACGCTGCCTTCAACTTCACTGCTGCATTGGCAGCCTAAAGGTCACTATTCTACCGACCTCGTAGTCTGGACTTAAACATCATTGTTAGATTCTTCTGGCGGGCAACTTCCTTCAGCCTCGTTTCTGAAGTCTAACATAACTATGTACGTTTTCATGTTTCCTGTAGGATCAGTTTTGAAATCTCAGATGGAAATTAAGTTGGACGTATAAATTTCAATCTGTACATTAAAATCATCAGCATGCTATGATAGCTAATATCTGACGTTTTTGCACTGAGAATCGTCTTTTCAAAGCGACAAAACGAAATAACGGGGAAAATTACTCTTTCGCGTTGCATATTTTATCATTCTGTTCTTTCGTAAAAATGTTTAGCGGAACAAAAAAAGACGACAACGACGCATATCATAGCCACTATAGTAAACTGGCTTCGAATGTTTGTCTCTTATGAATATGTATAATAGCACCGTCATAGTTTTAAGATATTTTACAGCTTTAGTACAAATGTCAATTCTAGTTGTAGCTTTGCTGATACAGTGAAACTGGTATAAATCGATATTTATTGCATGTTTCATTTAGTAAACAAATTAAAGTGTATCTATGAAATAGTGGTTTGTTTATTTTGTTCGTTCCTTTTGTGAACAAGCGTTACAAAATACGCCCGTCCTAAGTTGAGCAACCATAACTGGATGAATTTCAGGTGGATGATTTTGGTTTCTAGGTTGTAAGATTGATTTCCAAGATTATCTACTGAATTTCTATAAAGTTAATGGTGCTTGTGCAAAAACTGCTAAGACGATTTGTAGCAAGGGATATTTTTGATTCGTAGGAAGGATTACTGACAGCTCTTAAACAAACGGACATTGATGATTGGTAGAAAGGTTTCATTCATAGGAAGGCTTATTGATGATTTGTAGGAATGTTTATTATGATATTTACTAAAGTTTACAGACTATTCATAAATATTGTAAGTCCACTGACATTTCGTGATAAAAGTTCACAGACGATTCATAGGAAGGTTTATTGCCATCATTTGTAGGATTGGGTTGAAAATCATGGATTAATGGCCCTTTGTGGAATTAGGGGAATTGTCCAGTGCAGTATCACATATAGTAAAACCGATGAGATAACATGGCCATGTAATGGTATGTTGACTGGAAGTAAAATTGTAAGGATTACCTTACCATGTTAAAGTGTCATCCAAATAATCTTGTGATCAGAGAAGAAGGTTTCTATCACACCTGTAAGAAGTTTATTAACAGTATTGGAAAACATCAAGTCAATGGTTGTACAAAGCCTGTGGTAGGTTCCGTTATGAGTTGTCGATAAACCATCTTTGAAGTCAGCGACTGAAGTTGTTTTTGGTTAGCGGACTTGTTGCTAAAATCAACGTTGAAATCTCCCATTATGACAGTTTCACAGCCCTATAGATACTTCCTCTGTACGTCTGTGAGCACAGCTTCTATGAAATACACACGTGTCGATGGTGGTATGTACAAGAAGACCACTTTCGTTGTCAACAGTTGAGTAATTGTTATTAGGAAAGTTATTGAAGGGAAACCTATTTTGCAAATGTACCAAGGGCCATAACTGGCTTTTAAGGTAATAAACCTTCATGTGGAGTTTCCAAATAATCAGGAAAAAAATTCACGAGTTATCGATTGAAAACCTATTTTGCAAACGTACCAAGGACCATAACTCTGTAAACAATAGGGGAAAAAGTTTGGTTATCGAAGCTGACCTGGCTTTTATGGTAATAAACCTTCATGTGGAGTTTCAAATTAATCTGTAAAAAATTATTCAAGAAATCGAACGGAAACCTATGTGCGGCCGCCCGCCTGCGTGAAAACAATACGTCCCGTCTTTTGTCTTTGAGGACAGTTTGTTCAACAGACAAATGATGACCAAGTCAAGACGTCTGCAAATTCTGTGAAATAAGTCTTCTTTTTAATGCATTAAACATGATTAAAACAACATAAATGAAACCTGTCTATTAAGACCACCGTAGGTACTGAACGAAAATGGTCGTAATAGCGAGGCTTCATGTATTCTTGTAGATGAAAGTAACGCTTGTCTTTACCAGTATTCTATCTGCTGGCTGGATAGAGATCAAAATCCACAACTTGTAAGCACCACAGTTGTAGGGTCGAGGTCATTGTTACTATTGAAACTGATTGTCGGTGCTCTAGCAGCTTCATTTCTTCAGGGGTTGTAATCAAATGTCAAACACCGATAATTCTCGGACAAGTTCGATTTTCAGGATTGTTGGGTCGAGATCACGGAACTACTTTTAGAAAAGTAATTCACCATATCTCCGACAAGTTCGATTTTCTGGATTGTTCGGACGAGATAACTACTTTTAGAAAATTCTTGTCAGCACTCTACAACTTCATTCTTCAGTGGTTTTATTTGTCAAGTAGTGTGGATCAAACTTTACACATGTTGGCTTCTTTATGGAGTCAATGTGGAACTCCTCCCAGGGAAAGTCTTGTACTAGGGTCCCTGAGTAAGCCTCCCATGTTGGTATTTCAATTAAGACTTATTGAGACTTAAGAACTTGTTATGTTGATCTTCTCCAGTCACACAAATAATTACAAGTTCAGTTTTATAATGACTTACCAAGCTACATACTCCACATCATTACCATTAACATTCAAATATTGAAAAAATAAGAATGTAACAACAGATGTATGGCGTATAAAGGCACTGTTTATTGCTAGGTAAGTAAATTAGATTTATGTATATATCAGAAATACAAGTAAATATACACAGGCCTGGCTAATTGTGGCAGGTCTACATGGAGCTGAATGGGACTCAACCAAGTGATTGCTTTGAAAATATATGCATTAAATTCTAAACAGAATAAACCAGTCCATAGAAAAACGTTATAAGAATCAAAACTCAATCTCAATTTGGTAATACTTTCAATGTTCAAAATGGTGTGTTATAACGGAGATATAAAGTGAAACAAGAAGTATAAAAAAGCTTGTGTACATGATATGTTTATACATACTGCATCTGCCAAAAATAAAATAACCTCAAAAAAGAACAAACACATAAGCATAACACAGGCTAATGATTAACAGTTTAGGTGTCGGATGTATTCCTTTAATGTACGTTCTCAAAGTGACGGCCAAAATATAGCACAGTGTTTCACTCACACCGTGTTCTTTATTTTATGTGCCGATTCTGTTCAGACTATTCCAAATACAAACTTCATATCATAGATACTAGTCTCAATACTATAATCTGGATCATCTTACTGGCTTAGATGTAACTCAGATTTTACACATGTCAATAGACTGGACAATTCTTTTGTAAGTCAGTTTGAATTGAAAACCAAAGTACATTTCATCTGCCTGTATCAGTTTGAATAGCAACACAGTTACCGTCTTCATGAACAAAGATAGATAAGGAATAATGGAGAATTAGTGACTCCATGTATGATAAAAAAGATAACAAAATTTGGTCCACAAATATAACATATCAAAAATGGTGCAAGTAACCATAGTATTGTCTGATAGTTAATAAAGGAAATATTCTGGGGGAAAATAGCTTTTGGTGGGAGACGGTTTACACATTTCTAAACTGTTACATAGGAAATTATTAATTGAAGTGTAGAGGGCAAAGCGTCAATGAAGATAAAAAATAAAAGATAAATATTTTGCTGTAGTATAATATTCCCATATGTTACCAAACCTTGTGTTAATTACTGCACCAACAAGACATTAACTTAGTATAACAATGGTTAGTTCAACTGACAAACACACCTACAATCACCAGAACTAAAAATGTCCATGCTTTGTAACAGTTTAAATTATACCTCAAAACCTACATCTTATCTTTTATAACTTTTTAATTGAAGTTTCAGATTGTATATATTCCTTCCTTTCTTTTTGTATCTGAAGCATGTAACATTACTAAATGAGATTGAAGGCTAGAGTTTCAGCACTACTGAATGTGTAGGAGTACCACTGTGCAGCTGACTTGTTCAACAAGGAGCTTACACGTTCCTGCATATCTAATTGAAGGCGTCTTCAAATTCCTTGACAGGTTTGCTTGTTTCTGTCAAACATGTCACAGGAATAAATGGGTGTTTGGAGCCCTGCAAGTGTTTCTGAAATTAAACAAACTACAGTTATCAACCATTTCAGTCAATGACACCAGAAAATGTAACAGAAAATGCCTGAGGAATCCTAGGACCAACAGACAAGGGACAATTCATACGATCAGATGATGGTGGACTAAAACAATTACAGTCAAACCATTTCTATTAGATCAACAAGAGGCCTCTAGGGCCTGTATTATTCACATAGTTTGGTTTGGTCACAATTGCTTGAACTATTCGGCTATGTCCCTGCCCCCAAAGAAGTCAGACCCTTAATGTAAACAAAATTGAATCTTCTCAAACTTAGTAGTGTCCAAATGCTCTAACCCAGGATGGGGGTCAGACACACTGTTTATAAAAACCTGTTTCCCCATTACCCAACAATCCAAAAATACAAACCAAATACAAGACTCAACACATTTATTCTGCTTCCCCATATTGGCCCCTACTCCTCAATAAACCATATTCTGTTTTCCCTATTGGTGCCCCATCCCTCTACCACAGAGGGGACCAACCTACTGTTTATATAAAATGGCTAAAATTGAGTTCCCTTCCCTTATTTTGGGTGAAATGCAGTTATTCCTACAGAAGATACAAAACTGAATACCCTTCAACATAGGATGCTCTAGACCAAATTTCGTTAAAATACTTTCATCCATAAAGAAGCAGAAACATTTCAAAGCCTTTCCCCTATTTGCCCCTTTAAGCAAAGACACCATACTACCATTGAGTAAGTATTTTTTTTTTATCTAAATAATACTTCAATAACATACTTAAATTACAGTAAGGTTTATCATAATGATGAGTCAGAAATATCTGACACTTTTAAAGAATTACTCATCCTGTCATTTAAAACAAATATTACAATTTTTACTGATACTCACATGAGCATAAGCAAAGGCATTTCTCCTCTCATCTATGGACGCTTCCTTTCCAGTCCAGATAAACAGATGAGTCACATTGTCCACCAGAAACACATCCTGTAGTAAGAGACAATCAATTCCTAATTATCAGGAGCCTTTCACTTCTGAACTTTGACCAAGCATCACTAAATCTAATCGGGTGTAAAAGCTTGACGTTATGATTTAACGGTGAAAATATTAATTAAATCTCTTGCAAACTATTTATTTCAAAAGTTGTCAAGTGTAACCTTTAACCTTGGCCAATGACCACCAAAATCTGACAAGATGAAGAGCAAAATATTGAAATACTATGATAAGTACAGGAAGCAAACTAATGAGGAGACTCTGGGTACAAAATGTGTTAATTAGGTCACCTCAGTCTCAAGTGACCTACTGCAATCCTCTTTTGACAGTACTATATGTTAATTAACAATTGACACTTTTTAACTCTTCAAAAAACCCTCAACAAATTTCATTTTAAAGAACCTTTTCTTGGCTGAAGATGAACCAGAACAGTCAAATCCTCACAGATTTATAGGAATATAATGTTTTTTAAAACATTTATTGAAATTTCAATAATTTGCATCACATGTACAATGCAGTTCAAGCTATTTAAATTAAATTTCTTTCATATGTCACAACATCATATCATAAAACTTGGATGACAGTTATAGCCGTTTGACCTTTGTTTAAAATGTTATGAGTTAACTTAACCTGTGACCTTGACTTAACTTATATTTAATCATTAACCTTGACAGATGACCACACAAATGTAATCAGGTGTGTAGAACGAGGTGTGTTCTAACAAAATGAGACGATAACATAATAAACAGGATCCTCTTTACGTACTTCCCTTATCAAGGTGCAATCAATATGTACCTCATCAGGAGACACCACTGATAACAACACCTGTCCATCTAAAACTTCTCATTATTCAAAAGTGGAACGGTGTTCAAACATTTGACAAGGTAATAATGAGTTTAGGTCAGTATTGTTTCATACTGCACAAAGCTATCTGATGTTCTCGGCTTATACACCTGGTTAAGTTAACTAATCTTTCATACTCAACTTATCTGAAATTAGCCTTCATACTCAGCTAATAGGTGTGCAACGGTACAACAAGATTGTATATTGATATATATTGCAATTCAGTACTACCATATCGTAATATGTATTGATATATTGTTTCCTATTTATATTGCTTTTTTCCCATTCTTTCAGCCATGTTCAGACCACTTTGTATCATAACATATTCATTTACTTCAATTCAGGTTTTCATTCTATTAAAATATCAAGATTTTCAGCACCAGTTTTGGAAGTAAGGCATCCTGTTTTAAGCATTTTATCAGAACTATCTACTAACTTACCCATTACTGTTAATACTAACAAGCAAAACATATCATAAAGAACCTGTTCTAGTAAGTGATATTCATATCGCTAGGCATTGGACTGCAAAACACTGATATACTAATAAATCGCTGCACCCCTATAAGCTAGTCTGAAATCAGCTTTCACACTTAACCTGGAATTAGCTTTCATACTCAGATAATCAGAAATTTGCTTACACACTCAGCTAATCAGAATTAATCTTACATACTCAGCTAATGTAAATTCAGTTGACTAAGCTAACTTGATTCTCATATTAATTAATCAATCTATGACCTTACCTTGGAATTCAACATGGATTTCTCGAGCTTTCCTGAAGCAATCTGGGTGAACTCAAGGTGACCCGATTCGTCACTGATTCTGTGTAAACAAATAAGCCATTATTTGCTATCTTAATATGTATTCAGTAACTATAAATATTGTAACGAATCTGAACACTTTGTTATTAAGTTACACATTTGCTTTACTTAAAACTATGGTGGCATGTAACTGACTTGTCATGCTGCTACAACAATCGTGATGAACTGTAATAATAATATGACTTGTTATACTAAGCTGTCTTACAAAGTCGATAATCACTGCAATGAATTTGTCTTTAAGGAACCATAAGTATCATGACAGCATAAGTTTTTGCTGCAGTAATGCTGGGAAGTGACATAATAGACTGATGCGTTATTCAGGATGCTTTTGTATTTAGGATTTTTGTTGAGAAGAAATGAAGGTATTTCACTGGCGGTTGTATAGGTGTTGTGATCTACAGACTCCACTGCTTGCTTATAATATAGATACATAAATAGCCTGATTGGTGCATGAATTGCTAAATAAAAATACTGGGCTAAAACGTCCATCTCAGGCCTTTCAATTTATTTACTGCTAGGCACCCCTAATAATGTGCAATCTCAGGCCCTTCAATTTACTTACTGCTAGGCACCCCTAATAATGTGAAAATCTATTTCAAGTAACAATTAACTTTTAGCACATGTAACTTCCAAGCATTGTGATGACAAAAAGTAACAATGTCAAGATACATAAGCTGATTTAAGGATAGATTTATTATACTAATTATCATGATTAGTTCACTTTATAAGATGTCTTTAACACAATATTTTTGTCTTGATATGACGATTTGTCACAATCAATTATCCTGGCAGCTTGACCAGTTGATGGCAGTTACATGCCACCATAAAAACTGCTTACCAAACCCATAGTTAACTTTTTTCTCTAAAACCCCAAACTGCACTTCATGCTAAAGTAATTTTTATTTTTAGCCTCCTAGTAAAAGAATGAATCAGACCATTCATTACAGTTCACATTTCCCTATGTACAGTATAACATCACTCTTCATATTGTTTAACCTGATATGGTCATTTATTACTATTATTCTCAATCTGAACAGCATCTGATATAGTCAATCTATATAATATTTCACCTTAACAGGACCTGAAATGGTCACTCGAAATTTTTTTCCCTGTCTGAACAGGTCTGGAAATGGACTCTTATTAATACTTTTAACCTGAACAGATGTCAACTTTTTTTTCCCTCCTACAGCTCACTTTTTCACACAACCAATAAGCATGTAAAAATTTCATTATTTGAAAAAGTTGGATTTTCTAACTGCCAAGATCTTCTTCCTCTTCATACTAAACTTACTATCTGAATATTTCATAGTTTTTTTTAAGTACTTGAACAGGTAATTTCATGCTTATATTATTAACCTGAAAAGCGATCTCTCAGATCCACTTTCGTCCACTTCATCATCATCTTCATCATCATCATCATCACGGTCATCCTTCAAGGCGCTCAATTCCTGACACTGGATACAAAGAAATATTAATCAAAAGTTAGTACTATACAACAATGGTAAAACAACTCGCTCAAAACTCATCATAGGCTGACTCAACACCAGTCATCATTTCACTCAAAACTTGTCATAGGCTGACTCAACACCAGTCATCAGTTCACTCAAAACCTGTCACAGACTGAATCAACACCAGTCATCAGCTCACTCAAAACCTGTCATAGGCTGACTCAACATTGGTCATTAGTTACTCAAAACCTGTCACAGACTGAATCAACACCGGTCATTAGCTCACTCAAAACCTGTCACAGACTGAATCAACACCAGTCATCAGCTCACTCAAAACCTGTCATAGGCTGAACCAACACCAGTCATCAGCTCACTCAAAACCTGTCACAAACTGAATCAACACTGGTCATCAACTCACTCAAAACCTGTCATAGGCTGACTCAACATTGGTCATTAGTTACTCAAAACCTGTCACAGACTGAATCAACACCGGTCATTAGCTCACTCAAAACCTGTCACAGACTGAATCAACACCAGTCATCAGCTCACTTAAAACCTGTCACAGACTGAATCAACACCAGTCATCAGTTCACTCAAAACCTGTCACAGACTGAATCAACACCGGTCATCAGCTCACTCAAAACCTGTCAGAGACTGACTCAACATTGGTCATTAGTTACTCAAAACCTGTCACAGACTGAATCAACACCGGTCATTAGCTCACTCAAAACCTGTCACAGACTGAATCAACACCGGTCATCAGCTCACTAAAATCCTGTCACAGACTGAATCAACACCAGTCATCAGCTCACTAAAAACCTTTCATAGGCTGAATCAACACCAGTCATCAGCTCACTCAAAACCTGTCACAGACTGAATCAACACCAGTCATCAACTCACTCAAAACCTGTCATAGGCTGAATCAACACCGGTCATCAGCTCACTAAAATCCTGTCACAGACTGAATCAACACCAGTCATCAGCTCACTTAAAACCTTTCATAGGCTGAATCAACACCAGTCATCAGCTCACTCAAAACCTGTCATAGGCTGACACAAAAACCTGTCATAGGCTGACTCAACATTGGTCATCAGTTACTCAAAACCTGTCACAGACTGAATCAACACCAGTAATCAGCTCACTCAAAACCTGTCATAGACTGAATCAACACCGGTCATCAACTCACTCAAAACCTGTCATAGACTGAATCAACACCAGTCATCAGCTCACTCAAAACCAGTCACAAACTGAATCAACACCGGTCATCAACTCACTCAAAACCTGTCATAGACTGAATCAACACCAGTCATCAGCTCACTCAAAACCAGTCACAAACTGAATCAACACCGGTCATCAACTCACTCAAAACCTGTCATAGGCTGACTCAACATTGGTCATTAGTTACTCAAAACCTGTCACAGACTGAATCAACACCAGTCATCAGCTCACTTAAAACCTGTCACAAACTGAATCAACACCAGTCATCAGTTCACTCAAAACCTGTCAAAGGCTGAATCAACACCGGTCATCAGCTCACTAAAAACCTGTCACAGACTGAATCAACACCGGTCATCAGCACACTCAAAACCTGTCAGAGACTGACTCAACATTGGTCATTAGTTACTCAAAACCTGTCATAGACTGAATCAACACCAGTCATCAGTTCACTCAAAACCTGTCACAGACTGAATCAACACCGGTCATCAGCTCACTCAAAACCTGTCACAGACTGACTCAAAACATGTCATAGGCCGACTCAAAACCTGTTATAGGCTGAATCAACACCAGTCATCAGCTCACTCAAAACCTGTCACAGACTGAATCAACACCAGTCATCAACTCACTCAAAAGTCATCTGTTCACTCAAAACCTGTCACAGACTGAATCAACACCTGTCATCAGCTCACTAGAAACCTGTCACAGACTGAATCAACACCAGTCATCAGCTCACTCAAAACCTGTCAAAGGCTGAATCAACACCAGTCATCAGCTCACTAAAAACCTGTCACAGACTGAATCAACATCGGTCATCAACTCACTCAAAACCTGTCACAGACTGAATCAACATCGGTCATCAGCTCACTCAAAACCTGTCAAAGGCTGACTCGAAACATGTCATAGGCTGACTCATAACCTGTCATAGGCTAATTCATAACATGTCATAGGCTGACTCATAACCTGTCATAGGCTAACTCATAACATGTCATAGGCTGACTCATAACCTGTCATAGGCTAACTCATAGCCTGTCATAGGCTAACTCATAACCTGTCACACTCCTAACCTGTTACAAACACACTCAAAACCTGTCATAACACTTTTCCACAGAGTAGAGTGTCATCTGACTTTAATACATCTCAACATTTCTTTTGTCAAGATGTGAAGTTGAAAGTAAAGATGAACTTAAAACAAAGGCCCATGAACTGTAACAGTCCTCTGACAATGACCTATTGACCTTTAAATGATGTCACAACAATAATTCTAAATACTGTAGTAGTCAAGGTTACAAAACCAAAACTGTTCAGTTCTCCACATCTCCAATTACAGCTCAAAAGCATCAGTGAAACTAGACAGGGATTTTTTAAAATCTTTCTCAAGATGGAGAGTAGGAGAGGGGGAGGCAAAGTTTACAACAGACAGCAGAATTATCAAAATGGACCAATGTATGGATGCACACAGGGACAGACTGAGACTATTTCAACATCCCCCATAACCTTTGTTTGTAGTGTAAAAACGTACCTTTTTAAATGAACCCTTATTGTTCTCATCCTCCTCCAAATCCAACACTTCACTCTTGCCCTTGTTATCGGCTTTAAGTTTCTGTAGGTATTGTAAAGCCTGAAATGAAGTATAATGTTTATGTTCAAAAGCTTTCCAACCTTGCAACCTCATTTTCTGACAACATCAACAAAATAAGCAATCCACTTTACACATCCTTCCTTGAACATAATACATAACTTTATCACATGACAAAAGGTTAACACCCATCAATAGGATATGTCACACCCATCGATAGGATGTATCACACCCATCAATAGGATATGTCTCACCCATCAATATGATGTATCACACCCATCAATAGGATATGTCACACCCATCAATAGGATGTATCACACCCATCAATAGGATATGTCACACCCATCAATAGGATATGTCACACCCATCAATAGGATATGTCACACCCATCAATATGATGTATCACACCCATCAATAGGATATGTCATACCCATCAATAGGATGTATCACACCCATCAATAGGATGTATCACACCCATCAATAGGATGTATCACACCCATCAATAGGATGTATCACACCCATCAATAGGATATGTCACACCCATCAATAGGATATGTCACACCCATCAATATGATGTATTACACCCATCAATAGGATATGTCACACCCATCAATAGGATGTATCACACCCATCAATAGGATATGTCATACCCATCAATAGGATATGTCATACCCATCAGTAGGATGTATCACACCCATCAATAGGATGTGTCACACCCATCAATATGATATGTCACACCCATCAATAGGATATGTCACACCCATCAATAGGATGTATCACACCCATCAATAGGATATGTCACACCCATCAATAGGATGTATCACACCCATCAATAGGATATGTCATACCCATCAATAGGATATGTATCACACCCATCAATAGGATATGTCACACCCATCAATAGGATATGTCACACCCATCAATAGGATGTGTCATACCCATCAATAGGATATGTCACACCCATCAATAGGATGTATCACACCCATCAATAGGACATGTCACACCCCTCAATAGGATATGTCTTCAAAAAATGTTAAAAAAAAAAACGAAAGTTGCCAAACAGTGTTTTATGGATATATATGTGAACCTAAGATGTTCTGACAGTAAATGGTCAGTAAATGGTCAGTGGTATTGGATGTAAGGGCTGTGGTATGCTAATGACCATCTATCCAACCTTGACCTTAAGGGTAGTGACCGTGGAATGCTGTATGACAAGACATGCACATTCATGAAATTTCCGAAAAGTAAAGATATCAGAACATGTACATCAGCCCTGATATTAAGGAAGATAATGTTACATAGAAATTATTCTATATTTGTTGATATTTTTATTCAGATACAATGATAAACACTATATAGATATCAACACTTGACGGTCCTGGATATATGTAAAAAAAGATGATAAACACACATCAATTATGTCTTCCCTTTACAACAAGATTTTCCAACCCTAGAAAGACAAACACTTAATGTTTCATCTTCATTTAACAATATCACCTTGCATTCTGCAATTTGGCATTGTTAAATGGCCATTCTTGGTGAATTAGCAAAATGATGAAGCACATCCGTTATGGTTGCTATATAAAAAACAATCAGAACTGCAGTAAGTGTTATCATATGTTAGCATGATATTTTTTTCTCTACGAAAAGCAACAAAAATAAGATAACTGTTTAAATATATAAGTTTTCAGTATGTAGTCGAGTTTTACTGCTAGATCCTTATTCAGACTTTGAAAGAATTCTATACTGAAGACAGATCAATTTTCCGTCAAAACAATTTTATGAACAAGATGAATGAGAGAAATTCTTCCCAAGTAGTGGAAAGACATACAAACCTTGAAGCGCTCGTCCTTGGTGGCGTTCTGGCCATTCACTTGGTATAATTCACGACCAAGATCAAAGATAAACACATCGTCAGAGTTCAAGCTCGACCAGGCTGTTGGTACCTATTAATTAAATATACGTAATGATGTATCATTTTATAAATAATGCAAAGGAGTCTCTCTTCAATTAACTCTACAACTTAAAATGCCTGCTATCATACACGGTAAAGGCAAAGACCTCATTTTGTATAACAAACATCTTCTTTTGTTTGACAAAGCTGACAAACAGGGATGGCAATGATCTTTTGTTTGACAACGCTGACAAGCAGGGAAGGCAATGATCTTTTGTTTAACAATGCTGACAAGCAGGGAAGGCAATGATCTTTTGTTTAACAATGCTGACAAGCAGGGAAGGCAATGATCTTTTGTTTAACAATGCTGACAAGCAGGGAAGGCAATGATCTTTTGTTTGACAAAGCTGACAAACAGGGAAGGCAATGATCTTTTGTTTAACAATGCTGACAAACAGGGAAGGCAATGATCTTTTGTTTAACAACGCTGACAAACAGGGAAGGCAATGATCTTTTGTTTAACAAAGCTGACAAACAGGGAAGGCAATGGGACAGGCAATGATCTTTTGTTTACACACAGGGAAGGCAAACAATGCTGACAACAGGCAATTATCTCCTTTTGTTTAACAATGCTGACACACAGAAGGCAATGATCTTTTGTTTAACAATGCTGACACGCAGGGAAGGCAATGATCTTTTGTTTAACAATGCTGACACACAGGGAAGGCAATGATCTTTTGTTTAACAATGCTGACAAGCAGGGAAGGCAATGATCTTTTGTTTAACAATGCTGACACACAGGGAAGGCAATGATCTTTTGTTTAACAATGCTGACAAGCAGGGAAGGCAATGATCTTTTGTTTAACAATGACACACAGCTGACAAATAGGGAAGGCAATGATCTTTTGTTTAACAACGCTGACAAACAGGGAAGGCAATGATCTTTTGTTTAACAAAGCTGACAAACAGGGAAGGCAATGATCTTTTGTTTGACAAAGCTGACAAATAGGGAAGGCAAAGATCTTTTGTTTAACAATGCTGACTAACAGGGAAGGCAAGTTCTCCTTTTGTTTAACAATGCTGACACACAGGGAAGGCAATGATCTCCTTTTGTTTAACAATGCTGACACACAGGGAAGGCAATGATCTCCTTTTGTTTAACAATGCTGACACACAGGGAAGGCAATGATCTCCTTTTGTTTAACAATGCTGACACACAGGGCTAGATTTCCATTTCATGACCAGTCCCTTGTTGTTTGAAGGCTAATCAGGTTCAACCCTGGCTTGTGAACATTTCCTAAATAATCTGGGAACATAATTACTTCATAGTTGTAGATCTGTTGAGACAGGTCAGATTGATACATTTATAGTCAAATTTTGCCTTTTAATTATCTTGTTTTTTCAATGACAATAATTAGAATTTTTCATAAACTACCAGTTAAAAATTATTATTAACATTCAAACAACAGGGGCCTAATAATAGCATTAAGAATCATTATCCGATGGAGACTTTCCAAAAGATTTTTTCATGTAGCAGTCAAAAAAGAGGGCATTGTTTCAGGTGTGTAACTGATTATACGACCATCTTTCACCAAATGTAGTCAGTTGTTTGTCTGGTCATTTGATCATCATTTGTCAGACGATAAAGAGATCCCAGGGAGTTCTTGATGCTTAACATGAATTATCTACACTGGTTCTATGCAAGACAGATCTTTTCTCTCCCTTTCCCCGTCTTTCCTGTTTCCTTTTAATCATTTGATAACAAAGTAATCACACATACGAAATCAAAGAAAGGCCTGAAAAGAGTTTTCAGAGAAATACTGACAACAAACTTCAACTGTCAAAATCCAAGATGACCAGCTGTCAGCCATATTGTTTCACTGATCAGTCAAAAATCAACACTCACACATCTCAAATAAAACATACAGACCAAATCTGAGAAATACATACCTCAATGCTTGTAAACAAATGTAAACATTCTACAATGACATTTTACCCCCGCAACTTTTTCCAACAATTCTACAATGATGACATATCTCAGTAAACAATTGTAACAATTCTACAATGATGTCACACTTCAGTAAACAATTGTCACAATTCTACAATGTTATACCTCAGTAATCAATGGTAACAATTGTACAATAATGTCACACCTCAGTAAACAATTGTAACAATTCTACAATGCTGTCACACCTCAGTAAACAACTGTAACAATTCTACAATAATGTCACACCTCAGTAAACAATTCTAACAATTCTACAATGTCATACCTCAGTAAACAATGGTAACAATTCTACAATGCTGTCACACCTCAGTTAACAATTGTAACAATTATACAATGATGTCATATTTCAGTAAACAATTGTAACAATTCTACAATGTCACACCTCAGTAAACAATTGTAACAATTCTACAATGTTATACCTCAGTAAACAATTGTAACAATTCTACAATGTCACACCTCAGTAAACAATTCTACAATGTTGTCATACCTCAGGAAACAATTGTAACAATTCTACAATGATGTCATACCTCAGGAAACAATTGTAACAATTCTACACTGATGTCACACCTCAGTAAACAATTGTAACAATTCTACAATGTTATACCTCAGTAAACAATTGTAACATTTCTACAATGATCTCACACCTCAGTAAACAATGGTAACAATTCTACAATAATGTCACACCTCAGTAAACAATTCTACAATGTTGTCATACCTCAGGAAACAATTGTAACAATTCTACAATGCCACACCTCAGTAAACAATTGTAACAATTCTACAATGATGTCATATTTCAGTAAACAATTGTAACAATTCTACAATGATGTCATAGTTCAGTAAACAATTGTAACAATTCTACAATGTTATATCTCAGTAAACAATTATAACAATTCTTCAATGATTTCACACCTCAGTAAACAATTGTAACAATTCTACAATGTCATATCACAGCAAACAATTGTAACAATTCTACAATGTCACACCTCAGTAAACAATTCTAACAATTCTACAATGTCACACCTCAGTAAACAATTATAACAATTCTACAATAATGTCACACCTCAGTCAACAATTCTACAATGTCATATCACAGTAAACAATTGTAACAATTCTACAATGTTATACCTCAGTAAACAGTTGCAACAATTCTACAATGTTATACCTCAGTAAACAACTGTAACAATTCTACAATGATGTCATACCTCAGGAAACAATTGTAACAATTCTACAATGCTGTCACACCTCAGTAAACAATTGTAACAATTCTACAATGATGTCATACCTCAGGAAACAATTGTAACAATTCTACAATGATGTCATACCTTAGGAAACAATGTTGTCATACCTCAGTAAACAATGGTAACAATTCTACAATGTCACACCTCAGTTAACAATTGTAACAATTCTACAATGTTGTCATACCTCAGGAAACAATTGTAACAATTCTACAATAATGTCACACCTCAGTAAACAATTGTAACAATTCTACAATGTTATACCTCAGTAAACAACTGTAACAATTCTACAATGATGTCATACCTCAGTAAACAATTGTAACAATTCTACAATGTTATACCTCAGTAAACAATTGTAACAATTCTACAATGATGTCATAGTTCAGTAAACAATTGTAACAATTCTACAATGTTATACCTCAGTAAACAATTGTAACAATTCTACAATGTTATACCTCAGTTAACAATTGTAACAATTCTACGATGTTATACCTCAGTAAACAATTGTAACATTTCTACGATTTATACCTCAGTTAACAATTGTAACAATTCTACAATGTTATACCTCAATTAACAATTGTAACAATTCTACAATGATGTCATACCTCAGTAAACAATTTTAACAATTCTACAATGTCATACCTCAGTGACTTTAATATTTTTCCCGGTGCCACAGAATTTAAGCAGACGTGCTTTATATTCCTCTGGTTGTACACGACGGAATCCAGTGTCTGCTCCTCCCTTCATTGTCCTGTAACAATCAACAATTCAAAGTTATATCCTTTTTCACACAGAAGGGTCATCCAACAGATTCAGAAAAGCTCTTGACCCAAGAAAACTGAGTTCGACTGTTGCTTCAGAGTTTATCAAACAAAGGAAACTAATTCTTTGTGCTTCTTTCTCCTGTTTGAAATACTCTAACAATATCTAGAATATTTATTTGGAGATTGTACAAATGACACAAATAAATAGCACCGTTTAAAGATTTAGAGTTACATAAGTACAGCCAAACAATGAATTAAACTGCATTATACTGCTGTTTCATTCTTCCAGGTCTATCAGTGATGCTACAAGCCTAAATTTTGAAGCCTAGGAGGTGACTGAAGAAACATTTTTAAAAAAGATGGTAAAAGGCAAAGTCTAGATGAGGTGCAGCAGCCCCATAATTCAATAAAACTATACTAGGTAAGAAACTTGCGTAATGGTTTCAAAATAACTCTTGAACATGTCACTCTCATGTCCTTCAGTCTCACGATGCTGGACTGGTTTATCATCAAGGAAGGTATCCAGCTCCACAGTTTTGTAGGCTGCTGTCCCATATTCATCCTGTCAATGAAAAAATTGTAAAAAAGTTTCATTTTAATACATCTCAAATAAAAATTCTGTCACAGAAATGTAAAGATCTGAAAGAGAGAATTCTAGTTTTGGGATTAGCTGTATCTAAAGCTACAGGATAACAGGATAAATCATATACATTAACAGTATACATGTATTTGGACATAAACTTGGCAAATTATTAAGTTTTTTCAATAACCATCCTTGTTGTTTCTCTTAAAGGTAAAAATTGCTCAATATGTTTTTGGAGTATCCATTGTTTCTGATTTTAAAGTAAACAGAAGTCTACTGTTATTGTTTGGGTAAATATGTGTATAGGATCAGAAAGGATTTTTTAAATCAACAGATTTTATTTATGAAACGAGTCTTAGAAAATCTTCGTTATTTTGAGCCGTGACAAGCAAAAATTAAAACTTCAACATGAGTTTCATAAAATATCAAATGAAAACAGATTTAAACTTCTTTTGATCACATAATTCAGGAAAGTTACGATTTAACAGGGACAAAATCAAAATGAGGAAGCCGTTTTCTTGCACCACTTTCTACTCATGACGTATTATTGACCATATAATGGCATCACAATTGATTTCTAACTGCTGATAAATACAACGTTCAAATAAATAACTTATGTTAGTCAACAATAAATTAATACAACACACAGTCCTTCCATACAAGTATACAGACAACCCTGACCTCCTTTATTACACACAGCTTATTATACAAGATATCAACACACACCAGATGGAAATCTCAAGAAGCAAGCTTTTTCAAATATTGAACTTGCCTGTGTGCTATTCTTTCCAATCCAGAAGTGAACATCATGTAACAGTTCGTCCCCTCCTTCCTCTACGTAAGTCTAAATGAACAAATAATTAAAACATCAGGACACGATCAGCTTCAAGGGCACATTTTACTACCAAGTGTATTGTATACTTGTACAGTGAATTTATTCTTAGCTAATTTGTGTGTATGATGTACACTTAGTAATGCTTGCCCAGTTTTAGTTTTTCTGAGGATGATATAAGAATTTCCATACAAGATGTTCCTGGCTAATTTGTATGTAGGGTGACTAAACAATATTTGTTCAAAAACAAGAGACATAGCAGCCTGGATGGTCACCCGAGATAAGCAATATTGAATATAAAGGTTAAAGGGTCATAAAACAGAAATTGTGACTCTGTATATAAGTCAGTGTCAATACAAAGTTATTTACAGTGGGGAAAAAACCAACAATATAAAGAAATGTGAGACCCATTTTGGTAATAAAAGATGCTTCCATTCATACAGAGCATTTCATTCTACCCTACCTGAGTGTTGAGAAGATTTTTGAAGTTTAAGTCTATTTAACCTCTTTTGGCCCAGCCCATCAGCCCCTGAGGGTCAGTCAGGATCAATATGGGCATACCATCAAGCCGTCATCCTTCACTCATAATTCTAACCAAGTTAGAAATATTTCCAATAGAAATTAAACAAATTATTCTCAAAAATCTATTTTTCCTATATAAACTATGATAAAATTGACTTCCTCCCCATGGGGAAATGTGAGACCCTGAAGCCATAAAATCATCAATTTTGGTAAAGCACCTTAAGATGCTTCCATCCTTCCATATCTGGGTGTTAAGAAGAAGATTTGACCACTTTTGGCCCTGCCCCTCAGCCCTGAGGACTGTAAAATTTTGTACAAATCTGTACAATCTGTACAATTTTGGTTCATCTTAGACCAGCAAAGGCTTCTGCACAATTTCCATGAAATTGGATCTGGAGTTTCTAAGAAGTTGTCGAAAATGTTTAATTGTTTAAGGACGCACACTGTGGGATGAAGGTGATTGCAATAGTTATCACGACACTGACCTAATTATGTGGGCATTAAAACTTAGGATTGGTCTAAACCATTCACATGCGTATTGACCATCATTACTTAATATACAGATCCTAAAATTGTAAACGATGTTTTATTAATGACTGTTGAGATAATACACAAGTATTAGTGTTGTGGACATATGTGATAAGGATTTCAAAGGGAAATAACTCTTCTGAAGAGCCACATAAATCAGACGAGAACTACATGAAGTATCAATATCCTTACATTGAGAATGATATAGGAATCTCCATTGTAGAATCTGCCATAATCTTCCTTTGGCCAGTCAGTCACCTTGAATTTCTGAAAAATAAATGACAGCTTTTTAGAAGCGAATAATGGAGAAATATAACTAGAGAAACGTAATACACAATGTTCAAGTGCTGTCCGTCAGGATTGTTTTTTGTTTGAATTAAGTTGAAAAGTAACCAATCAGAAATGAAATCTTCATAAAAATGGCAAGAATGGGAATTATGTACAAGTATAAACAAATTCAATAGAGAATTGGGTTCATGGATATCCTCAAGGTAAAGCCCTTTCTGGTACTGGAAATCCCTGGTAATGTATCATCTCCCATAATCCATATCATCACCATTCAGAAGAAGAAAAATAAACATCCGATATGGTGTACAAGATACAACAAATCATTCAGAAACCTCAGTAATAGGTTAACAAGTTATATCATGTTTATTTTTGTTATCATGTAGAGGTCACCATTCTGACATCATGGTAATTTGACCTTTACCACTGACCTTGCTACTGACAATTCCATGTACATTAAAAGCGACATTGCACTACATAGATCAGATTGTAAAATTTTTCAGTGTTATATCTATCCAGCAAGTTTTTCAATGCTTTTTGACATTTGGTATCACTTTTTCACTTTTAAATAAAATAGTCATATTGCTTTTCATATTCTCATGAAAGTCAGAAAACTAAGAAAGTAGGCCAGCACTGGTATTTACTGACCACAATCCGCCAGATTTTGATCCCAGGTGCCTGTCCAGCACCCTGCCATGCGGGCTCTTCCATGGCTGACTCCTCTACAAGCACAAAAGAAATTAATAAATGAACAAGAATTCTACAGAAGTGGGTGTGTCACCTGTATTCATTCCAATTATATAATTTCACCGTTTGTTTGAGATGCGATGAGTAAGTTTGCAGAGTTGATGTATAGTGTGGATCCTGAGGATCTGTATATCACAATCCTATATAAAATCAGATTTTAAACAGAATACCACAGGCACAACCCACATGAAAAACAGTCTCAAACAAGCCCCTTTGGTTAAGAAGAACTGAATGAAGTTTGAGTCTAATTTTCCAAAGAAAACTCAAATCACAGAAAACCAATTTTCTTTATACTGCTTCAGTGAGCTTGACCTTTAACATTTTGGCCTGAAAAGCAATCCTAGTGAAGTACCTTTGATAAGGTTATTGTACAAAATTTTTCTTATTTATAGTAATAGTGACCTTGACCTTTGACATTCAAACAATTCCAAAACAAGCCCCTTTAGTAAGGAAGCACTGCATGAGGTTTGAGTGTAATTGTCCAAAGAAAGATTATCACATGAAAACCAATCTCCTATATTTATATATTGTTTATATAATTATAAACTTATGGTAAAATTGCTGTAGTTCAAATTACTGACAATTATTCTCAGATGAAATATAAATTTCTAATCTCAAGACCTATTATCACTTTCATTCACAAAGTGAAAGTTTTCTAGGTTTTTCTTCTTCATCTGTATTAAGCTGACTAGTTTCAAATACGTCTGTTGTAACAGTCCTATATAAATTGTACTGGACGGGCTTAGCACAGTAAAGATATTGTGTCAATACAAAAGCAGGTCTCCCAAGTGTTGGTATATAAAACTGCTGTTATTCCTGTTTCAGCCTTATACATTATTTCAGTAACAAAAATGTAACTTATGACAAAGTTTAAATATTTTGGATTGACACCAAGAAATGTTTGAATAATTACTTTTGACTTTTCTGTCTGTGTCTGATCCAAACAGGGCCATATTGGAATCCTTCCAGTCATATTTCTTTGCTTTCCTTAAACCTGAAACATACAAAAACATGTTCATCACTTCATAACATACATTATGTTCATCAATTCATAGTGTGTAACATGTTCATCAGTTCATAGCATACATTATGTTCATCAATTCATAGTGTGTAACATGTTCATCACTTCATAGCATACATTATGTTCATCAATTCATATTGTGTAACATGTTCATCAGTTCATAGTGTGTAACATGTTCATCACTTCATAGCATACATTATGTTCATCAATTCATAGTGTGTAACATGTTCATCAGTTCATAGCATACATTATGTTCATCAATTCATATTGTGTAACATGTTCATCAGTTCATAGTGTGTAACATGTTCATCACTTCATAGCATATATTATGTTCATCAATTCATAGTGTGTAACATGTTCATTAGTTCATATTGTGTAACATGTTCATCATTTCATAGTGTGTAACATGTTCATCAGTTCATAGTGTTCATCAGTTCATAGTGTGTAACATGTTCATCACTTCATAGCATACATTATGTTCATCAATTCATAGTGTGTAACATGTTCATCAGTTCATAGCATACATTATGTTCATCAATTCATATTGTGTAACATGTTCATCAGTTCATAGTGTGTAACATGTTCATCACTTCATAGCATATATTATGTTCATCAATTCATAGTGTGTAACATGTTCATTAGTTCATATTGTGTAACATGTTCATCATTTCATAGTGTGTAACATGTTCATCAGTTCATAGTGTTCATCAGTTCATAGTGTGTTACATGTTCATCAATTCACAGTGTGTAACATGTTCATCAGTTCATAGTGTGTAACATGTTCATCAGTTCATATTATGTAACATGTTCATCACTTCATAGCATGCATTATGTTCATCAATTCATAGTGTGTAACATGTTCATCAGTTCATAGTGTGTAACATGTTCATCAATTCACAGTGTGTAACATGTTCATCAATTCACAGTGTGTAACATGTTCATCAATTCTTGATGTGTAACATGTTCATCAATTCATAGTGTGTAAAATGTTCATCAATTCATATTGTGTAACATGTTCATAAATTCACAGTGTGTAAAATGTTCGTCAATTCATAGTGTGTAACAACATTCATCTATTCATGGTATGTTCACTAATAAAGGGTTTGGTTTTTTTTTTGCATGTTTAAAATATCAACTATCTTCCTGCTCTAGGAAGAGTCTTGATTTTACAAACCCTTAGAATGATATTTAGATGTTTATGGCAAATAATAACAGACAATCCACAGTTGTTGAACTATATATTACCAGGGTATGTTAAATCTGGATTGTATGTGAAATAGCTTAACCATGTCAAGCCCCAGCACACTGGATAGATTCCTCAGTAAACAGGTTTAAGCAAGCCACATGTCAACCACACAATCATAGTCATACATTTCTTATTTCTATCCACCTGATCAACCAAGTGTGATATTTGTCCCGTAAACAGGTATAATAACACATGTTTACTTACTGCTCAATATTGCTTATCAGGGCTTGTGTCCTTGCTATTTTAGAGTTTCAAATGTGACAAGAAATCCCAATTTTTTGGGTCATAACAATTTATAAAGATGAATTTATTATTGAAGACTATATGAAAATACTGTCAGAAAAGAGAATAATCTCCCACACATGTCTTGCCCAAAGTTTGTGTAACTCTTTACCTTAATACTACATTCTGATCTCTACTTTCTGATACCACCCACTCTGATCTCTACTTTCTACTTCTGCCATCTTTAACCTCTACTTTGTAATGCTGCCCACTCTGACCTCTATTTCATAATACCAACCTCTCTGACATATACTTTATAATACTGCCCTCTCTGACCTCTACTTTATGTCACTGCCCTCACTGACCTCTACTTTACAATACCAAACCTCTCTGACATATCCTTTATACTACTGACCTCTCTGACCTCTACTCCTGATATTGACCTCTCTGACCTCTACTTCTGATATTGACCACTCTGACCTCTACCTCTGATATTGACCACTCTGACCTCTACTTCTGGTATTGACCACTCTGACCTCCACTTCCATTGACCACTCTGACCTCTACATTCAGATATTAGCCTCTTTGACATCCACTACTCAATATTGACCTTTGTGACCTCTACTTGTGATTCTATCATCTGGGATCCTAAGTTATCTTATTGCCATTGTATGTTATTCCTTTCAAATTTAAAAACAAATCTAAACCCATTAAATACATTATACACATCCTTTATAGATAGCTTTAGGAGAAATTAAGATAAAGAACCAGACAACTGAAGTATGCTTAACTGAAAAGCTTCCCTGTAAATAAATCTCCATCCTGGTGGAAGATGTGTTGAATTATACTGCCCACAGCTAGCAGTACTGTAGTGTTATAATAAACCAGATTCTAACACAGAACAGGAAATCAGCATTTGATTTCAGGATATCTACATATATATACAAACTTGGTCAGACCTGGGCTGGCTTCACTATAAAACAAATTAGTCATATGGAATCATGTGTGTATGATTTATATCCTGAAATTCTAACTTCCTTAACCGTTGGGGGGTGGGAGGGTATATTATATATCTGTAGCCAATCCAAACAATTGTCTGGATCCATACATGAATTTTTATGTGATATAAATAAATCAGGACCCTGTACAAGGAAGTTATTACAGTATACTACTTATAAATTGCTATAGTATCCTGTAGTCTGAAATATTGTTTTCCGTTTGATAAACTCCACAGTATGCAAGTCATCACCTTTATCCAACCTAGTACAGCCGTTTATAATCAAGCACTTGTCATCAATTATAAATGTTTATTAAGAAAAGACAACAGCTTGTACTGTGATAATAGATAACAGCCAGAACAGACAGCATACAGCTCTAACTTATGTTAATTCTCAGCTTGGAAGTAAACTCCAAGCCAAGGATAACATGACCCCATGCCATGTAATGGCACAAGTCCAGTTTTATCACACAGGAGAAAATTTTGCATCACTTATCACGTGAGAGAAAAATTTGCATCACTTATCACGTGAGCGAAAAATTTGCATCACTTATCACATGAGAGAAAATTTTGCATCACTTAATAAGTTGAGGCTTTTAGACATTGAAGCTATGAAAAAATATACATAAATGTAACAGAAATATGAACAACCCCATATATGGTCATACTGGCTATACATAAGAAGTGAATTCAAGGTATAATATTCCAATAGAATATTATCTACCAGTAATTATGTAAAGATTTGAAATTTCATTATAAATAAACTTTAATCTTAATCATATAAGAGTGAATTTTACCACAACAGCCCAGACAGAATGCTTTGTCACTGTGCATATAGAAATTATCTCATTATCATAGGCTATCCCTACACCTTTCATTATTCTTTAGTTTGTTTGCCAGGTTTTTTACGCCTGGGAACATTTTGACACAGGATCACTCTGTAGGAGCTGGTAGCTTAAAACCTGTACTTTAGTGAACAATAATACAGGAAGCTTATCACATCCCAAATGATATGTGTTAAGTGTCTTATCCATGAACACAACCACTACAACAGAAATTTCAGGTTGTCTTTATCAACAAAAAATAGCTTATCAGAGAGGTCAAACCTCATACCTCAGCACTTTAAACTAGAAAAGGTCAGACTTAGCTTTTTTTTGTTTTTTTTTTTTAAATATGTTACTGTGAAAGTGGATTTGTTTCTGGATTTTCCCTGTAATTTCAGCATCATACATAACAAAAATGTCCATTGGATAGGTCCTCTGTGATGCTTTTCATGTAGACACGTATCTTTTATCATCCCAATCACTAACAGCATTGCTAAAGCAATTTGTTCTGAGCCAAATACTTGATATAACCTTAGCTACTAAGTGTAGAGAGAAGACAAAAAGCAGAATGGGATATTATTAATACATCAAACACACAGGAGCAGACATGAATGCCCGTGTGATATATATTACCCATTAAAAGTTCCAGGACAACCATGTTGCTTCAAGTGGTATATATTCCCAGTACTTACATCTGGAGCCAATATGGAGGGCAAATTCTGTAACTGGTTTGTATATCTGCACTCTTGATTTCATGAATTGACATTTCTATACCTAATTATCCAACCTCAATTTATGATTCTACTCCTATCTCCTGAGAATCAAATCATATTGTGATATGACACAGGTAATTACGTCATCTTACATTTCACCTTATAGTTCTAGAAATCAAAATTTGCATCAGTTAGTGTAGGCATTAGGAGTAATTGGACTGTGTGGTCCAAGTATACATTTCATCTAGGTGAACACTTCACACTGATGTTTTATAAGTAAAGAATACTTATTATATTCACCAAGTTTGTTTAGTTTTTACCTTATACTGTAATTTTATTATTTTGTAGGGTGTACAAGTTTTTGCCATTTTCAATGGTGGAATAAAACTACGAAAAATATGATACCTTAAGAATTATATATATATTTTTTTTCAAAAAATAGTCAAGATCATGTGTTTCTTAAAAACTTATCCCTTTGGCAGTAAACTTTTGATTACACCATCAAAAATCTGAACCACAAAAAAAAAAACATTTTCACGGTACTTTGAAGTACAAATAATTCAGGCTGAAGGAGACTTTAGTTACAAACCAAGCAGTGTATACATCACCATAACATCTCCCTAGCTTTATTTAGAGTTTGTCTTTGAAAAAACCAAGCAGTGTATACATCACCATAACTTCTCCCTAGCTTTATTTAGAGTTTGTCTTTGAAGGTAAAACAGAGTATTCTGTACACCCTGTAAATAATTCAGGCTGAAGGAGACTTTAGTTACAAACCAGGCTGTGTATACATCACCATAACTTCTCCCTAGCTTTATTTAGAGTTTGTCTTTGATTACCAGTAAAACAGAGTATTCTGTACACCCTGTAAATAATTCAGGCTGAAGGAGACTTTAGTTACAAACCAGGCTGTGTATACATCACCATAACTTCTCCCTAGCTTTATTTAGAGTTTGTCTTTGATTACCAGTAAAACAGAGTATTCTGTAC